CTGACATGCATTAAATTTCATAACATGACCTAAATAAGAATGCGATATTAATATTTATAAAATTTGTAATTACCTTGATTTCTTTAGAATTCATAATTTTCTCTCCGTCATTTAATTAAATGAAGCAAAACTAATAATGAGAGTAAGATGCTGAAATATAATACAGATTGGAAAACTTTTCATTAAGAAATACGGAAGAGAGCATCAAAACGAGACACACAAATGTCTCATAGAGGCAAATCGGATCGAGTTAACTCAATTACCGTCTGCTGCAAGATAATAATGAGAAGATAATGTGCAGGAGCAGTTATTATTGAAGCGCTCCAAAATGCCGGTGTCGAAGTTCGTCGGAAGTGTCGAGTTGAAGACAGTTTCGAGTTTGAGTTCCGCAACGGTAAAGCGACCCTTTATTATCTTTCTGCACATGAAATAGGGAGAATTTCTCTGCTTTGAGACAAGGGAACAGTGCAACTAATTTTGCAGTACCGATTCTGTGCGAACGCCCATCAAGTACTACAACGACGTCATATTAATAGTACATATTAACTGTTATAGAGGTAAATATATTAGGACTATAGCCTTACGAGGAACTATCGCAAATTGCTTTCGAAATTTGCCGAACGGATAAGTAAGTGAAGGATGGAAAAGTAAAGCTATCGCCGATATAACGTAATTGTATTTATGTGTGCTTTTTACAAAATAAACGGTCTTCAATGATTGAAACATATCGAGTCTATATATTCAAATAAATTATGATAATATTACGAAGATATTTCACCCTTGATAGAATAACGATACGAGACTTCTCTCTCGAAATTTAATCAATTTAAAATGATTAAAGTCGACGAACGTGGATAGCGTTTATACGGCAGCCATCCAAATAACGATGTCACATCAAAGAGAGCGAAGGCTTCAAATATAATTAATTCGCAGCGATATATTGTAGCATCCAATGAAAATACTGAATGTGAAGTATCATAAATGTCAGCAGTATCACTCTCGAAACAAGTGCATCCATTTTCACGCGTCAGCTCTATCATTGAAGCGTAAACTCTGCGAAACGAATTATCCACCGCGTCTATCTCTATCGCCTCCCCCGCCCTTTTAACGCGAAACAAAAGCTTCATCACTTGATGCAAAAAAAAAAACGGGTTTGTACGCGATGCAGCAGTGGCTCGAAATTTTGGAAATCGAGATGAGTCATGAAAATTTCCAAGTCAAATCTCTGGCTCGTTCCCTCTCCTCTCTCCCCTTCGTTAAACAGCCACACTTGTTCCCATGCTGGTCGATAAATCTAGGCACGTCGTCGTATTTCGGCTCGAAATGCGAGCCGGACGTGCGCGGCGCGAAATCGCAAAGCGCATCGCGAAAGAGATATATCCCGTTCGTTGTTAATGTAGGCCAAATATTGACGATTTCGCATTTCTGCCCATCAGTTTAAAGGATCATCGACGGATCGTCCTGGCCGAGCGAAAATTCGTATGATTGTTGCGCGTGGCCGAATTGGCACATCGCCATCGGGAAACAGCACCCCAACGCGCTCGAGTCTGTTAATAAAATCCGAAATTGTACTCGCATCATAGCATTTCCTTTTGGGAGTTTCTCTTTCTTCCTCTCTTTTTCATTTCTGACCATTATTGCAGTCGTTTTGAAATATCATGACAAATAAAAACACTACACGTAGAATTTGTGATCAATAATATAGAATTGTATACAGTTATTGTATCTTCCGGCGGATAAAAATGATATTAATCGACTCAGAAATAAACTATAATTGTAAAATTGCGATATTAAAAATTTTACTTTACTATTAATTTTTATATATTATTGTATATTATAATATATTTCTGTTATATTATATAATGTTCTTATATTTATATTGATATGAGATTAGTGTACCGTAATTACGCGATTATTTATTCTAACCTATTTGCATAATTACTTGATCAAATTTTCCAAGAGACTTGATATTTAAATTTCTGAATTTCTTTGAATTTGAACAATAGTTCAATTGCTCTTAGAGCATGAACAAAGTTAGCAAACTGAAAAGTTCAATCTTTGAGATTGCAGAATATTTTTCGCAAAAGTATTTTGCAAATCTCAGTGGCCCTTAATTAGTTCCTCTTCCAGTCTTTGAAATCGTCGTTTGACTAAAGTTTGGAAAATCCGAGTTATAACAAGTTCAAAAATCGCTCAATTAGATTCGCAAGTGGTGCGGGATCGTTCACTTTCAGATCCGCCAACGCGATTCTATTCGAAGCGTTAAAAACTTTTCAAAAGAACCAAAGGACATCGAGCCAGCGGGAAAAAAGAGTGAGGAAAGAGAGATGAAACTGAGTAACGATCGCGCCTAAAGAAACGCGCATCTGCGAGCCGATTAATCAATGAATCGGAAAATGAAAACGGACATCCTCTTTCGAAATAATTGTAATTAATTATTCCATAATACGCGAATCGGATCAAAGGATCGTTAAAAATTGTCCGATCCAAGTTCTCACGTATAATGAAATGTAAAAACTAAGAGCTGTCGAGTAATCCATGTAAAAAATTTTAAATATGTAAAGAGAGCTTGTTTAAAAAGTACCGGATGTTTCATCGCATTCATCTTTCAAACGCGTACAAATAAACGATCGTACCAAGTTTCTAAAGTTAAAATATGTAGTTTTTATTTTTGAGATTTTTCATTTTTTTGTACGACAGATAGAGAGGAGGAGATAGTATGCATCAATGCATACATCAAAACGCATGATGCATTAGTTTTAAAACTGAAAGAGAGAGATACGATAATATTTCTTAATGCGACTTGACATTACCGTTCGCTTTAAAATTCTTTACGTGGTTATTTATACGTGTTATTATACGCGTATTATATTTATTATACGTGTTTATTTATTTCAGCCATATGTACGAAGGGAAGCTAATTTGTTACTACTCTTAAGGAAAATAATCAGTATATTGAAACAGTTTTATCAGTTTTCCCAGTTACTGATACAAAACCTGGTCAATTGACTATAATATATTGATTATTTTTTTACGGATATTTATAGAAAGCAAAAAAGATCGTAAGAAAAGAAGGAAAAAGAAGAGAGAGAGAGAGAGAGAGAGAGACAATATTCGCAACAAATTACTATCATAATTAATTTACTCATAGTTTTATGGTAATGGAAATATTTTTGTGATCGATAATGTACATATATCAGACTTTTATGATTATCCTATAACTAATATTTAGAATAACAAAAAAATCTTTTTAAATGACTTGCGCACGTGTCGGAAAAATTCACATACACGAATACTGACAATAAACAAGTATTCTCGGGGCAGAAACAGGTTCAATACTTGGCACGTACAAGGCGCGGCGAAAAAATTCCTAAGTGAAAAGTAATGTATTCACGCAAACATGACTTTGCCTAAACTAACTTTTCCATTTGGAGAGTCTCACCAGTAGAGTTTCAGAAACTACGACAGTGCAATCTTTTTCTCCGTGACCACGCGACCGCCGTGATATTTTTTTAATTCGAGCAAGCGGAGAAAAATTGCACGGATAAAAACAACTTCATCGATTTAAAGTGTCTTAAGGTGTCCGATCGGTCTTAATATTCTCTTCTGTATATCACGCATATATATACATAAACGCATATAACACTGCGCAGAACATTATTCATGCAACTGCTGCTGCTTTCATATAAATTATAAGCATGGTTTGCACATTGCAGAATATTAACACCGCAGAATTTCAAAGTTTGGAATTTACTTTGAATTGATATTACTATGCAAACATCAACTTTAGTATAGAATATAATATAGATAGCATAAAAACCGTTAAATAAATATTGAATTTTCTAATTATTTCAGCGCATAATTTTATTGATTCTATCATAACGTTATTCTAGATAACCAATGGCCTCGATCTTACTTGACCTTGCCGTATAATGGAAAAGATAAAATAGATGCCGCACTCTCTCTCTCTCTTTCTCAAAGAAAATTGTAAACTCGATGTCGCGAACTTTAATATACATGTATATTCTTTTGTGACTTTTCAATTTTATGTAGAATATTTTATATATAATTTTTTAATACGCGCGCGCATCTCTTATTTTTAGATATCCATTATTATTATGATTGTACTATCGATTATTCAATGCAAAACAGTGTATGCTAATGCGTAAAATTGATCAATGCTTTCATATGTTGTTAAATCGTTCGGTCATCCGAATAAAAATCATATAGATACCAATAGTATGAATTCATAAATATCAACTGTATAATTGTCATTTATCATTCATGATTAGTTCCTCTCTAATGCCAAGCTATCTAATTATCTCCGCGAATGGCGTATAATTCCACAGAGTATAAACCGAAAGGGACAGTTGAAACAACGCTCTCAATATAATCGTATCAACATATGCACGTTATACAGAAATGTTTTATATAAAGATTTATTGTCGATTTTACGCTTATTAAATGCGGATAGCGTTGCATTTTACTCACGACAAAACAATTGCCGCATTATTTCTATACACTTAGAACGAATATAATACAGAGAGATATATACGAGTAATCCTCGTTACATGCATATATTCCAGGAATTATAATCAAACTAGCTTTATCATCGTTAAAAAAAATAAATATCTCTTGAATTTCGCAAAAATATAAATATTTAAAATGCATTTTAAATTTAACAGAAACGTGATGAGATTAAAAATATTAGTCGTTTTTTATAACGTGATTTAATTTTAAAATAAAGAATAGAATTCTCCCCATATTTTTTTAATGGCTTTAAAGGGAAAGTGCAGCAGAGGGATGGTATCGCATTGAAGGTGTCTTTATTAGCATTTCTATCGACATTGTGATCGCATCTTTCGAAAGAACTTGAAACGCTCACTCGAGCTTATCACATAAGTGATTACATTTTATTTTCCATGCTAGGGCCCCGATTCTCTTTTGATTCGCGACGTAAAAATTTCAATTTAAATCAAAAGGTTCACGTAAATACTCACTCGTGCACACGCCCTCGTCCATTTCTCGACTGCGAGGTAGTAGATTCGTGATCACACATTGCAGACCGACGGCGCAGCTGCCCGAAAACCCGAAGAGACCGCCGCAAGGTTCGCCTTCGACACGCGCGCATACTTTGCAACACCTGTAAACACATAAAACTTGCGCTTAATCGTTTTATATATACATATATAAATAAGAAAAATATAGCCATGCGCAACACGCTCGATATACAAATCAAGTTAGTTTACGCGATGGGTAACTTAAAGCCAATAAAATAACTCGAGTGGAAAGTTATAATTAGCTGCGTATCATACGCTGCATTTTTGCGTCGTAGAAAGATCATATCTTCGCGATATCTTTCATATCTTCAATATATTGGAATGTTATCTGGGAAGATCTTTAATTTTATTCTAATATCTATAAAAATTTATATTTTATACGTGTTAACAATAGGAACGAGGAAAGTATCTCTACGCATGATATTATTAGCTCTTTCTTTCTCGTTGTTGTTGTCGCTCGCCGGCAAAATATATCGAAGATATATTCAGCTCTTGCATGTCTGGCCTCTCAATCTGTTGTTTCTTCTTTTTTTATCAGCGAAAAGCGAATGGCGCGGAAAATTGTTGCCGACGTTATAGAACGTTAAGATAGAAACGAGTAAGAGGCTACATGTGCATCGCAGCCAGCTTCGATTCGAATGTGGCCATTTGTTTCCTTGTAAGAAATCCTGCGGGCGACGAGAAGATACAAACGCTTTAAAGATATAAAGCGTTTCTTATAACGGTCTTATATCTTTGTTACGCTCGCAAAACGAGAAGGTACGACTTTATCTATGAAAAACAATCCTTTTCACGACGGTCAAATGTTAGAAAATGACATGAATCCATTAGCTCCAAAATGACGTAACGCCACATATTATTAGATTTATCAGCAAATGAAAATATTTTGAAATAATTTAGTGGAAAATTTTTCGGGATATGCGTAAATGTAAAAGAAAATGTGTAAATATAAACGAAACAGATTTTATAAAAAACAGATTTTATAAATATATTATAAATATATTATAAATATCTGTAAAACATTTTTTGCGTTGAGAAAAATGTTCGAGATAGTTTTATATTATATAAATATTAGCTGTAATTATCAGCTTTATGCGTGGCTCAGAAATTTTTTAGCGGTTTAATATTTTGTAAGCGCTTCAAATTCTTCCTAAATAAACTGCAAAAACAAGAAAAATGTTAATTATCTTCAATTAATATAGTATAATATGTAATTAATTAAATGCGATATATTAATTAAATAATTAATACATATTTAAAAAAAAAATGTTCATAATTACATCGCATTTATTTATTGGAAAATTTATATAAAAATCTTGTACTTTGGAACAGCATTTATATACCGTTGTAAAATTCACAATCCGATGTGTAAACTCTCGCTTGCCTTTTCATCTCGGGGAAATTCGGCTCGAATCGAGATGTAAGAAATTGAGAAGCTTCTACGTATTACGCGAATGCATATCACTTTGACGCGCAGCATGCTCAACAGCGCGAAGCATAGTCTTACAAAGTTGCGGTGGAAAAAAAGTATGGGAGGAATTTCAAGGCGCAGCCTGCGGTGCAACGCGCGGAAAATAATCTCGCGGAAAATTGTCAACTACAACCAAGAATTTTATTACGTTGTCTCGGTAGCGCGGGGACAAAGGAGCGATCCTTCCATGTTCGTTGTCGCTTTTCCGCGAAACAATCTGCTTCTCTTAATATACCTTTCAGTTCTATGCATTCTTATATGACACAAGAATGTAGCTCGTGGGGAGGAAAGTAATATAACTAGATCAGAAAACCAAGAGATAATATATGATGATAAAATGCAAAATTGCACATTATATCGACGTAAGTAAGCGTAATTGGTTTATATAATATTTTAAAGAATGTGCGATTGATTTATAGAAAATATATTTTTTATTTTATTTAAAAACTTAATGCAAATCCATCTCATGTTCCTTTTGCTGATTAATGTCAGTGAAGTGGACTTGAAAAATGAAGCGCTCGCAGCTAATACATCTGTCTCTGCGAAACGGCAAAAAAAAGTGTGATTTGTTTCGACTGGTTTCCTAATTCGCAACAGCCGCAGCCAATAATGGTGTTGCATGCTAAATATTTTCCGATAAATTCCCAATACGTCGCTGAACGTAGGATTTTCGTTCCGTGCTCCGCATGTTCTTTCGTATACCGTCATTATTTCATGGAAGAACGTGAATGCAACTGTGCACCAGTTTCTATCAAGCATAAATTTTAAATTCAATCGCAATGCCTAATAAAAAAAGACAGACTCTTGTTTCACACAATAATTACAAAAATAATGTTTTCGAAATATAAGGAAATGTACATGATGTAATTTTTCTTTGATGACTTGAAAATTTAATTTTTTTAATATTGAAAAAGTATAAATGTTTTTACCTGTTATAAATTTGAAATATATGTATAATTCACTTATTTATTATAAATTTGAAATATATATATAATTCACTTATTTATTCTAAATTTGAAATATATGCATAATTCCGATATCTAATACGGAAAAATATAGGGGTTGTTACTCGAATGCAGAAAAAAATATTTCCTTAACATATCATAACGAGTAATGGCAATGACAGCACTTTTAAAAAAGGTCACAAAAAATGCATTAGAACTGTATTATTTGATTTACTTAAAATCAAGAATGCGACTAGTTCTTCTTTATAAGATTGGAAAGGTGAGAAGGAAAAACACATTTCTACAGCAATTCATTTTAGTCAAGTAACGAAGCGGTCTTTTCCGTCGTGAGTCGACAATAAGATTACATTTCATGAGATTTGCGAGTCCGATCAGCATTGAACCGATCGAGGTCTGCAAGGGAGGCAACAGGCGATGAGATTCCGATTCTAAAGGGTCTGAAACTGGTGTTTAACGTTTCACTGAGAGTTTACGAGGAACGGGAGAGATTTCACATTGAAATGCGTTACGCATAGATAGCTCTATCATGCAGTTGCGTCCACGAAAATGCACGGGGCACGCTCTCTCCCTCTTTTATATCGCCACATCGATATCGCGTATGAACTTATAAGTAAAACTTATAAATAAAATGACACGCGTAAAAAAGAAATAATATCACGCGTAATATCGATGGCGTTTTTAACGATCATAGCAATTCACCGGCGCGTCGACACGATCTACGGTATTTATTGCCTGTTACCGCGACGACACGTCTCTTCGGGATACTGGAAAAATTTGCATAAAGCAATATTCTTGCCGTACGTGCGGGAGAACTCGACGCGTATAACTTTTCCCTTCACAAACTACCGCGCCGTCATTGAAACTACCCGACCTATCCTTCGGTATCGCGTCGAACGTCTCGATGGCCGGTCGCCGTTGCCTCCTCTTGAATCGCTGAGACTCTCTCTCTCTCTCTCTCTCTTTCTCTCTGTATAAAAACTTTCCTTCCGGAAATTCCACGCAATAAACGTTAGCTACACCTATTGAATTCGCAAAGGGCCCTCGGGAAAGATGCTATAACTGTCCGAAGATACTCCAAAGAATTCTTTCTCTATTTCCGCGAACGGGCGCGTCGCTTCCCTTTGAAATTCAATTCCGACATTTTCGAATCAGCATATCGTACGTATCGACGCGCGCGTGACTGTATTATCGTGTATATGCTGAAATACTGTAGAAATGCGCGCAAAGCGAAATAACGCTAGATATGCAAAAAAGAGAGAGAAAGAGAGAGTTTGAGAAACGAAACGAACGTTTGGCAGATAAGCGTCGGATTGCGGATGAAGATTTCTCGAGATCTCGTATGAATTTCGTCAAGAATCCTCTTTCGCGACCGTGCAAGTAAACCGTCCGCTCTAAGAGAACCGTAAGGAAATAGTTATCGATATTATAAGTATATCCAGGTCTCCTCCTCGGCGAAACGCGTTCGCGTCTCTTATTCAAAGATCTAATCTAACGCATAATTCACGGCTTGATCTCAATTCACGGTTCTCGATCGCCGACGCGATTCTTATTCGATTCCCGCACGGGCATCAATCTTTGTCTCGCACTTGAAAAGCAATTACGTTGAAATTGTTCATCTTACGAGTAACTTTCTTGATCGTAAAGAATCGAAAGAAAAGGAGAAAAGGAAGAATCTCGATCCCCGCACATTTCTAACGCTTCGAACAGCCGCGAAGGGCTACGACGATTTAAAGAGCTGTCTTATCCACGTCACCACCCAACTCATAAATATAGGCAAGATGAAAGGCTTTCTAATTGCCTATTGTGTAATATACCTGGCCGAACTGACTGAAGTCATTGAGCTATCGAAGCTGCCTCCTAAATATCTAAGAGATATCTATAATCAAGACTGACCTACATGGATATCTCTGTATAAAGATATTATCATTTTTACGACACGTGCGACAGCTTTAGTATACATAAGTAAAATATTTGAAAGAACTTAAGAATATTTGATCACACCAGATGTGAGAATTAAATTTTATATACATGCATTTATGCTCATATATACGATACACACATTCGAATATTTAGGAAGAAATCTAGTACACTTTATACTTACACTTTATTAGCAAATAATTCAAAGTTTGTTTATTAGTAATAACAAACGCGTATTTTTCTCTCTTTATTTTACATAAATATTCACCGCGCATCAATCTAATTTTATAATTCATTGTATCGCAGCCTCAAATGAAGTCGCTATCGATCTGCGCTTTATCGATCGTCTTCGCGCGAAACAAAATTTATTTCTTGCTACTATTTACGTAAATATTTATTAAAGAAGATGTACCTATGCATTATCTCGCTCTTACGTCAAAAAGGCGATAATATTATATAAGAGATTGCGGTTTTCAACACGCTTCATCATATAATATTATCATGCGATGCATCGTGTATATTTTACGCCTGCATAAACGCGACTTCCATAATAATAATTAACAAGATGTTATAACGTTATATTTCTTTCGCAAGTAGATAATTCATGAAATGAATGCAAGATAAAATGCTACGAGAAAACTCAGCGTGCAACGATAACTAAATAGCTTTACGATGTTGGTGCAAGTTATTTCCTCGAATGCAGAATTTTTTTAATCTCTCTCTCGCGCGTCTCGTTATTTATTAACTTCGTTATATATTATTCTTAACGCACAGCATTTACAAGCGCGGATGACCTGTTTTGCATCATGTTGTTTGTACGAGCCATAAAACACAGCGCGCTTACATATCTGAAACTCAGGTGCACACTCATCCTCTGTTCGAATTTTACGGTATATGAACAACGGACGTGTACGTGTACAAAGTGTTGTAACAATCGTCTGCACATCTGTATACGTGGACGGGCGAAAATAGACCCAAGGGCATAGATCTCGCAATATGTCGACCACATAGATTTCTAACATGTCGATGATAAACGTTATCGCGTAACAGAATATTTCGAATTGAGACTGTGCCGCTTTTTAAACGCGCCCGATTCCTTTCCCGACGTGTGTACGGTTTATTCGCCCGTGTTCCTTCCCTCTCCCTATTCCCCTCTCACGCGATTTTTCCACAAATGATTCGCTAACGCGAAAACGTAATTCGCGCAGGCGGTGCACAAAGGTGGATGAACAACAAAGGACGGCACTTTTTTGTTGCCCGGAGAGAAAAAAAAAACGCAGGTAGCGGGCCTTATTGTAGCCGTGTGTTTTAATTGCTCGCTATACTCGGAACTAATTACAACGCGTAGCTAGAACAGAACCGTTACGACGGAGGAACACAAAGACTACGGGCTTTAGAGAGGCGAATTGAAAATTACGCTTACGCGCGGCACAAGGGATATCTTTGCGGTGAGGAAGATGCAGCGGCAATTATTATGCAAATATTATGCGAATTACACAATACAATTTTATATATTTTATATGTGCGTTCGTTTTTCCCCTTGGAAGGAAAAGAGAAAGGTTCCTAAAGTTTATTAAAACACCCTCCGCGACGATAAATTTTGTACCGCGCCTAGCTTGCCCGCATATTGCAAATAGACCTGTGCAAAATTGCCGGGTGGAGATATTAAACTCATGTTTCCGCCGTGATATCCTGCCTAGAGTAAAGATTTTTCCGCAGGAATAGGGAAAGCGCGCACAAATGGCCACATTCCGAGAAGCTCCGGTATCGAGCTGCCTCGCTTCGAGTTAGTTCCCATCGGGCGGTGCCGAAGGTAAACGCAGCTTTCTGTACCTGCAGGGATCCCAGGTGAGGCCTCCGGGGCAGTCTTCGTCGGTGAGAATGTCGCACTCCAGCGGCGAGCACACACACGAGAGGGCTCTCGCCACCGCGAGCGACAGTACAACAATGCCACCCAAGAGGAGCAACGGAGCCCTCATTTTGCTCTTGTCCCTCTCGACGGCCGTCCTGTCGGCGGTTTTCCTCTGTCCTCTCCTTTCTCCAGGTATCTCTCTCCTCTATCTTATAATATCTTACAATATCCTCTTATAGTATCTCGGTGACCGCACAATTACAAGTCTAACGAAGCGAGGATGTCCATCGCGCTCAAGTTCACTTTACGTTTGACGGCACGAACTCGTTCGATTGTCGATTTGTCACACGCGTGCGATAAGATGTTCACCGGCGATGGGAGAGGAAGCAGTCACGAGGAGACGCACGTGATCGGCCCGCAGCCGCTGAATAATGTCCCGGGGAATGTAAAGGAGGATATGTCGATCTACATTTTATCGCTTGCAGCGCTCGCTGAAATATCGCGTACGTTCATTTTGCGGGCGGAATAATCGTCCGCGAATGAAAAGGATAACAATCGCGCTGGCGAGGGTAAATCTCGTCGAAAATATCCGCCGTTAATAATTGTATGTTCAGGACTCAGGGGAGATTAAACTGTGCAAATAAAAGAAAGAGATAATAAAACAAAAACATTTGATGTGTTTGCAATTTTGCAGTAAATTGTTTAGTATTAAGCAATTAGCGTTGTGTCGGACGATGAAAATTAATTCCAATTTTCATATTGTATATGGAAATAAAATGTTCACAAACAACACGGATCAAAGATCGTGATGCGCTTTATAAACGAACGAAGAGAATATAAATAGCTTTGTATTGTTAAAGTTAGAGATAACTCAGATGTTTACTCAAGACATTTTTCATTTTTTAATGAGAAAGTCTTGCAAAGTCATAAGTGCCAAATGAGGCATATAATTAGAGCAAATATATTTATATAATAAGAATTGTTAAAATTATAAAGAAAGTGGTTGAAGATAACAATCAAATTAAATTATAAATATAAAGGCAATAACAACTGCGCAAAAATAAATATTTTTGCTACGTTCATCTTGGCTCAGTTGTTATTGCCTTTATATTTATAATTTAATAAGAATTGTCTTAGTAAGATATATATTTAATAGAAAAAGAGAGAGAAAATATATTAGAGTCATAGGAAGTATATATGTATATAGCATACATACACACACAAACATATATATAAGCAGAATATTACAAACGTATGCTATATATTCTCTAACTTTGATGTCTATGGTAAATAAAATAATTTCCGTGATGAAAACACGTAGTCAAGTCTCTTTGATGACGTTCAAACGAGATACGTAAACATCCCGACCGACTCTTGGACGGAGAATAATTCGTCCAAGAACTATACATGATACTATAATGATGTACTGGGAAATGTGCATGTATCAACCGTGGATAGTTTATCCCAGAGGATAGCGCCGTGATATGGGATACATCAAAAAGTTGTCGAGTACCAGTTAAACTTGCGACGTGCCCAAATTACATGTATCCTGGCAGGGAGATGCCCCGAACATCCGCATTGCTGTGTAAAACGCAATGCAGGTGCATGCTAGATATTGCACTGATGAAACCGCGAAATACCTTGAACTGCGTTAATGCATGGAGGGCACACGCCTATCATATGTAGTGTTATATGTTTTTTTTTTTACGGATATATCGAAGACGAGCGAAAATCGCATAGGACTACGCGATTGAACGCGAATATGAGGTATTATTCAAAGTTGCTTGCCAGGTATTCCGTTTTGCATCTGAGGAAGATGCCACGAGACCTCCTCTTCCGGTTGAAAATTCCTAAAATTGAATTTTAATAGCAACAAGTGCGAAGAAATGGAAACTTTGCGAAGAAAATTCCAGTTTGACAGACTCGAATTCCTTTAAGCTCTCTTTGAGAACCGTATCGAAGTGACATTCATTAGTTTATTCATTCATTCGTTCGTTCGTACATCCAGGAGCTCGTGTTAATTAAATCTATGACGAAGCTATCACACTTTTAAAGAGATAGCGTATCACCTGTCTTACAGAACTGCGTTACAGATCGAAAGAGATAGCAGCCAGCATATATCGGAGCAGTTGCGCCTCGAGAATCACTCGTTGACGCAAGCTTGCGTCCGATATTCGCGCAGAAAGCTTCGCGCGCTGACAGACTCGGGATTGGTATAAACAATCGGAATAATTCGGAAGCAAGGTGGCGCGTCAGCGGAAGGCTACTCCAGCAGTGTCAAAGGAAAGGAAAACGAACGAGAATTGCCGGCATCGAGGAACGGCAAGATTCATTCCGCGAAAACTTTTCGAACGCTGGCTCGCATAATAGAATCGCGACCGCCCTCGTCACGCACGTCGTAGCGACATCGTGTACACGACAGGGTCGCCCGATCGAGCACTCGGTAACGAAGCTTCGACGGAATATACACGATGCGTTCCGCGTTCGGGATGAACGTGCACTGGCGATGCCGCGGCGACGATCAGCGTCTCCGAAGCGGCGCCGCGACGCGACGCGACGCGACGCGCGGCCCGCGTCGGCGCTCTAACGTCGCAGGTAAGCTTCCCCCGACTGCCCAGTTTATGATTTTTAATTGGTGGTGTTGTAAAGAGTTAATTAACACAACGCGCCGTGCGGCTGTGTGTCGCGGATTTACCCGTCCATTATATTGTACCGTTGGTATTGTTGTTACACCATACCGGAACGTTGCAACAATAGCGTCGCAACTATTAACAATTGCAAAGCTAACAATTGGTCTGCATTAATATTTTTTTTTTTCAAATGTCTCAAATATATCTTTTTTCATGATTCCGTTTTGAAAATGTTTAAAAATTTACACGCAACAATGATTTTAAAACATACAGTAATAATCTTTTATCTTTATATGAATGAAAATTATAATCTAATAACTAATTGTAATCTCTATATGTGTAATAATACATTTATGGATCTCTATTTAATTTGTAATTATAAGTTATATACAAATACAATGCAATGACAAAAATTATTAGCTAATACTATTAATTATATATTATGATAATATAATATTATATTACAATTTCTATTATATTGCAATACAATTGCATTACAAATAAATATTATTTTAATTATATATTACAAATGACGCAGAGATACAAAAAAAAATATTAGATTATAATTTCTACTTATAAAAATGAAAAATTGATATTATATTATTATTTAAATTATTATTGCGTGTATTTCTTTAGATATTATTTCAAATTATACTTGTAATATAATTTGTAAGCGATTTTTAAAGATATCTAACAAGAAAAAAATAACAATATCCCGAGAATGTGTTATAGATACGATTTCTATCATAAATTGTTGACAACGACTGCGTGAGAATTACAGGACAGATGTTATCCAACGAAGAAGCGTCCGCCGTGCGAGAGCACGCGCGCAAAACACGATGTACATCCTCGCTCATGGCATTTCCGCGCGACTCGCGCTTTACACGTCGTCTAATACCCGGTAATATCTCGCGAATGTGACCGTCAACGTTCTTCTGGCCGAGTCGCGGATCCTAAGTGTGATAAATGTCCGCAACGAAACTCGTGGCGATGGCGTTCGCCCTCTTCACCTTGCACTCTCGCGAACGATTTTTCTCTCGCGAGTGTTATGTGCCATAACTCGCTTCTAATGCTTACTGAATGGCGGTCATTGGTCATCGAGGCTCTTCTTCTTTCAAAACAATGTGCGTACTTTCAAACGCAATATATAAAATAAAGATTAAAATTTCGCAATAGTATTAAAAGTACTTTGGTAGATTAATGTTAAATTAATTTTGCAAAAAGTACTCTGACAGATTAATGTTAAATTGATTTTGAATTTCATTAAATTCCTAGAAAAATTTATTTTAAAATGGCTAAAAATATTTGTCATTAAAATATGCAACAAAAATAGAATGTTTTTAATCTTATTGTTAGTGAATAATGAAAGAAGCAATTTTTTAAAAATATAACATGAAAATTACATAATTAATATAATATATATTAATAAAATATAATATATATTAATAAAATATAATGTAATATACATATAATGTAAATACATATTAATAAAATATAATTAATATAATATAATAATATAATTAATAATATAATTAACCATTTTGTCTCATTTTAATAATATATTTCAAAATAATATTCTCTCTCTCTCTCCTCTCTTTCTATATATATATATATATCCTCCTAATGAATACGCTAATATTTTAAGGAATGAATATTATTTCTTCTCGCTTATTTATATTAATTTATGCTTTGTATTACCTGTGATCACTCTAAGATCTTGTTGGGCATTTGTATGATCAAATTGCTCCTCTGCTTTCTATTTCACTGAAATCCCATACTGCAGATTTCCATCTCAGACGTGATGTTTGTCATCGGAAAATATCATTGAAAATGAGAGCGAATATCCATGAAAAAACGATTCTGAAAACATATAATATTATATATAATTTCAGTAAAATTTTGACGCCGTTCTATTTTGCAGACTTCATCTTATTCTTTGCTTTATTACTTTAAAAAAAATACGGTTAGAAACGGTAACCTTTTATGAACAAATTTATACAACAATTATGTCGGCTCATCGTATTAAAGATATATTGGAATCTGTTGCATGAGTAAGAATATTATGGCAAATATAAAGTAATTATGGCTAAATTTACCTTGTAAAATAAATCAATCTACGGATGCCATTTATCACGAGCTTCTATCTTTACGTGGCGCGAGAACTAACTGAATTCAAATTTAAAACAGTAATTACGCCGCAACTTTCAGTGGCGACATCTTTAGACGATATGTTGCATTATTTCGTTGCAAATTTTTTTTATCGATAATATAGATAACTACGCGATTTTTTGCTGTAAATGTATAAATGTAGCTTTAATATATGTAAAGTTACCGGTTTACAAATTCATCTAACATTGTCCATCAATATAACCGAAAATAGGATTATATATGTATATATACATATAACTTTCTTCTTATATATTCTCCTAATATGAATACATTGATATTTTAAGGAATGAATATTATTTTTCTCTTGCTTATTTATATTTATTTATGCTTTGTATTAACTGTGCTCACTTTAAGATCTTGCTAGGCATTTGTATGGCCAAATTGCTCCTTTGCTTTTTATTTCATTGAAATCCCGTTCTGCATCTCCATCTTATTGTTAGACGTGACGTTTGTCATCGAAAAACGTCGTTGAAGATGAGAGACGAATATTCATGATGAAAAAACGAGTCTGAAAGCATAATATTATAAATAATTTCAGTAAGATTTCAACGCCGTTCTATTTTGCAGACTTGACTTTATTCTTTGTTTTGTTACTTAGAATAAAAAGTATAACGGTTAGAAACACAGTAATCTTTTATGAATAAATATATACAATAATTATGTCGGCTCATCGTTAAATATATATTGGAATCTGTTGCATAAGTAAAAATATTATGGCAAATTAAAGCAACTATGGCTAAATTTACCTTGTAAAATAAATCAATCTATGGATGCCATTTATCATGAGCTCCTACCGTTATGTCGCGCGAGAAACAACTGAATTCAAATTTAAAACAGTAATTACGTTGCGCCGCAGCTTTCAATGGTGACGACATCTTTAGACAATATGTTGCATTATTTTGTTGAAATTTTCTCTATCGATAATATAGATAACTACGCAAGATTTTTTGCTGCCTCTGAAATGGATAAATGTAGCTCTAACGTATATGTGAGGTTACCGGTTTATACGAATCCATCTAACATTGCCCGCCAATATACCGAAAGTAAGGTTATCGAGAGTAATAATGTTTATATCTATTTATAATCTTATTAGAATCGTGAAATAGAAACTATTTACTGAAAAATATACATGCTTTTATTCGTTTATATTATAAGTGCTACATAAACGATATATCTTTTCGATATAATAATATTTTCGACATGGAAGTATCTCCAATGGGCAATTTGCCGTAAGTATATAATATAATTTCTCTTTAATGATTTTTATAAATTCTTATTTTATCTATAAGTTTTTTCACACGATTATGTCATTACAAAAAATATATTTTAAATTTGGAAAAGACAAAAGTATTTGCTATCAATGTTATTTTAATATTGCTTTATTAATATTCCTTTTCTTTATAATCATATAATAGATTTATTAATTTTTATAAAGCAATCAAACTTTGTTATCATTAATGAAAAAATTAATAAAAAGTTGCAGCAAAGATTTATGGTCCATAATATCTGGCACAACATGCTGTTGCGCTAAAGAGACTGTCGAAGATGAAATTAAGAATGGAACTGTATTATTCAAGGAAGGACTTCAGTTTTTTAAGCCATATACAGATGCATCGTTGCAGAGTATTTCTAAAAGAGATCCGCCTCCTCTTCAACAGATGTATGATTTGATTAGTAAACTTGCCCCACTTATTGTAAGTATATATCACTTTATATTTGCAAATATATAAATATAAGATATAGTATAAAGAAATATAAGTATAAGATTTATATTTAATTTTTTTTATTTAATATATTTTTAATATTAATATTTTTAATTTATTAACTAGAACTTGGATGCCACAATTACTTGGGATCTTGTGTGCAATTTTGTATCCTATGAATACAGAAATTGCGCAGAGACTTTTGCAGCACAGCTTACTGATCTTACTTCTATAAAAAGTTTAATCGATGATATTTGGAACTTTTATTATTCTGAGAGAATTACCTTAATAAAATGCCTTAAACTTATGATTGAATATAAAGATAACGAAAGACATCCTTATCACAAGGAATTTGCAAAATTTTTTGATGAGATCTTGATGGGCAATCTACTTGAATCTATACAAAAGCAAATAAAAGCATTGAAATTTGTAAATCCGCCTACACGGTCACAATTCTGTACCGAAGATTATTTACATAGATTATATAATAGTACTTTGATTGAAATGCGAGAGCTGCTTCACATACTGACTGTGATCGTGCATGATATACATATTGCTAATCATGAATTTGTTAAGTTTTATGGAAGCATTGGGGTAAGATACATGTCTTTAAAAATTTGGTATGCTAAGAGCATTAAAAATTTTGTCCAAATATATATTAATAAAATGTTTTAGGGCGAACCTAGACGATTAGCAAGTACAAAAAGTCATGAAGATAAGGAAGCTATTATTAAAAAAATTGAAGAGATACAATACAGCCAAATAGGATTATTACTTGTAGCATTGGATGTGAGAAAGCAGTAAGTTAACACTAGATTAATAATTTTTTATAATAAAATATGATTTTATATTTTAAATAATCTTATTTGTGTGTTTTTCTATTTTGCTACATCTATATTGTTTCAGCACTGATATGGAAGACTGGATAAATAGCATTGGAAGCAATATGCAAGAAATATTTGAACACAAATGCGTTCGTGAAAATTCACCACAAGATGGACCATTGCTTCTATGTTGGATGTTAGCAAATTATGCGATTGATCCGGATAATATAGACACATTAAATCGCTTTAGACCATTTGGTATTAAAGCCATACAACTCGATGTGTTCCACTATCTACGAGATTTAATGAACTGCGAAATGTTTCAAGAAGAGACTTATTATGCTGAAGTTGTGCGAAGCAGTGTTTATAATCTTCTTACTTTGATGTGCGCTTTTGTCGACGAAGATCGATTAAGTACTTTAAATGGTATTTTCGACGCCATGGCTGCTACAATCAAATTTCCAGAATGTGCTACTAGATTTTGGAACGAACAATACGATGGCTTATGGCCGATTTATAAAGTTGCTGTAGAATTATATCCTTACAAGTTTGAACCTTTAACCAGTATAGCTATTGGTCTTGCATCCACGACTATTGCGAGTGCCAAAAAGGTAATATATGATGTTATTATATATTGAATTTGTTATATATTAAATATTTAATATTATACGATATTATACACAATTATAATTTTTTTCCAGATTGCATTGGAATTGGATAATCTACAAACAGTGACTATAGAGATTCCCCGTCAAAGAGATCATAGTAAATCATTGCAGCCATACAAAGCGGAATGTATAATTCAGAAGAATTTATTTACTATCTTCAGCAATTGTGCGCGCGAAAACATTGCCGTACTATCTCCAGAGAAAGAAGTGGTTTTATTTCGTACAAAGGCAAGTTATTGGAATGCCTTACATCATAAAATAGAACAGTTATTTTCTCAAGCTAGCGGCGGAATTGCAAATATAAGCGCAGTGAAGACAGATTTACCGAAAAATGTTTGTCACGGTTTGAAACTATTGGAAGCATTATTGGCTAAAGACATCGAGATACCATCAAGTATGGTCACTCCCACGGAACTGAGTTTCGAAATCATTAATCGATTTTCATATCCGGTTTTACCAACGAATTTATACAAAATCGTCGCCGTGTGCATTGGTATTTCATCGAAATTGGTTTTAAGATATCCTGAGGACATTCTCTCACGTATGCGATCAGGTGTTTACCCAAGATTTAATAATTGGTATCAAAAGCCAGTGGACTTTGCTGAAGCAATCTCCTTTGATGGTGGTCTCATCGCGTCGTGGCTTTCAGGAATAGAAACTATCGAACATACTTATCCTATTCTACGTGCATTTTTAGACACTTTATACAATTATCTAATCGCCAAACACAGTAAAGAAGCCATGTATACCATTGAGATACCAGGTATGGTATTTCTGTTACAAGCTGTTTTACCCAAGTTAGACTCGTGGTATTTTAAATCCAATGCAGAAAGAATCGACTTATGGCTGAAGAGCATGTTTTGTATTCATCGAGCTCTAGAATCTACTCTATCCAAGAATGATATTCGCAACGAGTTGCAACTTGTTGTAGTATATAGTTTACTCTACTTGGAGCCGCGTCACGCACTGTTGAAGTTACTCCGAACGGGCGAACGCACATTGCACAATAAAATGATTACAGAGACAGATTGGATTAGTGGAAAAGGATTCAAGACTACCAAAAGCGTAGAATTAGCCTTGTCGATAGTCAATCGACTTTTAATGTTTAGAAAGTCTCTGGGTCTCGAATTAGGCGATAGATCGCCTCTCGAGATTGCTTTGTATTCTTCTCCGAGAGTACCTAATGGACTTCTCATAGTACCGACCATCGTTAATTATTTATATGTTTGGTTTAGTCCTTCATTGCAGAAAATGGCAGTTAGATTATTGAAGAAGTTTGCAGAGGAATTTTCTATGTCTTTGCTGGTCTGTATGGGAATGGATGGGACTTCTATACGAGAAACCTTTGCATTTCGATTGACGCTACCGACATGCGCAATTGAAGTAAAAGTCGCTATCCTGGAATTGGTTGCCGTGTGCCTCGAGAAACAGCCCGGCTTGACGGAAGCTCTCTTCAACATCATGCATCAAGCAGAACGCAAGAGAATTTTTCCTCGTCCAGCCGATGAGTTCCTTACGGAAGGCTGCAGTCAATTCTTAGACTCATATTTAGAACGAATGTACAAAGAAAGTGATATTGTGTGTGACAAGTTGTATGACAGCACAATGGCGGTATTACGCGCCATGTGGTATTATAGAAACGAAATTCTTGTCAATTTCTTCCGCAAGCGAGAAAAATTCTGGAGTCATCTGTTTGCTCCGCTTTTCAAACCTTTGGTACCAGGTGCAAAAGGTTATTCCCAATTGTTAGACGTAATTACGTTAGAATTATACAAAAGTCCATTACTCGAAGATAATTTCTCAAAAAATTTAAAAGAACTGTTGGACAAATCCAAGGATCATTGGAAAAAATTAGCCATATATGTTCTCGACGTTGCAAACGGCGAAGATAATGGTACTAAAGAAGAACATATAAAACAAGACAAAATCGTCGATCCGTTATATGAAATTAACTTAGAGTCTTGGTATCACTTTATTGTCATGCTCACTGACGATCGAACGGCTAAACATTATCCAATTAACGTAACACAGGCGCATCTTCTAACTCAGTTGGCTTTGGATTCTTTATTGGAGAGAGTAAAGGAATCCAACGATACCAGCAGTGGCAAAATTCCAATGTTACTGGCCTCTTTATCCTTGAGATGCATCACTTCTTGGAAACAGATGTGTGTTGGCGATTCAAGAATCTTCAAAACCAGACTGTCACAGCTCACGCAAGAGATAGCGCAGACTTATCGCGGTTTCGGAAAAGCCCTACGTCAAACGATGATTTCATTATTACTTGGATGTGTGCAACTGGTGAAAAGTACCTTAGCCGAAGATTCAGCGAGTTTGGAGTATCTTTTAGCACATTCCTGTACGATCGCTATTTGCGAATTGGAAGAACTGAAAGAAGCTGCCTTTCAATTAGAACGTCGTAAACAACAAATTTCTGTCGAGCTCATCAAGACCGAGGAAAAGGATACGCAGAAAAAAGCTGAATGTCACAGTGTGGAAACTCTTCGTGGTATACGGGAAAGTTTACCGGCAACATTAGCTGTCAGCATGGTGACACAATTGTTACGATCGTACGTTGAACGTAATGCAAATTTCAAGCATCGTTTACGAGCCAGTTGCGTACAGCTGCGTCAAATGATACCCGAACTGATGGCATGTGTCGGTTACACGCTGCAGAAATACCCGTATTTTAAATTCAGCATAGCAGCCCTAAGTTTACTAGGTGTTATATCGCGTTCGCCGTATTGTCCGCATCCTATCAGCGACAACGATATTGCGAAGCTCTGGCTCAGCCTAATTCCACCGGCTGACATTGCCAACAGTATGCTCGACTCGTTGTACGACGATTCAGCGAATGGTCGATGGCGTTGCCAGGATTGGTGGCCAATATACACTTTGGGCTTAGAGTTCTTAATAGGTCTGGTGACCAGCGAGACACACATGGTGTACATTAATCATGTGATTCTTTTCTTAAACTCTCACGAACACCAGTTAATGGTTGTCTCCACTTTACTGAGACACACTGCCGATTTATTGGCCGCTGATTTGATACAATCGCTGATCGCTCTTATACACGCTGTAGCTACGCAAACATATGTTTGGAACGCGATCCAGCCGAGGATTCGCGAGACTCTGATCAAGTGCATATACCTGGTGTATGATAGTACGGTGAACTTGTTATTAAGACCACGAATACTGAAATTTATCATTGACGGTATCAGCGTGGAAAGTGCTGAGGAACTCGAGTCTTGCGATAATCGATTGCCTAGCGGTGAGTTGAAGCTATTGGTGAATAAACTGATTGTCATAAACACAACTTGCGCGCTAACTTTTGTTCATTTTTCGCCGAAATTGAACACCCTCGTGGACACAATATATACTCAGAATTATTGGTACACGCCGATGGCCGAGATGAATTTTGGTCCACCGCAGATGAGCATGAGTTCCGGTCCGCGACTCACCTACGGCACGATCATCAGTTCGACACAGCTGTTCACCCAGGCTCTTCATTCCCGCTCGCAGCCCGTTGCTTCGTTGCCCACTTCTTTAATCCCGCATACAACTGGACGCGAAGATAAAACAGATTCTGCAAAGAAGGAATGGGAACGCGCCGCACCAGAGAATCTCCGGCGTATGCACACGAGCAAGGATCTGCGAAGAATCATTCACGCTGCCTCGGGCTCAATTTCTAGGACGTCGACATCCAACATTGGCTCCAGAGAATTTCTGGGATACCCGGTCAGTGGCTTGGACGTTACTGTGCCGTTGCTTAGTAGTCCTAGACTCGTACGTCGTCCATACGATCCGTTGATATGTGAAAATACGATTCTTTCGAGAGCGACTGCTTTGGCGACCGGTAGACACGTTGCGAAGAGTAGCGGCAGCGGCACCGGTGGCAACGGTAGTCCAATCATAGCGAGAAATCATCGTTTTTGCGATCCGTGGTTCGAATCTATGGACGAGAATAATACACGATTGGCATTAGAGATCAATCTTATTCTAATACTGTCTCAAGCGCTGGAAGGTGTGAAGAGTCCTAGACTCGCATTGAGAGATCGTCAACTTATAGCACGGGAAACCGCCACAGAGTTGGGGGTCTTCTTCGATTTTCTCGAACACCGCGGTACACCCGATATCTGGCAGGTAAAGGGCTCCTTGATAGACGCGGATACACGGAGCTCCAGGACAATTCAGGATACCAGTGATCCGACACAAATGAATTTACCGGCAAGACTCCAGAAGAACAGTACTATTGATAAAACGCCGGTGTGCTTACCCGACCACGAAGACTCTTCCATGGAAGTAATTCAAACCGAAACACGGGAGAAAAGACTTGACGATAGTATCCTTACAACAGGCGTTTTTAAAACTAATGTCAGCAGCGTACAATTCTTGCCGTTGATGGGGAAATTACTCAAGACAGTTGTCGAGTCATTGGATTCAGCACAATTCCGATAACATTTGTAAAACTACTTTTAAAATGTAAACCTTAATATATAATAATAGTATATCATTTTGGAATAGAGATTAAATCTCTCTTAATATACTGTGTAAATTGGTACAAACATTTAATACTAAAAGTGAACATACAGCACATAGAGTTTTAATATTTAAACTATGACTGCACCCTTTTATCTGTACCATTTTTAATTTGGTACATGATTGTACAAATTGTGTATGATATATAATTGAACATTTGTGTGCATGTTCACAAATGCTAATCAATAATACATGTATTATAATAAATACTATTTTTTTACTATGTATAACATAACAGAGAATTATATATAGTGTCGTATAAAAATATATAATACTAAAGGACAGAAAGAGGAAAAGAAATTATCAGGAACATAAGAAATATGATATTTAACTAATTCTTTCTAATTTAGCCTGTGCTTTTATATTATCATTATTTACGATTAAACATAACGTAACGTATATTCAGTAAATTAGAAATACTTCGTGTTTTTCTTAAATAATTTCTAAGAGAACCGTGAAAAATATAAACTATACGATTTTATACACAGCCAACTATTTAATGAGATAAAATGAATTATTAGGATTGCTATTTATGCGCATCCTTTACATTAAAATAATGACGACTGTTGTTTCCATTGACTTTCATTTGAATTTCATCATTTGAACATTTATTACTTTTATTTATTTTCCTTTAAACTAACAAGTTTCATGAGATTCTGTCTTTATAAATTTATTGCCAATCCAAAGACAGAGTCGTGCTTTGGACAGATTGTGAATTACATATTAATTACAATAATGGTACATGTTATGCTGTTTCATTTCTCTGTTTCGATCCATTGACTGTAACTATTATGATTTTAATCGTGATGTTATTTCAATCGAGATACATCTTTTTTCTGAAAATATCTCTTCAGAACCCGGATGGAGAAAAATAGAGAAAGCTACAATAACTTCGCTCGTTTTTCGCTCAATTCATTATTTTTAATTTTTATCTCGAATCTTACATACAATATATCTATATATGTATGTTTTAGTCTCTCTTTTCACAAATGCTCGTCCCTCCCTACGGAGGGGAGGTGATCTTTCGCATCACTATATATAACATTACGCACTCATGTGCTAAGGACAATTAATAATTACGATACGTATAAAAATATAATCCTTGATATTAATGAATTATTATTATGCATTAAGACATTAACGATGATGTGAGTGCCGAATTAGGCACACCGCGTAAAGACATCCGCCGCCTTTCAGGCTGAATACCTGAAGGTCGAATTAGACGCTAAGGGGGTAAATGAGGTAAAATGTTCTCAGGTGAGGGTGTATCATGGGAATCATTGCTTCTAGATGTTACTCGTTGATGATAATAATTATTGGAGGCAGCAACGGCAGAGACGGTGGAATTAGTAGTAACTGTATTTGTCGAGCCAAGGCCTGTAACCATTGTCGTAGATGTAGTAGCTGTGGTAGTGTTGATCGTTATCGTCGTGATGACAGAAGAGGTAGGTTGACTTCGAGGCGTTAAATCGCTCCAGCGGTCTGCTAGCGGATTTGTACAACTCGATTCAGACGAAGGATGAGAATCTAGGTGACGTGTTGACGACGAACAATACGTTGGTGTAGTTAAAGCGCTGGCATTGCACATTGATGAGGATATGGTAGCTGCGACCGATGTTACCATGGGCGGTGGTGGTGGAGGTAGAGGTGGAGGTGGCGGCGGCGGCGTTGGACCATTGATCTCTGCCAATGGATCGACTGCATTTCCATCCCAAACCTCTGTAGATTTGGATTCGTCATTATTAATCACGTTGGTGCTGGATCTTTGCCGTTTAGCGTCACCGTACAGCAAACAATGGACGTTGGGTGAACTGCTGCGATCTCGTACTCCCTCTTGTTCCTCGAGGAATCGGTCCATATAGTCCCTGCTTGCGATTTAATAGTTCTGTCATTCACGCTTGCAATAATTGGATTAACAAAAGCTATTACATTCCAAAGTGTATTAATTGGTGTAATGTTATTATCGAACATTGTATCAGGCCCAATTTCTTCATAGATTGTAAACATGTATACCATATTAAACATACGTGCATATCTCTATTTCAAAACTTTGTGTTTTGGTATAAAGCTCAATTACAATAGAGAAAATACTCACGTGATACCAGGATGCAGAGCATACTTTTTCTTTTCTAATCGAGCTTTGTACGTAAATATGTCGTGCCGTTCTGTTTTCTTCCACAAGTAATAAAATTGCACTAATTCTCCCACAGATCTCGTTCTCACCTATAAATGTAAGAAAAATTTTCTTGTTATAAATCACTGCAATGCAACTCATTATTAGTCACTAAAAAAATCTCAATAGTTTCTACACGATTTGTAGTTTTTATATGATAATTTATACAAATAAGTTGATTTTATGATGTGATAAATATTATTCATTTCAATTCCTCATTTCTTTTCATTTTTTTACACATACGAAAAAAAATATTATAGCATTTTATAATATAATATTTATAGCATTTTATTAGCACTATATAATGTTATTAACAATTTTTCATCCAATTTTGTATTGTGAAAAAATTAAACTTTATTATGCACCTTATTCTTCTGTATAAGATGAAAATCTTTTCCATAGGTGCGCAATCCAGATTCAAAATTATGACATTCCTCTTCTGACCAAAGACTCACTGCATCTGTAGGAGGAAGTACATTCATTCTACGTCTTCGTAATGCTTCATCGAGATTGTAACCGCATTGCAATAGAAGATATAAGGCTTGCTCGTCATCCCTAATATGAGATCCAGCCGGTAATGAGCCGCCTTTTACCGCTGGAAGTTGCGCGCGTTCCAAGAATTCTTCCGTGTCTTCTTCAGATATATGACTGGGATCCCACAACATTTTATCTTCATTCTCATACGGCAATGCATCGTCGTAACGACACAGTCCTTCTGGTATTGCTGCTTGGTAATCAGTGCCAACCATGATTGTCTTCTTCCATTCTTCTTCATCTGGACTGTAATCACAATCGTCCTCTTCTTCTTCGCTTTGCGGCCTCGAAACACTTCGCAATAATCTCGAACTGCCACTGCCTATTCCCGCACTGACTATCCTATCTTCCGGACCATCTATCGCACCACTAGCGCTACCTTCTTCAACAGTACTGTCGGCAGCACTAGCTGCACCTAAATTAACTATACCGTCGCATGTAATAGCATTAGCGCCTACTATCGTAGGCGAAGATCTAGTTTTCTTTCCATTTCCGCTTCGAGGGTCACTCATCGAACATTCTTCAGCTTCGACATCTTCATCGTCGTCTTCGTCATCGTCGATCCTACGCTTTCTGTTATCCCTGTTGCCTATTCCACTGCTATTGCTTTTCATTGTTGAACCTGGCAAAGATGCCTTGTCTTTCCCTTTCACCAACATTTCTGTGTAGAATTGCTTGAGGTCCGGCTCATTGCTGGCTGCATCAGCCTCGTCGTCATCATCGTCGTCGTCCGCATCGTTGTCACCTTTATCCGAGTAATGCTCCTCGGTCTCAGGATCACCGCTCCCAGATGGCAGCAACATGTGATCAGAACTGTTTGAGTTCTCCGTCGAGGGATCACCGTATCCATACATGGCAAGTAGATCTTTCAGTGGCATATCACCTTCCTTACACGACAAAACAGAAAAAAATAGATCATTATTACATCAAGCATATTTTATGGGCTAAACATGGAATCTCACTACGAGAACGCACTTTGAGTCCAAAGTGTTGCGGAAACTTATCATAATTGTAATTATTTATGGGCTCGATTTTTTCATTTCTCAGGCTTGATCCTAGAATAGTCGGGATCAGAACTTGGTTACAAAGTGACAAATGCATATACATATGTACAAAGTGCACAGTCTCAGATATCAATAGAGATATACCTTTTGCAAATTGGACAACTCGTTGTGAGAATCTTCACTACCTTCTAATGCTTCTTCTTCATCCAATGTTCGTTCATCATCAAAATCATTTACCATCATTTCTGTTGCAGGACCACCCATATCAAAATCTCGATCTGCCCTGTACGAAACATACATTGTTATAAATAACAAAGAATGCTGCAGAATCTTTATAATATAAATAATCTTTATTATATTCTCAATACGGTTCTAAGTTCTTTTTATATGCGAGAGAATGTTATGAGATTGACATTAGTCGCTACATGGATGGATGTAAACTTACATGGTTCTACGTTCCCTATTCACTCAGATTGGAACATAACACACAAATGGTATACACACATCAATGCATAGACGACGCACCAGAATGTATCACCACATACAATCACCATATACAAGAACTATGCTTTTCAACAGTCTACATTATCATACCATTCTTCTGACGCAGAGGGTGGACAAGTTAGAGGCTGGCCTTGTAACTTAGCACATTTGATTCTATTGTCCGATGCAGGCGGGATAAAATGAGAGATACATTTACGTAGAGTGTGCTGTGGAGTTTAACCTCAAACTGGATTGATATTCGCGTCACGGTAGTACTCGCAACACTAATGCGTACAGTCTTGCATAGTGGCAATTGATATTTCGCAGATCATCACTGGATACTCTCTCGGTCTCGGATAATAGATTTCGTCAATTCTTTTGCTTACAAACACCGAGAAATCGCGAGTCCCTCCCCTATTGTTCACAGGTTCAACAACAAACCCCTGTCTTTCTCTCAATTCGAACAATCGAAATGTCACGAATTCTTTAAGGCACAATTTTTCATTGAGCGAGCATGATTCGTAACAACCACGTACGGCACATATAGAGATCGTTAATTATTAAACGACTCTTTAACAAAAAGACGCACACTACATTATTTATATTCGTCGCATTCACCCCTCGGCTTGTGTATGTTCCGAAAACGAATGCGAGTCGAGAAAGCGTCGTTACGGCCATTACCGCGAATATCTAGATTCTTCAACAGCCGGGAAGTAACACGTTCCTCGTAACATGATTGGTCGATGTATAATTTGTCCATTGTCAGAGCAGAGAATTTTCAAACTAGGTTTTTCACTCTGCTATTGGCTGCGTTCAGCGGATTCAACCAAGTAGTAATCGAATGTGATTGGTTTTTATTTTCAGATCCGGCCAATCACCGTCGAATTATATCGATAAATCTAGTAATGGCCGCATTCAGCGGACTCAACAGTTGGGTAACATTACTAGATTTTCTGACGTAATTCGACGCTGATTGGTCGGACCTGAAAGTAGAAACCAATCATATTCGATTGCTACTGTACGTCTATGGTATGTACAGCATATATATATATATATTAGGTATAACAACGTTTCGAATATTTGACAAGGCGTGTCCATTGTGTGTATGATTTCACGCGAAAGTTTTTGCATATACATCGAGTTTGCAAGTTCAATAAGTGAATACATATTTGTATATGAAAATATGTGCATATAATTTGTAAAAGCGTCTCTTGCAATATTAATATGAAAATCGTAAATCTCTGATAAAAATTTTACTGCGAATATATTATATATAAATTTTTTCTATTAAATTTATATCACTGTTTTATATTATTGTTGTTGTTGCATTTATTGACGTAGTATAATCATTGATGAAATAATATATGTATTTATGTAGAATTTAACCTGAACATTAGCAAAATATTAAAGAATATTTACAATTTTGCTATTCTGTTTATATGATGTGTGTGTGCACATGTATGTATTCCAGAAGAATTATATATCATTGAATACGTATCATTGTGATAATACACATTGCAATTTATAAGAAAACACATACATCATATTAAATATCTCTACAACTTGTAAGTATAAATAATTAAATTAATATCTTACATTGTTTGATACTTAATTGTTTTTTTATTTCGTTTAAGTAAATCAAGATGCATTATGGAAAGAAATCTCCCAGTATGGGAACACCATCTGTATATTCTCATGTAACTACTCGCAGCAGTGCAAATCTTAGATCGTCAAGATCTGCTCGCAGCGTAAAAATTCCATGGTATCAGAAAACAAAACTGACACATGCTTTTATATTCGATATTCAAAGGGGTGCTATGTTTACTGCTATATTTTCATTGGTATGTTTAGCAAAGCTATTTTTACTTTAGAAATTGTTTAAATAATACGAAATAAATTATAGATTAAATAATACAAAATAAATGTTTTTTTTTTTTTAGTGTCTGGCCTTTTTCACAGTGTGTACAGCTATTTTTGATATCTACTGTCTGTCACAAGCTGCACCTGGTTCTACGCATTATGGATATTACATCATATCATATGAATTTGTTTATGTAGGCAATCAACATGGTAAGCATAATTTTTAACTTTAAATATACTTGATGCTTTATATACGTATAAGAAGAAATAATTTTAAAAGTTGTTTAAACAACTGATGGAAATGTGCAATAAAAATATTGATTTGTTTTTTTTCCAGTTCGTAATGCATTAATTGTATTTGCATTGTTCTCCATGTTGGGTGGAATAGTTGTCTTTGTAACTTCCTTGATGTTGATCACAGCTTTACGGAAAGAATATGAAAAGAAAATAGTACCATGGCTGTATAGTTTTGCCATATTCACTCTTTTCAGACTATTTGCTTTTATATTTTTTAGCATTGTAAATGATATGATATTTGCCTATAATATCATAATGTGTCTTCTATGGATAATATTTATCTGCATTTCTGCATATGGTTGGCTTGTCATCTATTCTTTATATCTTGAATTGTCCGATTTAACAAGATTAGAGGATCTTGCTCATTTGCGGGTATGATATATAAATTTACTTTATCATATTACATTATAATTATAGTGTGACAAAGAACTTATGAGATGCTAAATTATTTGAAATTTTACTTTTTCAGATTGGTACAATGCAATCTTTAAATGCATCAACGACACATTCTATTGCTGGTTCTCGACCAACAACGCCTCATAGCGTAGTATCTACTTTGCCTGTTAAGTAAATCTTACATAATATATAAAACTTATTCATAATAATTTTATATATATAGTGGATAAAAATAGTATTTTTTTGGACGTTTTTTTTCTTTTTTTGAGAATTTTATGCTAGAGAATTTTATATTAGAGAAGAAAAATGTTACACAAAATACTTCATTTTATATATATTAAGGCTGCGTTCCAAAATTCACTGCCACTAATGAAAATCTATAGTTTACATGACGTACACTATAGATTTTCAGTACTGGCAGTGAATTTTGGAACACAGCCTAAATACAATTGAAATATATTTTGGTGAAAACATTTTGGAAAATGAAAACTTTTTCCAAAATATATATTTTCTCCTTAAACTATTCTAAACAAGGTAGAGTTCCAAATAAATACTTTTTTCAACTACTACTTTTCATATATATATATTTTCTGCTTTTATATATATAATCAAATAATTATTTGAGGTAAACAATGATAATTAACAATTTTGTATATATAGATTAGTTGCACAAAGAACTCAAAAGAGTTATATGCAATTTTTTTTATAGTTGTACTGCTTTTTTAAAATTTTTATAAGAAACAGATTAATCAACATAATATGTAAGTTATATAAATTTTTATTTGCTATAGCAATGACATTTATTAGCATATATAATCTCGAACTTATATATTATTATGATTCCGTCCATATATAAAATGCATTAGATTTATCGATATATATATATATTATATATTTGTGACATGTATTATTCCGTCCATTTATATCTCGTAACTAAAATTTTTATATTATCAAAGTGTTCATTATATTAAAAACTAATATATTTACATTTTAAAAATATATTAAGCATTTATACAACTCTGTTTTAATGAATAATACCCAAGTAAACCAAAAACAATGAAGAGGATTAAATCTATCATTTAGTGTATCTGAAACCTGAAATTCATAATCTTTTATTCTAAGTTTCAGTAGTAACATTAATATTTGAAGAATATCATATAAAATATGAATTAGCACAATTATGCACAATTGCAAGTATGAAATTTACCTTAAGAAGAGCATCATAACTAAAATGTACATAAACAAACCAAATGGATTATTATTCTTAGATTGACTTATATAAATTATCAATCAAGAAAGAGGAATAAACTATATTTTATCAAAAAATATAGTTGCAATATTAATCATAAATTTTTTACAGTGTGTTCTAACCATAGCTATTTGCAATATTTTTGCAATATTTTATATTATTACATCAAAATTTTATATTTTTACATTTATTCAATATAATTTATTTAGCATATCTTGCTGTATTAACAGTTTAATTTTTGCACGAATATTAGAAAAAATACATCTCTTATAATATGTAATTTATATTCTTGTATTTGAAATATGGATATACAAATATATATATTTTCGGTCCATTTCTCTTGCGTAATATTTCATATAATCAATATCTGTATGTGAAGGAGGTATTTATGATGTTAGAAGTAATATTATAATGATAAATAAAAAAGAATGTGCCATAAACACGTATTGATATGTACACACATTTGAGTTATATAATGTTAGTTTAAATACCACTGATCGAGATGATAATACATATTCAACAGAGACAGAGGTCTTTTGATTGAACAACTCGTTTTTACAATGACAGATTTTGTTTGAAAGGAATGTTTCGACTCCAAGAAGAGCTTCACTCATGATGATCCTCCTCTGAATCTGTATACGATTCTCGTCCTTCTCTAACAGTTCGACGTCTTCTGGGAATATCTTCTGATGTTACGTGACCAACTAACAAAATTGCTCTACCCAGTAAATTTAATAGGAACACGCTGATCATCGACAAAAACTGCTGGATTATACTGAATGCTCCAGTGGCGATATACATCGCGATGGCTAAACACATGGCGAAGGCCACGTGGTGATAATTATCGCCATTTATTGACACCTGAATCGTGAAGAGTCATAAAGAGATACCGCGATCTACGATAATCTGCCAAATTCATTCATGAGTTCTGTTTCGCAATAATTATCCTGAAAATTCCAAAAAAAATTTCATGTACAATGTAATAGATATATATTTTGTTGTAATATTTTATAGTATCTTATAATATTTTATATACACACAGATATATATATATATATATATATATATATATATATATATATAGTCATACATCTTTATTTATAAAGAACATATTTATGCACATTCTGTCAATATGGACTGAGTAGTATATATATTACACATGAACATTTTACTTTATCATTGCATTACAACATAATGAAATTTGAAAATTATTTATTTTCATTTTTCATATTTTTCGTATTTTCATTTTTCGTTCTTTGCTTTTTCAGAATAACTTTGACATAGCAGTACGTTAATAAATTCCGCGAGATATCGCAAAGTCAAAGTACAAGAACCATTATAAAGTGTATTAATAAGTAATCTTACCAATGGAATTAGATAAACAGTTTTTAAATGAAAACAATATCATATGACTTCTATCGCTGTCATACATACATATATATATATATATATATATATATATATATATATATATATAGTTTATATATATATATATATATATATATATATAAACATATATTTTGTAAATTATTTAATCAGTTAATTTTATGTGTGTGTGATAATGAATTTATTTTAAATATCTTTAAATTTTTTGAAATATTCATTTTATCTTTAATAAAAGACAAAGCGAATTCATGTGTTTATAAGAAATAAGAAAATGATCAAAAATAGCAAAGCAATTCTGATTGAAAATATTCTCGCATTATCTTATCTTATTATCTCTTAAAATTGACATTGCGTTATTACAAGAACTTGTATAATAATGTTATTAGTAGATTATGTCACTGAATTGAAGTCTTTGAAATGTGCAAATAGTTGGACGTCACGAAATGTCAGTGTTCAACACAAACAAATTCGATTAAGAAAATATATATACAATAAACAAGATAAATGATGCACCTGAGGTAATCGAGCTTAATAAAAATACAATATAAATGAATTAAATTCACAGTATAAATGAATTTAATACGATATAAATGAAAAGTATCTGTCTTTCTAATTTTTTGCAACTATTTGTTCTGATTCAAGATTCAACTTGCACACATTTAAGCGTTGCTCCACAATGATGCGATACTCTGAACGCCCTCGTAAAGGGGTGCGGGCTCATTCCCGCGAAGAGCGCATATCCACCCAGTCATATGACTGCAACTGTGCTTCTAGAATTTATCGATTTCTGTAAGCTCCGATGTTCCTTGGTGGAAGATGACGCCATGAACGACTACTCATTGGACGGTATCGACTTTGAACTTCCGCCATTGGTCGGCAAGCCGGTATAAACGCTGCTTTCTCGTATTTTCTTTCAGTTGTGTTGTTGCCCACTCACTGTACACTTGGTAAGTGATCTGCGATTTTTCTTTTCTTTTTTTTAATTTTACAATTTTTATTAAAATCACGCAATCGAAATCGACATGTACCATTTATTTACCTATTTCTATTTATGTTTTATTTTTCTCATTGAAAACTAAACAATCTTTTCTCTCTTGTTTCTGGTGTCTTTAAAGATATTAATATTTATCAAATGTATGTAAATGTATGTAAATGTATTTGTTATATCTTTTCAATATCTTAATTATTTTTCACATTATATATAGCGCTTTCAAGGTTGATTACGACATGACGATCATAGTGTAAAGACAGATGTAATATCAACGATATATATCGTGTGAAATATCCTTTGTTTCATGTTGGGGTTTGACCACTCGGCAAAAAATCAATGGCCGGTGACATTTGGATTGCAAATGACGTTTCATGATGTTTGTCGTGTCGAAACTCATATCGAACTCGTGAGACACGACAGCTGATTATAAACTATAAATTTAATACATTTGATGTATATACATTTTGTTGGAAAATAATTTCTTACACAATTCAGTTTATAGTTTTATAGCAAGTATTTGTTGAATATTTCAAATATAAAACGAAAAAATGCAATGATGAATGGAAAGAGAGTCCATGATTAATTTTATAAATATGATACATAATTTGTTTTGCAACATTTGAAGGAATATTAATATTTTGTGATTAGCATCATTTCAATTGATCTTGCTCGCAATTAAAAAACCATAAGAAGTTTTCAAAAAATATTTTTATAATATTTTCAAAATAACATCGAGATTAATTTTTATCTCAATTTAAATTTCTCTTTTGAAGAGATGCATTTCTTCTAGATCATAATAATGGCTCGTGAAATAGATATTATGATATTAAGTATGTAATATATTATTTCTTCAACTAATTATAATTTTAACTAACGTTGACCGACATTATAACACGCGAAAGTCGACTCGTCGAGCATGCGTTGTGCGGTACAGTTGCACTCGAAGAGTTTTTCCCACGCAAGCCGGCATCGTTCGTTTAATTCGTACATATATATGTATACACACATTCTCGAATTGGCAATATCGCAAGCAATTTCGCGAAATGCAAGTCGCGTTGCGACAAACGAAGCGGCGTCGATTTGTCGGCGAAGCTAAGCATGTTTCACGGTACATCACGTATATTATGTGTATGAGCATCATTACTGAAAATTTGTCACATCGATTTTTCATACACCCACACTGAGAAATTAATGGCAAATACCGGGAACAAATACTTTCGCGTGCAGCTCAATTGCGGTTTTTATTTCACTTTATTGCATATGACTCATAAGTCATTTCGCGTGACCATCGACTCTCAATGGTTCGATTCTTTGCGACAGTCCTCGAGAAAAATAAGGTAAAAGCAGTTTGACACACATGCTACGAATCATCTATATATAATCTATATTAAATCGGTATATTATTGATAATTCATGTTGAAATTTGTATCAATAAATCACAATTTTATATAACTAATTCGAGAAAATGTAAGAGAATTAAGAATAATATTAAAATTTTTTTTCAAGATTAACAGAAATATCGCTACGTTGGAAAATAATAATATTTGGAAATCTTTTTCGATACGTGTATGTTCTGTACTTTCCTGCCATACAATGACAGGAATAATCAATATGCACCTTTTGTTTTGCATCGACGTATTCTCGTGCGCAAGAAAGTTGCAAAATTTTCCAGAATTATCTTGATTTCTTTGAAAGAGGGATAACAATCATACAATTACTTTACCTTTTTATATTTTATATATTTTATATAATTATATATAATTTATATATTTTATTTAATTTTATATAATTAATATATTTTATATTTTATATAATTATCTTTTTATATTTTGCAATTTTTAATTTGTTCTATTTTCGCAATATAAGGCAAGAAATTATGTAAAAATTAAGATTTATGATAAAGAAGAATGACTTTGAAATGTAAAACAATTTTAAAAATTTCAGCAAATTTTTTTTATTACTTCAAACTACATAAAATTCCACAACAATTTAATCATATCATTCGTTGTAAAAGAAACGTACTTGAATGAAACTCCGCAAACATCGAATGACGGAGGCACGGCATCGATGCGACATAAATTTCGTCACACAGCAAATATTTCAAACGTGGACTTTGTACTGTGGCTCTAGCACGATGACACTTATACCTTTGCATCGTATTTGCATTAGTAAATTATAAAAAATACGATGATTATTTCAAACTGCGTATTACAACAAGTAATTCGTAGATATCTTAGCAACGTCGCAGTCGACTAGATAAGTTAGTTTATTATGTACATAAAAGTCGAACGAGGAAGTGGGATAGCGTTATTGACGCCCAGTAACGTCAGAAGTCAATTTCGAATTTAGCCTTTAAAATAAGACGAAAGTTCGAAGTCCGAATAACAATTTCTTTTATTAGATCAATTGCGGCAGATTGTATGTATACAACGATTGCATAATTGATTACTTAAATCCAATAACAAACCAGTCGCATGACTAGATATACGCAAAACAAGACGATCGAGCAAAGTCTGCTCGCGAATCGCGTTTCGATGCGTTCTTTGAACTCTGGAGGCGTCACTCTATCTCATTTATTTAGTCTACTCGTCTATATTTATTCACAGTTATCATTAATTTATGTAATGATTTTTAATTAAATATGTAAGGTATATAAGTGTTCTGATTCTCTCTATGTAAACAATGATTCAAATACTGTTACGGCCTCTTACGCAATATTTATTCAAACACTTGAAGACCGATATAAACCACAACATACACTTATTCGAAAAAAATAGCAAACAGTGTTCACTACAAATGAATACTCTCTCCCGTTGGCGGACGACCAAGTCGACCAACATTCTCTTTTCATTCTCGGTGTTCTATTTCGGTATTCGAGAACTTGGTGTGCTGGAAATTTTTCGTATACGCAGAAACAGAGATACCTCCGACGCGGTATCACGTACGCTTCTATAATTTTGAGAAATCTATCGAATCTAAATCGTGAGACACATACCGTGATAAACGGAAACGAATCAATTGATCGTGTTTAACATTACGGTATAAATTTAATAATTCTTATCTAGATAATTTTTGTCGCGTGTACTTCGCTTGCGGTCGAAAACAACTTATAATATCCATAAAAGTGAATATTAATTTACGTTGATTCTCGATAACGAATCGATCTGTTATTCTCGATGCAATATATTTTCGCGCTTATCAATCATTTTATGTTGTTGAAGTCCAATCTGTAAAATAAAAGTAGCAGCTACAGCGTTCGATCGCATCGATCCGATTGACTTTCGTATCGGAGTACTGTACCTTCTCTCGCATCGGTTTTGTTCACAGGAGAATAGTATGTATAAAGAAGTTCACAATCAAGAAATCAAACACGAGTGCTCGCGATCGGGAGGACTCCACGCTTATCCCGATCACTTCAGGGAACCGCACCTTTAAAACCACGTTGGATTCATGAACGTCTGAAGGTTCCTCTCTTCGTCCTCTGGTAGGACCTTGTATATAGTGTACATAGAATCGTTCGAGAACAAAAGGAAATCCCTTGCTGGAGGAAGACGAGCGAACTCGAGGGATCGCACTCTTGTCGCGCGAGGAGAAAATCAACACCGCGAACACCTTCAGCTACACGCGTCAGCGGTAATAAAAGGGAGAGATAAAAAATAACGACCGCATCATGAAGCAAGGAACGTCGGAAGATTTTTCACTTGGCTTCAAGTTGCTTACCGCTGGCACGGCAGCCTGCATCGCCGATTTAGCTACCTTTCCGTTGGACACCGCCAAAGTCAGAATGCAGGTAAGCGGTAAAATAATTCTCGCTATCGTTCATTTTCCGTAAGATTTCTTTCTCTCTTTTTACGATCGATATCATGATTTTTCAAGATTGCGGGGGAAGGACAAGCTCTATTGCTAGCATCGGCGGAAGGTTCAGTTTTTGCAGTAAGAGCGAGCCAGCCGGGATTGTTCCAGACCATCGGGAACATCGTTAGATTCGAAGGCGCAAGGTACGTTGTTCATTATCCTTAATGATAGTTTAAGGAACGCGAGGTGGTAGGTAAAACATTATTCATTTAATTTATTAATGTTTGTATAAAATATCGCGATACGCATATATATATATCTATACTCGGATTTATATAGGGTTTTTGCCTAAGCGATGATTCGATTTAATTAGAAACTGCTCATAGAGCTGTTTAGATAATCGTTTCATATTCAAGTATCAATCTCTCTGAAATGATGATATATGATATTTCGTAATACACAGACTTATTAATCAGTCTTCTTGTTTCGGCGTGTGCCAGATTGAGCTGATGAATTTTTTCGTCATTTAACATGATTAAATTAAAATTTACATGCTAGAATTTCACGAAATTGCATGCATGAAAATATTAATTTAGAAATTAATGTTAAATGTGTGTCGAATCAAATTTCAAGATGATTTTGCAAATGATGAATTAAATATTAAAGTAGATTTAAATGTCAAAAACGATTTATCATCATTACATTTTTTCTTATTTTTTTTTGGTATGATTTGTGATTGCAATGATAACATTATATATTTACGATGCAAGTTTGCCACGTGGAGTGTCTTTCTTTAAGCCTTGACGTAACCGATCATTATTCAACAGCTCATACTCCACATATGAGTAAAGAAAGGATCGATGTAAAATGATCGCGATTTCGTGCTTTCCATCGAAATGTCTTTCGATACTTCTGGCACATGCGTAAACAATACTTTCTGCTTATTATGAGAAATTAATCTAGAGAATTAATTTCTGGATAAATATTTTTTTTTAATTTTGTCTTTCAATCAGATGCCATGGACAAGTGCTTCCGATGCTCACCTATGTTGTAGAGGAATTTGTATAAGATAATTGAAGAAATGCAATCAGCTACCAAAAATTTATCACTAATTCGGCGAGAAAAATTGAACAATGTAGAGCAAAATAAGCAAAACAAGCCTTGTCGATGACACTCCCATCGAGATTTCTCCTGCCGTCTCATTATTTTGATTATTTTATTTCTTTTTCGCACGTGGATTGTCTCTTTTTCATATCTCGTGATTATTTGCAAAAATTGACGAATTATATTTTTACTGCCTTTCTCCTTTTTACGTGAGATATTTATAAATTCTTTATTAATTTTTGCAAGATAATTCGAGTTGCGATATACCGGATGTAAAACGAACGAATACGTGATATTTCACATAAACTTTCTTATATGCCACGTGAAATATTGCGAAATTTTCTATCATTCGATAACGTAATAAGATAGTTGGGAGAGACAATCTACTTATCCCTCTTACATCGTATGTTTCTCTTAAGTTCTCACGCAGCTTCTCTCCTTTTTCTCAGTTTTTCTTTTATACTGTGTACCTTATCTAGCAATGACTTACTTTTCTAACGACCGGTACCTTCCTCGATTGAGTCTTGAATTTCGCGATAACATAATTTATAATCAGCTGACAATAGTGCTCTCTTTCCCATTTATTTCTCGGCTCTCGGGCCGCTTCTCTTTTCTCTTACGCGTCTCCGATCTACAAATCACTTTTCCAACAAATGATATTGATTTTACACTAAAGCGATATTCGATATGTAGAAAAATTATATAAGAGAAAAGCGAAGAAAAAAAATCGCGCGGATGGTGAAAAAAGAGGGAAAAAGGGGAGAGAATAAAAGAAAAATACGCGATATTTATATATATAAGACAATGTAAAAAAAGGACATAGTGAAACAGAGAGCAAAAGAGAGAGAGAGAGAGAAATGTCTTAAAGAAAGATGCCCTGGGGATGTGCGTTTGAGGTGAATTGTGAGGGCGGTGAGCTTGAGCGAGGGTGGTTACAGGAGCCTGTACGGAGGTCTGTCCGCGGGACTCCAGAGACAGATGTGTTTCGCCAGCATACGATTGGGCCTCTACGACAGCGTGAAGTCACTCTACGCTGGAATCTTCGACGGTACATCCAATAAACTCCTAACTTTTTCATAATATATCTTCTACGATATACGAAAGTAGCCGCGCGTAGGATTTCACTTGCATAATATTACACACGTACAGGCACACATTAGAGCACACGTTTCGTCATATTAGTAATATGATATACACATACATATACATATACATTATTATATATATATAATGCATACATTTATAACAGTATTGGACGATATTATAAAAAAATGTCGTGGTTATAAAAGTTATATTTGATCAAATATTTGCCGAAAACAATTATATTTGTATCCAAAGAAAAATAATATGAATAATGTTTCTTTTTGTTTGCGGATACATAACAATTGTAGAAATATTTTCAAAAACAATAAATTTTATGTTATATATTAAATGATATTAATGCGATTTTAATGTTAAAAATAAAATATTAACAAATTCAAATATTGTCGTTCAACACTGATATAAAAACAAAGACATATATTCATGAATGTTAAATTATCATATCGGCGCTCGTTTTATCGACGAAAGTTTTCGCAAGTTCCACGCGCGGATTGGATCGCCTCGGATGGGATGTTCGAAACGTGTGTCCTTCCTTCGTCTCTGTCATTTGCGAGGCTGAGAGAGGCAAGCAAGGGAGATAGAACGAAAGAGTTAACAGTAAGAAAGTGGGAATATGGAAAAGTTTAAAAAGATTAACAAAAGCGCAAATACTTTATTTCTCAAACGGGATTCCGAGTATTTTTTGTAAAAAAAACTCTCTGTATTTGGATAATCGTTACATATTTATTCATTTCGTTTCATTTACGTTCGGAAAAAGTTCCGATTCGTCAAAACGATGTCCGAACAAAATGCCATCGCATTTTGTCTTGAAAAATCTGTAGTACATTTGTTTGGATGTAATAGTTTAAAAAAGTAATTAATAATTTAAGAATCTTTCTCTTCGTCTTTTTGACGAATCGCTGAAACTTTTCCTAATTTTTTTTTTTCGATTTGATATATTTATCTTTTAATCGTTATACTTTCTATAGTGGTTTTTCGATATTCTTGACGATTGTTTGTATATTTTGCGATAATTTTTAATAATTTTTAAAGGCGTGTGTTAAAATAAACTCGCAAAATTCTACGGGTCGTTTACGGTGTGTTCGGGTCGTTCGTATGTGCATATACTTCAATATCAGATATATTTTTACATATTTTTTATACAATTTTAAGTGACATATAATTGAACTGGATGTAATTATCAATGATTTATTTTGAAAATGTAAATTGTATATTTTATCTGATTGATAACAATCTCACCATGATTTATATACATTTTGTATATAAATCAGGCATGCACAGACGAGATCATTTTTTCGACAAGTGAAAGAAAATTCGGATTTGTAATGTTGAGCTTAAAATCTTGGCATCTTATATTTTTTTGTATTTACAAAATTTATTTGCCACGGTTAGTGTTTTATTACATCGACGAATTTTATTTTGTTCACCACGCGATAGCTTATATTTTGACGATAAGTACATTTTATTTTTTGTAATTACGGTAAAGCGACTCTAAGAAATTTATTATGCAAAAAATAAAAAAAAATTAATTTGTAATAAGTAATTGAAGAACATTTAATGAGTAAATAAGAAGCGACCGACGCGCAACCCGCGTCCGTCCTCTCCCGCATCGTTATTAATTTTTTATCTATCGAATCATGACAGCTCTTCATCGTTCGTTTTTATATTTCAGCAGGTAATAATAGGAGCTGCACATCTCTGAACATTGGCGTGCGAATCGCCGCAGGCATCACGACGGGCGCTTTAGCGGTGCTGCTCGCTCAGCCGACCGATGTCGTCAAGGTCCGTTTACAAGCTGGAAATAATGGGCGATCATCGGTGAGGTATAGCTCCACTCTGCAAGCTTACAAGAATATCGCTAGCGTGGAAGGCGCGAGAGGCCTTTGGAAAGGTGAGAAAACTTGTTGCACGTACTTTGTAGAATTTCGCTCAATTTCCCGTTAGGTTTCCCTCTTGTTTTCGTCTCTGTAGAGACTTTTACTTGAAACAGCCTTTAAAAATATCTTTTTATATCGCTGAAATAACTGGACTATCTTATCACGCGTCAGGAACTATGCCAAACATCTCGCGGAACGCTATCGTGAACGTGGCGGAGATAGTCTGTTACGATATCATCAAGGATCTCATCCTGGTCAACGGCTATCTCCGCGATGGGATACCGTGTCACTTGACCGCCGCGACGGCCGCAGGACTTTGCACCACTTTGGCAGCGAGTCCCGTGGACGTGGTGAAGACGCGTTACATGAACAGCGCCCCCGGCGAGTACAAGGGCGCGATGGACTGCGCCATCAGGACCTTCGCCCAGGAGGGCCCATCCGCATTTTACAAGGGTTTCGTGCCGAGTTTCTCGCGCCTGGTTTCTTGGAACATCGTCCTCTGGGTGACATACGAGCAAATGAAATTGCAAATGAAGAAGTGGCATGGCATTGAGTAAAGATCTTCTTGTTCGCCGACTATTCCTCGGGAGATGAAAAATCAACGTAAAGATTCTGTTGTAATATTGTGTTACTTTATCGAAATTCACATTTTCTGTAGAGAATTAGCGTTTACTTAGACGAAACGTGTGCAAATTAAACATAGATAAATCGGAAATTTTTAATCCGCCAGCAAGTACTACGTGTTAATCATAAGATACGATTCCAGCTGATGATGATGAAACATATTCTCGCTGCTTCTTTTTTCTTTGCATATTTTACATGTATTTGCGTATTATCACTGAATTATTATTCAATTTTCTAATTGATTGTTAATCAAATTTTAAACAAATTATTTATATTTTTAAAAATAGTAATATAAAAGCAATAGCAATACTATATAATTTCATGTTTCATTTATTGATGCGGATTTCATTTAAATATGCACAAGTGTATATATAATATTTTGTGGAGACAGTGGAGATTTCTTAGTAATTTGTTACACAAAGTTTGGCTATACACGTCAGTTTTATATACTTATAATAAGGCAATTAGGCCATTTCAGTAAGATAGCTTAGATGATGATTACATGAGCATCATTAATAAAACAGACAATAATGTTATAAAAATTCATTCCGATATCTTTGCTTAAATTTAGCTAGAGTCTCACAGAAAATTTGCAATTATGAATTAAAACAAATCTTTTTTTCAACGTTGCTTTAATTAGTTGATTCATTAACGTAACGTGCAATCTTGTATAACATAATCTCGATTTAGTCAATTAATATTATACAGGGCACAATTTTTATTGTAGTTTAATCGACGAAATATTGTTATTAAGTAATTTAATCCGCGAGCAATTGGGCGTTAAAAATCTGCTATTATCAAATTTTACGTACTCAGATTATTTGTAATTAAATATATTCATTGCCAAGTTTTATAGGACGATAATACTACAGTGTCGTTTTGTAATATATTTGCAATTGTATCGCCGACTTCCGATGACGACAACCGTGCTCGATTTTAAAATGACATATACAAGTATACTATACAAGTATCACATGACTGATTATGCTTAATTAACAAGGTGTATTCTTATACCAAGAATTTTGCAATTTGCTTGCGAAATAATTAAACAAATGCGTAGAATAGAGAAAGCGATATCATCATGAATTCTGCAATATAGAGATATAAAATCAGATAATAATTCATTTTTCCCGTCAAAATTGATTCCATCCTATCAAAACTCCCTCCTATCAAAATTCCATCAAATTTTGAGTTTTTATTGAAATTAGTTTATTGATAATAGTATGTAGCAATTTATTTTTTGTATTTATATTTATAATTACTTTAAAGTTGCACTATTATGTGGTACAAGATAACTATTTATTCCAATATTATATTCAGCATAATTAAACAAAATGATATCTTGGTATATAAATTAGGTTATTATTTTCTAAATTATTGAAAAATAATTTATTTATTTGTTTAAATTTTATCAGCATATAATTACTGTTCAGATTATTCTTGTATCACTATAAAATTTATAATTAATGCTATATTGATATAAGACTCATCAAGAACCTAAGATATAAGATATCGTAAATCATATTTCACTACAGATAAGAGGATCAAAGAGCGAAGTCTCATAAACCTACAGGTAATCACAATTTAATAATATTTATATATTTATTAATCATACGTAAGCGTACAAAGTATAGAGCGAGGTATAATATGAGGGAATGTGTGGTACAACTCCCTTCATTTGATATCGTTTAATATTTTTTCATGAAGATAAAATCCAAAAATTTCTTAAATATAAAAATTTTATATTATTATAATTATTATTTAAATCATTTCTTTTAACGATATATATAAAATTCATGAATTTTATTTTTTCCTAAGTAATCACGTAATCACATATAATTAACATAAGTAGCGTTCTCACGCTATTAACTCTATAGCACAAATAATTTTATTTATATGACAAAATTCAATTTCCAAAATATGTATAAGTGTGCTTTGCAATGTAAATAGATATAAGAGGTAGCGGTTACTAGTTTTAAATAAACATTGTTTAAGATTTTCTCTTAAAAGTTTTCTCGTAAAGTATGACACACTTGATGCTATACTATCAGAACGGAAATTTATATCAATTTTTAAATTTTATACAGACAATTAACTAATAAATTTTATAATTGCTGATACTTGACTAAAATGCGAAGTCTCTTAAGTCTCAAAATCAGATTCATTGGGTTCGCTATCGGAACATACTTCATCATCTATGCAGCCTGTCTCTTCGAGGAGATGTCCTTCCGTGGGAATTCTAAAGGAGACATAAGACATAATTAACGATATTGAATGAAACGATAATAAATGATGAATTGAACGAACAAACTGTTGAACTTAAAAATCAGTAAGTACACGTATGTACACATGTTTAATGATTATTTAACCATACATTTAAAAAAATGACAGTTCTTTGCTTAAGTTGTTATTATCAATATAGGCAAGTTAGTTCGACACCGATAATAACGCAAATGTAACATGAAACAATTTAATGAAAGCGTTAAATTGGCACACGGGTGATCATACACAAATCTTGCCTTAGAATTGTAATTGTTTAATTATCTTGTTTGCTAAGAGGGTGCCATAGTATGATGTATAGCGTGTTTATCCTGAATACATTTCGGAATCTTCCGCGATTTTCGTAAGACGCACTTTCTCGGGCAACAGGCCTGTTCCGTCGAGCTATGTCGAATAACATATTAATCTGTAGAATCTCTTATCTTGATCACAATAATAGAATAATTCACATCTCAAGAAATAGCTCGCAAACTAACAATATGATCTTCGAAAGCGTTGTTTTCTCTTTTGAATGCAAGATATTGAAATCCTTTATATATAAATATATATCCAATGTTCTTCTTTTTTAGTAAGTATTTTGCCAATCGTAAATGCATTCATATTTAATTTAGATTTATTCTTACGAAAATAAATGAAAGCGAAATATTTTCACGTACTTTCCGACAGCCCAATCGTCATCGGCGTCTTTCATCATGGATAGAGCTTGACAGAAATCTTTCCCAATAGCTTTAAGATGCCCTGTATCGAGATGCAATCCGGCCAATGTGCCTTGATCACACCCACAAAAGCTGCTCTCCATCGTATAACTTCTGTTTGAATGAAATATTAATGAGTACTAATGATTATTAATGGTTAATGATAAACTGACATTTTTTGTAATATTTATATAATTGCATTTTATTAAAAATACAGGAGCATAAAATTAGCAAATATAAATGCAAAACAAAAATGTTTCGCGCTATTAATTTTAATGTTAGTCAAAAATTAGTGTACATGATTTTAATTCCGATAAAGAGATCTTTCATATTGGATGTGTTTTCGAAACATTGCATCGAATAACTTTGTTGTTTCAGAATCACATTGCGAATCAGATCGCTGCCTAGTCGTTTTACCTCGAGACACCCAACTGCCGCCATACAGCCACTCTGGCGGTGGATTCCTTATTTCTCTCGACCTTGAAGGAACAGAGCGGCAGAGCGAAAGCCGGCGAGGTCCTCTGCATGAGATGCGGTAACATCTGATACAGAACGAATGCCCAAGAGGATTATTACGAGGTCGCATTCGGTAGCTTTGATGAAAATCCTGAAGTCTTGAGAGGACAAAAACGCCCCTCTCGCGATATTGCTGACTGGTTATCGCTAATTAATGCTCTCAGGATGAAGTGAAATAAATGGCGGTTGTCGCGACGCATAATTGCTCGCGCAAATCGAAAGCTGCGAAAAGTCGCTGAAAGTGACAAACTTCCACTGGATAGAGTCAGTAAATGTAAGATGAATGATCCGCACGCGAACGAAGAACCTAAAAATATTGCCTATAGTCGATTCCGTCGATTCTCTTACCAAATACTGCAGCGGCTGGTCCGGTTTCGCCCTGTCCGCGGCGCTCCAGGAACCCGACCTTGAACAACCGAACAGAAACACGTTCTTCCTCCGCGAGTGGCCGTGATAGTCGACGAAAACGTGGGGCGGCCTCTGAAGCACCCTGGCGCAGTATTCCATCAGGCCCTTGGTGTGATAGATCACCGGGTGGTACATCTGATTGGGATTGCTCCAGCGTCGGTTCAGGTCTTCGTTTGTCAGACCGTAACGATTGCTGTCGACAACGAAAGCAACGTACGTTGTAAGAACGTTAAAAGACATATATCGATGAATGTTACACATAAAGAGACGGAACGCCAGTTCTAGCCGGACACTTCGTCATGGTCGAATGGTGCGATCACGAACGTTTAAAAGCTGAAGTTATTCGAAATGATCTTCGCTCTGCATTACACGTAGTACGATTGTAAGTGTATTATATCGTCAACTGTCTTATGGGAGACCGGAAATTCCAAAGCAGCTTTTTCTGATGTCAGCATATCTGATCATACAACGAGCTTCTTCTAACATTTCAATATTTGCCATGGAAGAATGCATGTGTTTCGATAACATGATGGAATAATTTTAACGTGTGCGAACGTTTATGCAGCAAGTTTCGAGATATTTATGCGTCTCTCCGAGAGAAGTAATTTGCAAGCATTATTTATTAACCAATTTCCTAAGATATTTTCTCAAGTTTACGATATCCGATAATTTCTTGGAAATCTATATATCAAACGCGTCTATCTATATGTATAGGTAAATTATGCAATAATGCGCTTAACGATTCGTCTCAATATATCGTTTGCGATCCAAGAAGGGAGGGACCGCGAGAGATCGTTTTCATTTAAGGATTCAGCCACGGTTAGAAGGACGTTTCCGGCGGCCGGAAGCCGGAGTCAGAGGAAGTGACGCCTTCTATGCGTCGCGCATAGCTAATAGTGGGGTATGGCAGGTGACAACCAATGAAGACGGTCGCTTGAATTATAGCTATTGTCTTGATACCACATATATCGTCCCGTACTAATATCTCGATCCATGGAAAATCAAGCAGACTCGATTTTTTTTCTGACGTAGAAGTGAAAGAAAAGTCAAGTTTTGAGTGAAACGACATTAAAGCATTAAGCTCAAAGCATTCGAAAACTCATACAAACATGCTTCATGTATCTGCGGCATTTAATGGAATAATTATGCATTTATTTATATATAACGCGATTTAAATGAGCACGCATGACAGCTAACGCTGACGTATGTACGCCTGATGACAGTTCCGTCGAGAGAGAAACGTTCACCGACTCGCCGCGTTCGCAGAAGCCGGCGAAAGAGGACAGTCATTCGAGATAATACATCTCATCACGCGCATGCAATGCCAAAAAAAAAACGATTGGTTGTCTCAGAACGCGCAGCGAAACGAAATCGTGAGGGGACGTGCAAGGCGCTTCGTCAGGTAACGCTATTAAGAACATTCAACATCTGACGGCGAGCATTACATCCGCGAAACAGGTCTCCGTCTGGCTCTTTTTCCCGAGCAAGATTCGAACACACGGAACTCTCTCCCAAATTTAAATTCATGAAATAACGTGAGACCTTGCTAAAATTAAATCGGAATTATAAGAAATATAATAAAGAAGCTACATCATCTAAAAATTTCAGTACATATGTATTTATTTATTTATGATATGTATGTAATAGTAAATTTAAATTTTATAATATGTTTATTAATATGTATGTAATAGTAAATTTAAATTTTTACGTAATTGATTATATAAGATAAAAGTACAGGTTCGCAGAGAGCTCGTTTTAATTCGAAAGTACTTCTGAATGTTAGGAATTTTCTCTTCGATTCTTATTCATGGAAATAATGAGATTCCAGTGTAGAAAGAACTCTTACGAGGATGAGTCATATGTTTGGAAACGATAATTGAATGCCTGCACAATGTGAGTGTCGCTGTTTTATTAACCATTCGATGTAATGGGCAGCATCAGTCTCTCTTCGTGCCATCCGCCAATGTCAATGACTCTTCGAGGAGGAGAGAAGCCTTGACTGCAAACTTCTCTCACCTCTAGTGAGATCCTGTACAAATTGTATGCAACCGACCGACTCGTCTCGGACATACACTTCACGTCAAACGTTCAAAGGATACCGCTTGTACATTTATGTGGTATCGCGAATATTTCAAATAAATAGCCATCAAATTCTCTCGTATGTAATTGAGATTATTGAATCAATTTGAAATTGATCCAAGATTCAATTTATCATTGACACTTATCTTTACACGCTTTAATCGACAAGTGCAGGCTATTCATGATAAATGTCGAGATTTTTATCATCGAGCTACGATAACTCAATCGAGATACGTTAACCAATCGATAACCAATAATCTTTAAATCTTTATTAATCTCTTTGTCGAGTTAAGCCGTTATCTCCACTCAAATGTGGCATAAATCTCTGGTAGAAAAACAGTAAAAAATGACAGCTCGAAAAAACAACCGCGAGATATTGGATCTTAGCGAGAATTCTCGGAATAACCGACAAAGAAATCGAGGAAGAGATGAGGGCGCGAGGACTCGGGAAGGTCCGTTCTTGCGATCGTAAAGCGAAATTCTTCGGTTGTCATGGGAACTTCTGCTTTCCTAGGGCCCTTCCTCTACGTGTGCATCGCGTATTTCTTCCGTGAACTCCACTACCATCCGTGTCCGCTCGCATCTATCTCCATCCCGTCTTCTCCGAGCTTGGAAGCATTTTCTCTCCGGGGTTATCCCGAGGTTCGATCGTGCAACAATCTCGTGGCTGGACGTTTTTTTTTTCCTCTCGGCTCCGTTTCCACGTCTCTGAATCTCGTGCATGAACACGGTAACGTCGTTTCGTAACGCATCGCTACGCACAAAGTGCGCAACGCACTAGTGTACGTTATAAGTGTTGCAAAAGGGCTCATTATATATTTAGATATTCATAAAAATTGTTAGAAGAATTCGTGAAAATATTGGAAACTGTAAACCATCATTCGAAATGAAGTAGATAGGTGACAAATATGTCGTTCCCTTCCTTTTTAGCGAAGAAGTTGAATGATCTTTCAATGATCTTTCCCTGGTCATTCCCCTATACACATCTAGCTTAATCAACATAATATCGGAAATCGCGTTGCGAGTGAAAAGGACAGCAACCTGTTTGCTTGGTGCTAAAAATATCGTGAATACCGTCGCCATTACGAGATTCGACACCGTCATTTGCGTTTCGAATGAGCCGGAACGGCTCATTCGGAGGCACGCAAAGTATCTAGTCGAGTTGTGCTCTGGGTGCGCGAGCATGATGCACCCGGGGTGCAATCGTGGCTGCTGCGCCGATGGGAGGAAACGAATGACGTTCCCTCGCCACGGCCGTTGTAGCGACTAACTGCACATTAGAATATTCGTGACCGGTCTCGATTTGCATTCCTCCTTCGACCCAAGGTCTCCGAGCCGACCCTTTTTCCATGGACGGCAAAGGGCGAGCAAATCCATTCGCTTCTTCTATGCCTCTCTCTTCCTCCCTCTCTCTTTCTCTCTCGCTCTCGGGAGATCGTTTCTTCGAAGACGCTCGTCTCCGGTTAAAACGCGATTTCCTCTCGCGGGAACAAAACGCGGCTTTCTTGCGAGTTTTTGCTCGTAGCGTCGAGGATGTCCTCCGAGGTTTAACGCCGATAAGAAAAGACGTATTATGAATATACGAGATGTGCGTCTGACGCGAATGAGACTGTGAGATTTTTCCATAGGCGGAGAGAGCCCCGGATAAATTATTCCAGAAGCGGATCGGCCGGATAGCATCATATTAATGAAGATTTATGGATCAAATGATTCGACGATATCGACCAGCCACTTTTATTCTCCCCTTATCCTCTAGTCTTTTTAGCTCGAGGGACGCAAGCGACTGTAACTTGTTCGTCATAACACAGAATGTCTTTTCGACGATCTTCTATGTATACCTCTTTGCTCGATTAATTTTTTTTTAGATCGATCAAGTATTATGACGGTGCAATTTCCGGTCGCGCTATCTAAACGATTGTTGATAAAATAGCTATTAAATATCACTATTAGAAAATTGCCGGGTGTAAATTTACATACTATTATCGATTTCTCTTATACAATCTACTCATCATCCGAACAATATAATCCTAATGAATTCCAAGGATATATTAGAAGCATGAAATGAAATTTTTCTACATCTTGTTTTAATATGAGACATATTGAAAATAAGATAAAAAATTTAAAAAAAATTTAAAAAAAATTAAAATTTAAAATTTAACTTTATAATACATTTATCCTTTACTCTTAGGAATACATATATATAAATCTAATATTAAACTCACACACATTATGTATCACAATATAATATATAAGACATATTGAAAATAAGATAAAAAATTAAAAAGAAAATTAAATTTAAAATTTAATTTTATAATACATACTTTATCCTTTACTCTTAGGAATACATATATATATATAAATCTAATATTAAACTCACTCAAACTTGTGATACATAATGTATCACAAGATGCACTTTGTCGCGCATGTGGCGCGTCTGATCTGCTTATATAAATATAATAAAGCGAACACCTCGTACAAAGAAACGTTTTTTCTTGAAAATGCGCCTTCGTATCATGTAACGAACCGATTATGTTAAGATCTCTTCACCTCGACCTCGTAATCGGGCGGACGAGAGTTCACGGTTTCAGGTTCTAGGTCGTCCTCTTAGACTCTTCCCCGAGGCACGTAACCGCAACAAGGGCGTGAGTAAAACCGGCCGTGGCAATGCTGGGATGACATCCTTAACGACCCGCAATCATCGCGCTCGTTATTACGCGGCGGTCATTCGGATCATTTCGTCATTAATTGCCCACAAGGTATATGTTGAAAGTAAAAAGAGAATCACGCAGTTCTCGATGTAACGCTCGAGGATATCGCGCCCAGGATATTACGTATTTCGCGCGTTTCACCGCGCCACATTCCGCGAGCGGCTGCTATAATTTCATTATATATTGCCCTCCCCCTTCCCGCGTGAAACTGTCTAAATATATATTCAGGACCTCAGCGGGGCTACATAATAAGCCGCGTACGTAATCGATGAACCACGCTCCAGAGAAACGATCGGTAGTCGGCGATCGGTTCTCAACTTTGAGTCTTCACATGCCACTGCATCGTAATATGTAATTAATTATGCGAAGAATGTAATTCATATGCGGTAAAAGGAGACATAAAATGCTATTTTACGATATAATTACGCTGAAAGTTCTTACGTTTCGAAACCAACGATTTATAATTATGTTTGCTTAAAATTCTGCGTGGTAAAAAATTAAAAGCTCTCAGATGCATTTGACAAATCGATAATGATCTATATCGATCTTATATTGATCTTCATCCAACAGTTTTGTTCGCTGAAGGGGTCATGTCATAACGTAAATTTATTGGTGAGAGACACTGTTTTAAGACTTTCCAAAAGAAAGAGCAAGTCCATAAGCTGCTCTGGTACTAACTGAATTATGGCTCCAAAAGAGTGAACCATAAAAAAGTGTGCAAGGTCGCACGGCCCTTTCGTACTACGAAGTCGCTCGACCACTCCTGCGCACTTATAATTGGATTCTTTCGGGATAGAACTGAATTCTATAAATAGTTACGCGTCGGCACCCTATCCGATCGTGTCGGGGCGATCTCTTTTTCTCGTATTTTTCGACGTTGCTTCTTGAGAATCGAATATAAAATTAAGATATACCTCGCTATTTGTAAAGGATGAAATGTAGAATTTTTACGTGAGCTTAAATATCTTTACAAATTAATAAATAACGTGAAATATGAAACGTCAAATTGTCCAGATTTATGTGAAATCTCGTCATTTCGAAGATTCTTGCGTCGGAATTTATCGCCTGGAATTTATTTCGGATGCACCTTTATCGTGTGGATAAATTTTGAAATATATTCGAGACACAATCGTCCGATTAATCGCGAAGCGATCGTATGAGGATCACTGTCCTAGAGGTATCAAAATGGAGGAACGCCGTCGAAGCCTCCGGGGCAGTACGGCTCCTCGGATCGTCTCGGTCCGAGACGTTGTTCGCGAGCTAAAACCGAGAGTTCCGTACACACAGAAAAAGGAGAAGAAGAGAGAGCCGGACGGTGGAGACGAAGGGGCACCGGAGCAAGAATGAGGAGGGTCGGAGGAGGGGAAGGGGGGGAAAGGCAGAATGGAAAAAAGGATGAGAGGAGAAGTAAGCGAGGGAAGGAAAGAAGAGAGCCTTACATAGCGCGATTTGCTGGCGGAGCCTGAAATAGACCTCGGCAAGAATCCCCCTGTGGCATCCTCCCTCTCGCATCTCCTGCCCCATCACTTTCCACGCTTCCTCCTCCTCGTCGCGCGGCCGACGATGGTCGCTGCTGGCCGTTGCTGGCCACCGCGGCGAACCCCCGTCTTTGCTTTTGTTTTAGGAAAAAAGGACCAAGTCCCTCGGCGCGGCTGTGAGAAGTTGTTCCTAGCGTCTCCCTCGCATGGAACAGATCGAGTAAAAGAAGGTAGGAAGAAGAAGAAGAAGAAGACGAAGACGAAGAAGAAGAAGAAAACGAGATGAAGGAGAAAGAAAAGTGCTGGTAAGAGAGAACGGAAGGACGAAGAGACAACGACGATGGCTATGATGATGATGCTGCTGGAAGATCGCTTGTTTATCCAGCGCACCGAAGCTCCTGCTTTCGTCTCTTATCTACCAGCACATAGAGAGATTCACGAGGAGAACTCCGTAAGTGTCGTCGGACCTGAGTGTACTCGAACGGACGCGTTGCATTCCCACGGGAATACCGCGATGGGAATCCAACCTGTTAAACTGACCTATACCAAAGTAACCGGCGAAACGTGACTTGTGCCGCGAGGTACAAGCTCAGGCATTCACGGCGCATTTCGATATATGCAGAAATTTCAAGATGTTTCCTCATTAATTCGAGCGTCATATTTAAAGTGAATTTTTTCTTAAGAGAATTTGCAATTTGAAATGCAACTATTATCGATTAATTTCTCATAGAATTCTCCGTTTAACAAATAATAAAAAATAAATCTTGATAGACTAATTAAAAATATATTATAATAAAATAAAATACAATTTACCATGATACAAAATAAAAATAAGGAATCTCATTACGACCGAATAATGGGTGATTATTTATATTAGACTATTCTAATTAATAACATGTTAGGCTCTAGCGTAGACCTAGTTTTAATACGAATAGCAAATCTTCGGATTTATATATAGGAATTGTTGAATTTTACATCGAGATGCATTTAATTTAAAAGAAACCGCAATACACGGCAACCGCAAAACGCCTCTTCATCTGCATTCTCGAATCGTGCCCGCGAAGGGAACCGGCATGGTTTACGCTACCCTGTCATTAAGCTCGCGGCGCGGCAAAGGATACAACAGACGGATGCTGCGCGGTAAGACCGGAGAAGAGGATAGTTTCCGTAGTGCGGTAGGTCTTGGATGTCACGCGAGGTGCTTTTTGCTCACGGCGGACAGTGTATGCCAGAAATAACACATCGCGTATCCGATCATTGATCCAGGCGATTCTGCCACCGGGCATATCACGCGAGAAAGAGACAAAACGAGAAAGATAATACCGTACACGGACGATAACGAGGGGGAAGAGAACGCGCCGTATTTTCTGGGGTACATATGTAGCCTTTCGTACCGGTTCCCCGTATCGTAATCAACGATCGGAGGCAAACGAGAGAAGAATCGATCGTCCGGTATTTCGAGAACAGGATCGATCATTCGAATAGAGGGAACACACAAAGGTAAAAAAAAAAAATGAAGTCTACCTTGAATAACGTAGGCATTTTCGCGGCCCAGGTTATCGATATACAGAACCGCATTCGATACCAGCGATGCAATATCATTGATCCAGCATTAAAATATCTGCGAATTAATAACATAAACTTTGAAACGCGAAAAATATTATAATGAAATATTTGAATGGTTCAGTAGAATATTTAGAAATTTCACTGAAAATCGTGAAAAAAATGCCTTAATGCCTAGGCATGAGAAGGAAGAAATTTAAAACGGTGTATATTGGTTCCACTTAATTACGGAATACCACGGATAGTTCCTCGCAAAATCATCGACGAGACATCGTATGCGAATGGATGCCAGTGAAATGCTCGATAACTCGTAATATCCCGTTCGCGAACGGTGGCCATCCCGACGATGCGATCTCGCGTCATTAATCACGAGCATAAGCTTAATTGAGACGCGCCCAGTAGTCCTCGCACGCGCCTCGCAGCCTATATTTTGCGATATTGTGCATTCGATTGAGAATTCCATCGGATCTCGTGGGAAGATGCGTTCGTAAGATGACGATGCGTTCTCGCGAGAGAAATCGAGCGTGAGAAGAAGCGCCGTAAGAATAGACGGCGCCAAAGGCCTCGAAGAAGCGAACCGGTTGAAGTCTCGACTCTCAGAAAATTTATAGTCGCCTCTTCTACGACAGTGAATGCATGTCGAACGGTATACCTCTCCGAAATGCTTCGCGATTCTACAGCAAAATCTATAAATCGTTAGACGAATCGATATTCCGATGGATGAGATTTAATCGAGCAGAACAATCGATTTTTTAACAATCGATATCTCTCTGAGCCTCCTCCATCGGTCGGTCCGTTTATTCGTTTAAAACTCGAGGTAGACATGTATAACGTATACGAGCCAAGTACTTGTATACGTACCGTATGGTACGTATACAAGGTATGGTCGAGAGGGTATAATTTACAAATTTTCTTTTCAAAGGTATACGATTTGTCGCAATTAGCGTTGAATTTAAGCGGCACGATCGTGCGTGTCGTTTCGCTGACGAATGATGCGAGGCGATTTTTAGGGGTGGATGATATCGGGGCTCTTTCGCGAAGATGCCTCCGAGAGAAAAGATGTTCAGAAATGAAGTCTGCCTTGAAACCGGCGTCTTTTTGCTGCTCATCGTCGATACAAATCCACGGAGAACCGTGAAGACGCGGCAAAGTAAAATTCCGCACCGCGAGCGAAAAAAGAGAGGAAGGGAGAGAAAGAGAAAGAGAGAGAAAGAGTATTCATGGTGTCGGCAACAAAGTGAGAACCGGGTTCGCGCGCGCGTATATTATTAATGGGATCAACATAAACGCTACATTGATCGATACGCGGATAACGACGTTTTTGCTATTACTCGTCCTTCCACTATTTCATATCCATGCCACTTGCCAACGGATTATAACTGAACAAACATTATTCACATTCGACGACTCCACTAGTTAATATAATTAACCCGATGTAATCATACGTTATCCGTTAATTTACAATCGTACCAACGCGAGATATATGTACGTATGGAATGACGCTAACAGGCTTCAAGACAAGTGGAGCAAACCATTCTTGTTGTAAAAATAATTATTTAATAATAGATGATCACGCGGTATTAATTTATTCGAGAATGAAAATGTACGATATATATATATATTTTTTTTTTCATTTACTGTAAAAATAAAATTATTTATACGAATTACGATTGCGAAAGTACATCTAAATATTTGAGCGTTAAAAACGTCGTGTCGAGTGTCTAAAAATACGTCTTTTCATCTGTTGACAAAGGCCTTTAAACACACAATTATCTCTTCAAACACTTTGCAACCGCGAGAAGAGGTATCTCTCTCTTCGGGCTCTAATATACATCCTCGATTTTGCACATCATCTTCGCAGAGAGGGAAGAAGGAGGAAGAGAGAGGACCCATGTCAAATCAAGCGTGGCGTCATCGATCACGAGATATATACCTCCAGATTGTTCGATATATAGATTGTTCATCGCGCATCTCCCCTTCCTTCGACCTTGTGATCCGCGATTTTTTTTTCGCGCCGCGATTCGATCGCTTTTCGATTCGTTTCCATGTCATCATCGTCGTTGTCATCCGCCGCTATTGCCGCCTTGTCCCCTTCGCGCGTTGGTGCTCTCCTGCTCTAGGTTAGCCAGTGAATCATCTTCAACGACCCCCTCCTCCGGGATCCGGGCAGAAGACTCTTAAGGGGGCTCACGGCGCGGCGCGAGGCCAGTCCGAGAACGCGACCCTAACACTAACATCCGGTGTATTCCGAGAAAGAGAGAACGAGAGAGCGGGAGAGGGAGACGAGAATCGGAAACGGAAACGATTGACTGCTTGATCGCCGCATCGCCAGTACAATCGGCCAACATGAAGATCATCCTGTTGCTCTTCGTCGTCGTGGTCTTCGCCTCAGGTTAGTAACCCTTTGCAACGCGACACAATGCCACGGTTCGGTTGTGCTCACATCAACACTCGCCGGTGACGTCTTCATTATTATGAAATGATTGTTCTCTTGATCTCATCACGGGCACGTTTATGCACTCTTCCGTTCGATCAGTGTATCTCCTACGCAGCTTTCTGACCGTCCATCTAAATGTTGCGCGTAACAATGTTCGTCACGACGGCATAATTTATATTCTAGTACTAAAGAAAAGTACTCTCAAGCTTGCGGAAAAGAGATAAAATTGTAAAATCGATAAAATTTCGGACTTTGAAATATTTCTGTTTAATGTTTTTTTTATTTGGATTAAATATTTTATAAAAGAGATATACATATTTAAAATATTAGAGAGAGAATTAAGAATATGTTGTAGTATTTTATATTGTATAATTTTTAAATTAAAAACAATAATGTGGTTGGAATGATAAACAATCGATGAAATTATATAAAAAAGTTAAAAACCACAGGCGCTGAAGAAGGTCATAAAATCTGTTACATATTATATGTTTGATAGAGTGGAAAATATAAAGTATGTATTGATTAGAAACCCATTTTCTTATAATTGTAGACAGATAAGCAACAAACGTTTCGATCCGCTTTGGATTCTTTTCAATGTCACGGATTAAGTAACGATTCAAAAGCGATATCAAGACAATATCAAAAATATAAAATTCAAAATTATTTAACGGAAGCATACAGCGAAAATTAACGCAGCGCAAATTATAATTTAAACAATCGATATACATATTGATAATTATTCGTAAAAAGAAAATAAAGGAAGTGCTCACAGAATTGCGAGTCGCTCACCTGTAAACGCCGGTGTAAATCGGAGTTAGGCAAAAAACGCATGGCAAAAACATGTAGTGTTAAGCTAAATTTCACAGTAAATGAATGTATTAAATGCAATGACGGGATGAAAGAAGGCCACTAATTTTTCTTAGTTGTATAATAGGCTCATAATGCAAAAATTATAATAATAATCTAAAGATCTGTAAAGGAACAAGAAAAGGACAAAGCAACACACATTCTACATGACAAAACCATACAATAATCGAAAAAAAAAAAGATTAATGTGCGTTGCTCTGTCCTTTTCTTTTTACAGATTTTTGGATTATTATCATTCTTGCATTATGAGCTTATTATAATTATCAATTATGTATATCAATTTTTTAAGTTATAATTTGCGTAACTGTTTCCGTTAATTTTGAATTTTATATTTTTGACACGTTTTGATATCTTTTAAACCGTTACTTAATCCGTGGCATTGAAAAGGAGCGGATCGAATCGAAACATTTGTTGTATATCTATCTCTCTACAATTGTAATATATTTCTGATCAATACATACTTAATATTTTTTACTCCATCAAACGTATAATATATAACAGATTTCGCAACCTCCTTCAGCGTCTGTGATTTTTAGCTTTTTTATATAATTTTATTAATTGTATAATTTTTAATTTTCTCAAACTTTTTATTTAATTCGATATTTATATTTTCTTCATTCAATATATACTTTAAAATCTTTTTACATTATTCGATAGTTTTGCAGCCTTTTGCTTTTCTGTCATTAAAGAAAGTTATGCACCAACTGTTGATTCATTCAAAGTGTGAACCGGAAATAACCGATGGTTCAAACAAATAGCACGTATTATGTTTTTTCTTTTCTATCTCTTTTAAAATTCTATCTTGTATAATAAAATATTTACAGCCTGAAAATATCTTAAAAAAATGAAAAATGTTATCATCTTTACAAAAATAAAACGATAATTTCTTAAGCAAGATATTGAAGAAGATAAATTTTATTACATTTATATACGACCTTTATGTGCGTGTATATATCGGAATCTTCATAAGCAAAAAAAGTCTCTCGTCCTGAACGATGACGATAGTCATCCATAGTTATTAAAAATGAAAAGAAAAAGATTATACGCGAGTTTATACGTTTATCGAGACCGTTTACAGAGGCTCGAGCTCCCGTTTATGTACGCATTCCTTGCGCGAGTCGGATCTCATCGAAAATCATTAGTCGGCAGTCGGGAACGCATTACGTGAACGAAGCTGTAGTTAAAGCGACTAGTCGCCTTTTCTTTCGCGCGCGCACCGGCGGCAGACGTCTCAAGGCCTTCGGGTCATTTACCACCACCTGCACGTCCAACTTCACGATCCGGAACGTTTTTGCTCCGGATGCGCTCTGCGAAGTATCCACAGCCGTGACTAGACTCTTGCCGACCGGCCATCTCTCCGTTCCGGTCTTGCCTTCACCGTACAACGATGCAATTTGCCTGCACTAAACTACCTGTCTTGGTATCGAGAGATTTAAATCGATTCGTACACTTTGATTCCGCCGAGATCTTCGAGATATAAATGACGATATCGCGAGCTTACTTTGTCTCTCTGAAAATTTAAACGGATAATAATATGGATCCTTTCCAGGTGTTTACTTTCATTCACATTGCACTTGTCCATTTGGTCCTTTTGATTTTATTTTGATTTTTCAATCATAGAGATTTCTTTGAATCTTTTCCGAACGACGAGATGGGATAAACTTGTTCTCTTTTTGCGCTGAAGTTTTCAATTTCGTTTCATAACTCTCTCGCATGTGGAATTAAAGAGATATCACTCTTGATTTCGAACGTAATATTACGCACGTAATCATTACGCGTTTGTATCGGTATTTCTTTTTTTAAAAATTATATATTCGATTTTTTGAATGTAAAAAATTAATTTCTCTTACGAGCGACAGTCTTCGGAGTCGTAAAAGTGTGATGCAGAACGGAGAACAATCGCGTCTAGAAACAATGAGGGGGACTCGGTTGCGACACTCGTTCACCTAGGGGCTATTCGGGGATCTCGGGACGCACTTTGTAATTCATAAATACAGTTAACCAAATAACCGTGGGGGTTCAATGAACTCGATATATCACGTGAACACTGTCCTTCTCATAAAAACTTGGAGTCATTGTGAGGCCGATTAAAAAACGCGCCGCGTCAGGGTACGCATTTAGAGTGAAATTAAAATCGTGTTATGAGACGGGCATGAACGACGCTGAAATAATCGTTTTAATTTCGTGCCACTTGCTGCGTCTTACATCGCTATTGTATAGCATAAAAGCACGATGTGAATGATACGCTCTTCTTAGCATATAAATCTAAATGACTCTTGCGCGTTATATAATTGGAATTTATCATCGATAGAGAAAGAGAAAAAGAGAGAGAGAGAGACAGAAAGAGAAATAGAGAGACAGAGAAAGATTACTACTGTATATAAATTATTTAAGAGATATTTGAATACAAATTATCTAAAAATCTCAAAGTTTGAATAATCTCGATGCCATTGTTTCTACATTAATGATCGAGTCTGGATATTGCATTGAAAGATGTGTGAAAGATGTGTGATGTTTTTATTAATCGTAACGGGATTCTTGATCGTTTCGCACTACGATACTAAAATAGGATACTAGCTACATTAGAATTCATATAACGCGTTTTCCCGTCATCCCTATTGCCATTTGCGGCTTTGTTCACGACAGACACGTGCTTCGATAAACTATAAGAAGTTCTACGAAAAGAAAATATATATATATATATATATATATCTCTTTTTTAAATAAAATATTAAATTATTTAAAAAATTGTAGAAAATATAAAAAATATTTGATCGAAACACGAACAAATGTAAAAATATAAAAATACAAAAAGTATTATATAATAAAAGTGTATATATTACGTATTTTATTTTTGAAATTAATATTTCTTTTTCATATAAATGTAATGTTACTCTGTTTCCATATTCTTTAATTTAATAATCTAGTAAATGCATTCTCCAGTCTAGTATATGCGGTAAAATTATCACGCGAATTAGCCTGAGAATTGTATCAATTAGTTTGTCCCAATTTCGCAGGCGCCACAATTGAATGTTTTGATGGAATACTACTTCAACGTGACTTAAAATAAAGCATGATGCAAATAGCTCTTAAGCATATTAAAGACATATAAATATAATTTGCAGCCCAGAGAATCACAACGATCCAGCTGGATGGCATACAGTATTTCGTCTCACGGATGAATCCCTACAGTCCAGAACTCAACTACTTCCTGGCGTATCAGTATTGCCGTTCCCTGGGTCTCCAATTGGCGTCCTTCGAAACGAAGGAGAAGGCCGACACGATGACGCAATATCTGAAAAACGCCGGTTACACGAAATATGATTTTTGGACCTCTGGCAACAAATTAGGCACCGACATGTTTTTGTGGATGAGCACGGGATTGCCGTTCAATGTCACCTTTGACTACATGCTGAAGCGACCTGGCAACAGATCTGTCGACGTGCCACCCGGCACCGAGCCTCAGAGAGTGGCACGTGAAAGGTAATATCTTTTGTATCCTTTTTTAATCTTTAATCAACTTTTATATCTTTTTTTATCTCAAAAAGGATTAATATCAAACGTAAGAAATTAACGAGGAACTTAAAAGTTTTAATTCTAGCAGATATTACAAATTATGTTAAACTTATGTTGGTACGACAAATTTATCGAGATATAAAATTAAGAAATTTACGTCATTTTTCAAATATATTGCTTTGTATTATTAATTATTAAGAGTCTAAAAGATTCTATGATATATCTGCTAGTAATCAATAAAATATAAATATCTATCAATTACATCATATATCTTCGAAAAAAACTAGTTTATTCAATAAAATGAGTTTTATCCGATTAATAAGAATCGTATGCTAACCCAACCGTATCATGAGTAACGACTATCCCAACCGTTTTTCCTCAATCTAGCACTTTAACACTCGTGCTTGGAATAACTAATGGCAATGTATTATTCTCGTTTAAATTCCAAAAGCTAGTTTCTCCGTTTCAGTGGCGACAGCGGCAGCGCGGACGGATGCGTCGCGATGGTTGCACCTACGTTAGCCTGGGAAGCGCAAGATTGCACCCTCGTGAAAGACTTTATCTGCGAGCAAACAAGATGCTACTACTACAACTACGGCAGCATTCCAGTCTCCGCGACTCAGGGGTAAGAGGTGAGATAATACTTGTCACAAAAATACACGAAAGGAAAAAGAGAAAAAGAGAAAGAGGGGAAAAAGAAGGTGGAGAAAGATGGAGAAAAGGGAATCTCGCGAATGCCTCTCGCTCTAGCACGGACAAGAAGCAAACGATTCTCCGACGATAAGATATGCAAATGTGTCGCGATAATCAAATGTGTTTATTGGTCGTGCTACTGAAGTATCCGGATTCTCTAGCGATACGAAGAAGTTTTTATTACATGCGAATATATATTTACCTGCCTGTATCGTCTCGATTAAATCGTTGTAATCCCGATCTAACTTTGATATCAAAACTTGGCGATTTCCTTTTTAGTAGAGAATTTACGAGGACGCGAAACAACGCGATACTTGATCGGCGGATTAAATTTTTTTCCCCCTGTGCAATGTCTAAAAATATAAAAGTAGCTTGAAACAGATGCTTTTTCTTTCGCAGTTTACGATAGAGTGGAAAACGATTATTACTGGCGATCGAAACACTAGTGAAATCTTTGGTATGAACCAGTCCTTTGAGATCTTCTACTCACAACTAATAGCTTTGGAGTAAAAGTATAACGATTGAGAATAGCTCAATCCTACAGATTCTATGCAGACGCCTTTAAAACTTGATTTCAATAATTATTTTCTCGCTTCTTGATGCACAGTAATCCTTCCAAATACTTTTTACACATACATACACTTGTATGCAAAATGTATGGCTTCACTCTCTCGATACAGATAACGTTATATAAAAAGATTCACATTGTAATCCATCGGCAACAGTGAAGCTACCCTTTCCTACGCTCTGTTAATATAACGCTTAAGTAAAGATAATAACACAACATGCAAATTGAATATTGTAAATATTGCCAGGAGATTCACACGAAAGATTTTCTCAATTCCTGTGAAAGCGAGATTACGACGATCGTTCTCTAAAGGAGTCCTTTGGCTTTCCAGAAATCACAGGCCCTACATTACGACCACCTCGGCGCCAGCCAGCGACGACCAAGCGAGCGATCGCGAAGACAATACCAACGTCGACTATAACTATTCGGACAACCAGGACGAGCAGGCGACATCACCAGAAGCGAACGAGAAATTATCAGAGGACCCGGTCGTCAGCAGGCTGATCACCACGGTCGCTCCCGCATCTGGCAATCAGCAGCACGCCATCGAAACAACATCGTCGACATCGCTGTTCGACGACGGTCACGAGCACGAACGCTCGGCCGTCAGCGACGTGGACGACACTCGACCGGTGCACATCCCGGATATCACGAGCTTGTTCACCGACAACCCCGTCGTGACGTCCCAAGCGCGCAAGGACAGCGTCTTCGACGGTTTTGAGACCCGCGAGATTCTACGGCCGTCGGCGTCCCGTCCTGTCATCCCCCCCTCCTCCTCGTCGTCAGATATAAGGATGGAGCATCGCGAATCTGCCGATTACGGCGACCTAACGGAGACCGAGCTGCCCAACAACGGTCTCGAGAACGCCCACACGATCGGTCCGTACGACAGCATGCCGGATTACGCGAACGACCAGCCGGCGGCGGACACGATGTTGAAGGACCAGGACGACGACAGCAGTACGATCCTGCCAGAAGCGGAACCGGCCTACAGGTACAACATCAAAGTGCGCACCAACGGCAAAGTATTAGACCCTCCGTCCAAGTAACGCTTCACTTCCTTCCTAGGCAACGTCGCGTTATCTAGCGTCGTATAAGTGACAAACACAGACACAAGCACACATTTACACGCACACATAGATTGATTCTTGAGGAACTAGGTATATATGTATATCGCGCGAGTTCGTTACGCGACACGGGCGGCCAGCTATCACCGCCTTCGTCGCCGCTCGCTTAGTTCTAACTTAAGGTGTACACTCCAGGTACAATGCTCGATAGTTTTGGATCAGAGAGAGAGGGACACGATTTTTGTCAGCTTTCTCGGTCGGCGGCAGGCAGAGATGAATGATTTCGGATCATCGTTAGAATTATTCGGCGCTTTGAAACGAACGCGGCACGAAAATGATAATATTGCGAAAGTTTGTCGAAAAGATAGAAGCCGCGGTATCAATCGAAAAGACGAATTATTCTCCTGCCGACGTTACTCGATAAACTGCTACATTTTCGCAAGGGCATTTACACGATTATTTAGCTCATCCTGAATCATCAATGACGCCGGCGAACGAATCGTAGAATGAATCTGTTTTTATCTTCATCTCATTTATTCTTTATTTCGACTTTGTCATCTTTAATTTATTGTCATATTGAATATGACAAATCATCTTTAATTCATTGTCATATTGAATATGACAAGTCAACGTTCCAAAAAATCGGAAAAAAAAAAACAAAATCTGACCCAGGATTTACTATCGACATTACTAGCGCGTCCGCCAGCGTCTTATATCTTCGTAAGGAAATAATCATCATCGTATTTAATGTATATCTATACGTCTGCAAGACGAAACGTTCGACAGTCCAATAGTTCTCGATATTTTCGATATGCAATATTAAAAAGATCGCGAATGTTAATCTCTCAACGTTTCGGTCATTCAGACGTATGATGATTGGCGTACGTAGTTTCGTTAATGTAAAATGTTGTTCTCTAACTGTTAAGTCACTTCCACATTAATTAAGCGTACAACGGCGCGAATGTGCGATTTGTATAACTAAACTTTAATAAAGGTACAATTACAATCTTATAACGTGGCGCGCGGCCACGTGTTCCCTTGCACCGTTCCATTCTCGAGTGTAAAGTTAAAAATTTCCATCGGCCTTAGGCAAGAGTTAGAAATAATCCCGCCATGATTTTCGTTTGATAAAGAAGCGGCGATATGTATAATCGTTAACTCACCAGCCATTCACGACTCCTTCTATATTTAGCATAGGAATTATTTTGAACACATAATCGTCACGTAGACTGCTGGCGTATTGGCTGTCGCTTAGCAGAGCCTCCATGGTCCCATGCATCACCCAGGACGCGTTGCTTTCGCCAGGATGCACCCTGGACGTTAAGAAGATCAGCTTTCGATTCTGGAAACGGGATGACACGCGCGACTTTAGATATCTACTGCGCGAATCGAGCGATAGACTTAGCAAAATTGACATTACTTGAGGGAGAACGGAATTCTCACTTGTATAGGATTGGTCTGGGAATCCGGTGATGTGATGGTGAGCACGGGATTCTCGTTGCCGTTTAAGGTTTCGCAGAGCGTCTCCGCATGAAAGTATACGTTTGCCGCGGAGACGCTCCTCGTCCACTTCCAGATGTTGGTTATTAGCCGACTGTACGTGTACGGGAAATGGTACGCCAAGTAACAGACGTCGTGCGTGTGCGGAAACGTAACCGTGAACGACGTTGTCAGGTACGTCTTCCCTCTGGCAGGTCGTTGATAACAGTTCCGATAATAGCAAATGTCGACGCCGGTCCTCACCCAACCTGGTCTACCGCATTGCGCCTCCATGACGCTGAACAGAATCGGTTTCATGCCGAAATTGAACTGCGAGTTGGCCTTCTCGCAGTTGATTATATTGAACGTGTACGGCACGTCTGCCTCCATGCCAGAGACCTCGAAGTAGAACCATTGGTGCCTGGAAGCGCTATTGACGTCCGGCGTCAGGATGAGGTCGTACTCTCGCGGGCCTATCTGCGTACAAGAGTAACAATTGGAGAAGAATAATGACAAAATTTTCAAGTAAAGACAGACGTTTTTCATCCTGAAATAATCCTGAGGGATGGCGAAGTTACGAGATCTTGCGTAAACTGCAAATCGGATTATACCTGAATAGCTTTCCTCAGATTTCCGCTTTCGAATCTGGATTCGAACTGCAACTGCCTGGCGTCCGTCGAGGTCTGTTTTCCGACGATCCTCTTCTCGTCCCAGTTGCCGAGAAGCCGGTCATCGCTCGGCGTTCGCCGGGAAGCGACGTTGGCGAGAGCATCGAGATCGTAAACAACCTCTTGGATGGTGGCGACAGCGTGGAGGCCGCGTTCCACGCAGGTCAGCAGTTTCGCCCGGCAAACTTTTCTATCCTTGGCGTTGAGCGGTTCGGCTTTCCCCAAACCGTCGCCGCCGATCAGGTCCGGATAGGCGACCTTGACGAAACCGATAATGCTTCTCACCTTGCTCGCCACGGCGCAATACGCTTGTCGATCCGTGACGTTTGTCGACACGTCTCGTAAGATTTTCAAATCGTGCGTGTTATTCGCCAATCGATCTTTCGTTGCGCCGTTAAATTTTGAGAAGTCCTTGATCGAAGCTTTTGCGTTCTTCGTGAATTGACAGCTCATCCAATCATCCTCCGCTAAGCAGAGATCGACTAGCTTGACATTCGACAATCCAGCGACGTGCAATTGTGATCGCAAGCTGCCCAGTTCCTTGAAGAATGTATGATATCTAATAGAAAATAGTGTTAATAGTAATTATAATTATATGAAAATCTGCACGTTTGGAAAGGCAATTTTTTACATACCCAACGAGATCCTCTTCGGATCTCTGCGAGGTAAAGACTCCAGCGAAGAATTTGCTCTCGTCCACTTCGTCCCCTAAGTGAATCGCATTATCCATCATATTCCTGGAGTCATGGCTCTCCTCGTCGTCACCAGAATCAAGATCGCTGTACAGTCTACCGGTGGAAGCTATGCTGTTCGCCTGTGCGAAAATCGAAATATTCGAGCCATAAATATTTAAAATTATCGTTTGGAAGAAACATGACATTTTATATATGAAGCAAAAAATTGTTAAGCGTAATGCAGTACTTTATGCGGTATTTTAGTTCAGTCTCGTAACGTTTTGGAGAAGCATACACACCTGGCTGTCGATGTCGCTACCGCTTTCAGCGCTATTCGCCCTGACATTCGCTTCGGGCAAAACGAATCTGCATGCAAAAAGAACCGATCGAAAATTTAATCCGCTAATGATCGTCAGATCATAAACGAGACATCGTCAAGCTATTTACGCATTAGTTCTTAACTAAATCCATTAATATTGCGTAACGAGATTACCGATTATATCTTACATAATACGTGATTTCCATAATGATACTAAAAAAAACACGGAAGAACACAAGCAACCAAAATATAGTGTATTTGACATAGCATAACATACACGACTCTTTCATCAATTTCATCAATTTCAATCAATTAACATAATTTTGAGGGATAATAATATAATAAAATCTAAAATAATAATATAATAAAATCAAAGATAATAATATAATAAAATCTAAGATAATAATAAGTAATAAAATCAAGTTATGAAAATATTTATGAATATAAAAATAATTATGCTGCATATCTATATAGAAATCTTCAAACTTTATGTTCTAAAAGCGAAATTTTTTAAATATACAGATTTGCTTTGGCAACAAATAGCAATATAGTAATATTCATATTGGCAACAAATAGCAAATAGTAATATTCTAATATAATATACTTTTATGATGTAGAAAGGCGTCTTTCTCGAACGCATCGCAGAATGTATGTAAAATAATAACAAGCGTATTTGAATTATCATTCGATGTGCTGGTCAAAATGACCTCGAACGTTTCATTCACCTCGCGGGCGACATTTCGGGGACCGGCAGTTCCCTCTTCTCCAAACACTGATTGATTATCCCACAGATACGCGACAGCAGACAGTCATAAGCCTTGTCTTCTGGACAGTTCATACAAAACCGGTACAGTAGCTGTAAGCCATTGTTCGACTTAATAGCCTTCCTTCCAGCTCCTAGAAGATAATTGGACAAAAAAAAATACGCATAATACAACTTCCAAGAATACATTAGTAGAAGACGATAAATCTGAATATAATACGCAATTAATATATTTTTTTTTTCTTTAAGAGACGTCAGAATTTTTTACCAAGAAACCTACTTATAACGCAGAGATGCTGAAGCGTATTAAGAGCGTAATTACAAATCTTCAATCGTATCTGCCCGTCGAATCTCTCCCATCTTTCGAAGATTCGCATTAGTAGATATACCATCCCGATTTTAACGAATTTGTTGCAGCAAAGTTCTGCAAGTAAAATGTCAAATCTCGATGTTACAAAGAATGACACGACTTAATTAGTAAAGTAAAATAATATATATTATTATATGTAAACGTACGTACTATTAGTTGTTAAATGTTTGAAGCATTCTAACAATGTCTTCAACTTCAAGTGTGGCGTATAACCGACGCTGACGAATGTTTTTTCCAAGGTGCTAGTAATGCCGTCTTTCACTAGCGTTTGTAAGGAAAAAGCTATCGAAGAAATAACAGCTTATATTGTCCTCAAATGCATAAGCGAATTGTATATTAAAGAAACAGTTGCTTACAATTTTTAGCAAGAGTTTTGATGATCAACAGTAACGACAATAATGTCTTACTGTTATTGTAATGTTGTTTTAATAACGAGTGGAACACTTTTATGGAGTTGAGCAATTTCATTTTTGACACAAATTTCTGGTCTCTCTGAGCCACCTGAAAAAGATTATCAAAAATTTCAACAATATAATACTATTTGTTTTTTATTTTTTTGTTATTTTATCTTTTATGGATCTTTTTATAATTTCACACGGAATATAATAACATAACAAAATTAATTGAAACAAATAATTGAAATAAAATAATTGAAATTAATAGTTTTATATGAGAAAAATAGAAATTGAAAAAATATTTTTACAGTAATACGGCAGATATACGCAGTGTGATCGATAAAAGTTGTGTTCCGCAATTATGTAACATATCAGAATTGTTTCCTTTTGCAGAAACAAAATAATTGTTCCTGTGATAGAAATAAAATTAAAAAGAAACTATTTTAAAATACGTCAAAAACTCACCTGACTCAAAATCCAGAGAATGTCTTGAGTGAGTACTTCGCTCGTGATGGTGTCTGCATGTTGTAGGTTAATTAAAAGTTTAACTAGGACTTGCGTGATACCTAAGTTGATCAGTTGAATGACCGCCATGCGACTACTGATTTCTGTAAAAAAAAAAATAGGCGCGTTACTTCCGATCCCAAAAGAATAAATATCCCCCGAAGATTCTCGACAAAATAGAGAACAAATTTTGCCATAATAAACATTACTTGAGATGCTCTTGTTCTTGCTCGTCTTCTCCTTGGATTTGCCTTTGGACACTCGGGGTGATATGCATTCGTGAAGTATATTGATGATACTGCAATTGGCAACATAATCCTTACAGTTCTGAAACGCGAATTTTAAGATTATCTTACTTTTTTCTACAGAATATAGAAATATACATTAATTCTTTCTATTTTTGTTTACACTACTAGAAGAACTCTGTTGCAATAATATGACAAGTAAATTACAAATACGTCATAAATAATATACGTGAGCAATTATTTTCTAATCTACATGCACGCTGACATTCGTCAGGAACTGGAACAAACGGATACCTAATTATTAGGCTCGCTTTGCACCTTTCTCGAGCGTGTAGATACTGCAGCACGTGTGTCGCGTGACGCAATCATGCTATTTCGCAGATAGTGCTAATTGTCGCAGTTATATAAACTCTTAACTGGCACTATGTTAATGTGCCAAAGAATGACCATAATTAAACTCATAATTTTCTCCCTCAAACATATATATATATATATATATATATGCATACATACACACATATATGTATCGATCGACAGCTATTAACACGCGAGACATTCGTATTTCTTATTCATGGCGCCGATAAGATAAACGTTAAAATTAAGCGAGCACAATCAAAGATAATAAAGTCTGGTCAAAAAAGAATTATTTTAAAAATTATTTACCTCCAATGCCATAATAAATGATTCCATCGCACCGGAATTTTTGCGCCAGAGTTTCTCCAACGTGCGCTCGCGTATCCGCCGATCTGAAAAATACAGCGATAAATATATTTATATATAAATTTATATACATCTTTTTCTTTGTATCAAATTTATAAATCAAAATAAAATATATTCGTAATTTATATTCGTAGCGCCAGATGTGATAGATCCTTGCCAAGATCGGCCTTGACAAACATATGGAGAATATGTTCTTTGAGAAATCATGGAGCAGATACATTGGCACAATACTCGTGTATTCTTACACTAAACTTGACATGGTGCCAATTAAAATTAATGTCACGAATAATATTCATAAAATGTTCATAAAATTTACATGACGTCAAATCAATGCTCTTATGATAGCAAATATCGTTATATTTGCACTGTACAACTCATATTCAGAATAATACGAATTTTCGCTTTTGACGTCATAATCGAAATATACATAATTATCAAAACCTACAGCGGAAATTTAATTAGAACGCCTAAAGATATCTAAAACTATGTTGCAAAATTTCAACTGCAATAACGTACAATGTGCAAACTAAAATTGCTGCAGTAAATTTCGCGACTCGCGGAAATATCAGCCAGAAAGATTTGCCAGCCCTTATCAAATTGGCACGTTTTCAATGTGCGCGATTCCTAGAGTATCATTCGAAGTCATAGATTCTCTGGACAACAGCCAACTGTCATCAGCGTTACCGAAAGTCATTACGTAATCGGCTAACAGGCGGTTCTTCTACTCTAAATAACGGTAAACCAGTTGACTATTTTGTTTGTTTGCACACCTGTTCGTAGTTTGTCCAAAGAACCGAAACTGATTAGCGCGAATTAATATTTAATAATTAATAAATTATGTACAATAACATAACAACAATGATAATATATAGTGATATATATATAATAGAGTACAAATAATAAAATTAAATAAAGAATTAAAAGAAAATAATAATATTAAAGGAAATTGTGAAAAAAATTTTGTAGAATAATTTATATCGGAAATAAAAAAAATAACTATATGCAATAACATAACAACAATAATAATATATATATAAAATAGAGTACAAATAATAAAATTAAATAAATAATTAAAGGAAAATAATATTAAAGGAAATTGCAAAAAAAATTTTATAGAATAATTTATGTTGGAAATAAAAAAAAATAACTATATGCAATAACATAACAACAATAATAATACGTGTATATAAATATATATATAATGATAATAAATATAATAGTACAAATAATAAAATTAAATAAAGAATTAAAGGAAAATAATAATATTAAAAAAAATTGTGAAAAAAATTTTGTAGAATAATTTACATCGGAAATAAAGAAAAAAATATTCCCTTTCTAAAAAGTGCATGTAAAGTCGATTACTCGAATAAAGTCGATTATCGAAGTTTATTGTTGTCGCTTTTCCGCGATGCCGATTGGTTCTTTTATTGCACTCAATTCATGTGAGCAGCTGTCATTTGCGATTATTACAAATTTTGACAGCTTGTGTGACAGTGAGAAATGTATAATGAAAGGAAATAAGCGCGAAGCGCGCGCTTTGCGTTGTCTAGTATATAGAAAAATTGAATAAACGATCATGTAAAACAGTTGCTTTTCTGAAAGACTAAAACACGCATGCACAGTAATCGTTACTGAGTCGTGTGTATTTTTGTGCGCGTGTATTTTTCTGTGATATACTTGTTAATTTAAATATCTCCCTCACTATTCGGCATTTTGGTAAAAATTTCATACGTTTCATATTTGTTTCATTTAAGTTTTACACTTACGCGAACTTATAATAATAATGGTGCATAAGACAAATAGCGAAGGAAACCGTTCGCGAAGGGATCACACGGAATGATAGATCGCGCAAATTCCATCCGTGATTTCGTGCTCGTGCCTTGAGTAATGATATACCGTCACGAATTCCTGAATCCCTGAAGTGTCCAATCTCTCCCTCAATCCGTCTAGAACTTTATTGCCGCCATTCGCGCGCAATCCGTGCGCTTATCGTACGGAAACGTTAACGGAGACGACACGCGATGCAAAACGCTAATGAGAGGGGAAAATTACGTCGATACGGAATCGAAACGGAGATCTGGCATTATCATAAAAGAACGCTTGTATCTTTCTCGACGCAAGCGTCGAGATAAAATTCGTGAAATGTTATTCGGGAAACCGAGAAGTAAACAAGAAACTGTGTTATTGCCGCATTAAGTGCCAGAGCGTACGAAAAAAAGGGAACGCAAATTGGCACGAGACGAGAGAATTTCCCCGGGACGTAGAATTACATCTGACCACATCTGACGCGAGACGGGAGATTCTAGAGTAACGTACCTGATGAAGTGACGCGCGCGTGAATCTTGGCCGCGATCGTCCTGAGCGCGTCACCTGCCTCCTGCGGTTTAGCCGCGTGAGTTCGGAGCTTCTCCAACAGGGCATCGCTCACAGCCTCGTCCGCGCTTTTATTACCCGCTGACATCACACTAAACCGCACCGCAAAACAACGAGAAATGTCATTTACTCTCGTCAGTAAGCAGAAACGAGCTGTTCGATCGAGCTGCGCCGTAAAATGCAGAAATTAATGAGAAGCCATCGATTTTTCGATCTATTGCGAATTAAACATGTCAAACTTGCAAAAGCGAGACTCTTGCCTAAGATGATGAATGAGACGAAAGAATTAGAGGCTGCAAGCTAACATTTCACGATTGCCTTACGGTACCTGAAAAAAATGATTAACGATTACTCTCTCCTGTATAAAAAGTGACATCGTGTCGTGTGCTTTCTCTTTTTCTCCAGAATTTCGATAGATATATCTAACTCGTTTATTTCTTTATTTCTTATTCTTATAGAGTAAAAGCAATAATTTTTGTTGCTGCAAAACGGACAATGACGTTTTCTTGCGCATTGTCAGCAATGCGACGAGCTGTTCGCCGCATCAATGAATTTCCTGACATTGGCTTTCGGCCAAGTCGGAAATACTATTAATCACGATTTGTGCAATCATCTGGTCGCCGTAAGTCAATGTCGCGGGAATTAAAATCAACCATTGGAAAACCGACATGCATCGGAGCCAAGGTTAATTAAAATGTGATATTTTGGAATAACCGCCGGTTCGAAGGATCTTATTATCGAATAATTAAGCGCCCAATTGCTTATTAACGTTATCGCATTAAAGAGTGTTCAGTTTGGCCACAATTATTTGAGATAATGTCAAAAGTATCTTAAAATTATTTCGATATTCTGTGACTTTATTCGTTTACTCGTCGTAAACACAGTAAACAGTTTTATTATATTGTACACTAGCTACATGTGAAATATTCGTAAAGCAACTAAAAGCGAGAGAAATCATGCGAAATATTCGACACGAAGCTGCATTAATTTTTTTCGAACAGGCAGATACAAAAATAAGAACAAAAATATTGCTAATTAAATATTTATTATCAGCTTATAAAATACAATTTCTAGTTATGTTTCTTTGCAATCTATACAACGTGTACGTCTATATAAAGACATGTATATATCAAGGATTAAAGCAATGCATAAATTGTTGCATTAAGCGTTGCACCGATGTTAACAAGAAAAGTCATAGCGAGTAGAATGCAAGTAACAATTAAAAACTTCTTCGGCTTCAGCTTATTAAGCGAAATAATTAATGAACATCATAATTCTTTAACTCCTTTAGTGGTAAACAATTACTGCAAATGTTCGATATTCGCATCCAGTAAATGCGATCCGCTTAATTGGAATATAAATATCGTCCGAAACATATAATAATAATAAATCGCCACGCAAACAATATGTCAAACGGATGCAACTTGAACGAAAAATATCAAATAAGATAAATTCAGCGCGTACACGCAAATATATATGTATATGATTATTATTCTCGATTTATTACTGGTTTGCACGAGATTTGCTAAAGTTATTTAAGGTACTTAAGCTAATGTAAAGCGTATTTTATAATTAGAATAAATGAGGCTATTAATCAACTAGTGCCGCTTAAGTTTTCAAACTTTCTTGAAGCAGGTTTATTTTAATGATTGTCATTGATATCAAGAAGTAAAAAAAGCCTTTACATGTAAATTGTCAAAGAAATAATATTATAATAATATCGAAATAAATATCTTGAACAAAATGAAAATATTGCATCGACCACGTGTCTGCAAATGAAACTGCATTTAATGGCAACGATGACCGGAAACGCGAAGCGACAAAAACGTGAACACGCATACACACTAAACACACATACACACTAAACACATGGATTTTGTCCTCTAAGTTTTTTACTCTTCCTGTTGCACGTCGGCTGTGTTTTCATTGACCGGTTGCATTGTCATCATCAGCTGTTGATTCTCCCGGTCGAATTTCTCCGATGCACTTTTCATATTTTTCTCTTCAATTCAACGAAGCGAAACTTGATATCGCGACTATCTTAAGAAAGGACGAAGGAATAACATTTACATGAGAAACCTTTTGAAGTTCTTTGATGATCGCGTTTTGATCGAGAATAGCAAGATGCCGAGCGCTCTTTCCGTGAAATTTGCAAAACGATGCACGCGCTCCGCTACTCCGAGACGGTTTGACGTTTCTGTCTGCCAAAACTATGTTTAAAAGCATCCAGCGCACACGCACACACGAAGATCTATTTTTAGCAACGCGACCGCGCTTTCCGAAAATCGCGCCCTCCCTTTCTCCCATCCGTGATAGCACCCTCGCGTCTTCCAGCACTTTAGCGTCATCGACCGATGCGCCGCAATGCAAAATTTCGCCGATAAGATAGTGCAGAATTTTTTCCTTATTTCTTCGACACAAAATGAATTTTTTAATTTAAAAAAATGATCTTTCATAATAAAATAACAAAACATTTTCATATTCATAAATTGATTTTTTTGAGACATAATAGAAGATATTTATAGCATATTTTTAGACTTAAATAGTTTAAGGTAAAGCATTATCTGATGGAACAAGTGCCTAAGTTTTGAAATCTTTTTGAATGTTAGGATTCAACTCGAGATTTTGGAAAGATAATTGCTGTTTATTCACCAAATGCCGTCAGAGATCACGAAATTGCATTTGTTTGCCAAAATGTCCTGTGTCTTTATCTAAACGTCATTAGTTTCGCTAGAATGCAAAAGGATGTTAAAATAAATCGAACAGGTGAACACGTTGCGAAATTTCATCCGAATATTATATAGAGATGAGGTAACATCAAGATTATCCAAAACAAACTGATCCGCTCGAGGCACGTTTGATGAATCTTTATTCAAATATAAGTTCCTTCGAAATTCGAAAAAAACCATCGGCTCCTCTCAATAACTGAAATAGCGTAAAAAATGAGCAGACACTCCACTTTTGTTGTGATGTGCGAAATGATTTATCGGTGTATAGCAAATATAGCTTGACGAAATTTGTCAAATATTCACCAGGACATCGCTGGATTAGATCACCGATTTTTCCGAAATGTCAAATTCGATCAAAATTTCTCTCTTTGAAACACAAAATGTATACGATTACTTGCTAATTAAGACGCCACGAGGAAAAAATTGGAAATTATTCACTTAATTATTAAACGACTCTCTTAGGAAATAGCGACTCACTGGTGGAGGAAGTCGCGTGCGCGACTATCATGCTAGCATGTATTTATTCACGTGCGACACGTTCGTCGACATGTGAAGGCATTCGTCACGAAACGACGGTGCTTTATCAACGCGAGCGATAATTAAATGAGAAACACAAAGAATCGAAAAAGGGAATCCAAAAGATCCAACGCGACACGATCCGACTCGCTTCTCAAGGCTTCATCTCCTGGAAACACGCCGTCGTAGTCGACGATCCTGGCACCACTGACTGATATGACCTCGGACAACCTCACAACGACCAGCCGAACAGCATCGGCGTGCCGATTTTGTATGCGGCACTTGTTGATAAGCGCGAAAGCGGATTGATTAGCGGACGTGCGAAGTTTCACGAGGGTAGTCGACTACTCACGAGGCTCCCTATCGATTGCTGAAAGGGCGCTCCGGTTCAAACTGGTCCAGGCTCTTCTCTCGTCGCGACTATCCTGCGGGATGTAAGCTCTCGAGCTCAGAATCGATGATGCGAGAAACGTTGCAATCCTGTAATAAATACGCCATATCGTTCAAACTTTCACGCAATAATTTTATCATATGTATAGATCAAAATTTATTAATAATTGATAACCTATTTTTTGCACCAACTGCAAATGCAATGTTATATAATCCCATATAATATAAGGATTAATTAGAGTATGATGTAAAAATTATCATAAATTACATAAAATAGTATTATATAAATTACGGTCTCTCGAAACGCAAAGTCAATGTTTTGCAGATTCTTTGCTTGTTAACCTGACTTGCTGACGATGAGTGGACTTTCAAAATTATCGATAAACTGAATGAAAATTAAATGCAAAATATTTCATAATTAGATATTTTTTATACGATACGAAATAAAAATTAAGTACGATTGGATTTAAAGTCTTGTATATTAAATGTAGCATTTGACATTTAACGATAATGACATTTATGACAGTCGGAGAAATATTTATGACGTAAAGTCATCATTGAGAAGGTTAATAATTTTGACAAAATATGAAACAATACTTAATTTTTTATTCGAGATAAAAAATATCCAAAGTTTCACACATTTAAATCAAGACGTACTTGGAATAGAGAAAAATTTATCTAAATCGATGCAAATTTGCATATTGATACAATAGTCATTCTTTTTATCTATTTTTTCTCATTTTTCTAATCAATTTATTATAACCATCAGCTTATTGTCACTATGTTTTTTTAAACCTCTGGGACTCTACGCGTCATTGAAGATCAAGATATTTGTCTGACGAAATTGCATATTAACGTCATTTAACAGCCAGTATGCATTTATCTGATCAATGACGTTTGCTCATGCTAGATTAAGGTATCGCTAAATTTTGACCGCCATCAAGGTGACACTGTGTTCGAGGATAATACACCCACGCAGCTCGAACGTCAGTTTCCACGCGCTATGGCGTTAATAACTGTCGATCGAGAGTGTCTCGGGCGTGAAGCCAATAAGAAGGGCGACGCGAGCCCGATGCAAACATTAGAAATTCAAATTCGACTACGTCGCAAAACACCTGGTCCATCGACCACACCCTTTATTCATGATCTAAGCGGGAAACCGTCGATCCTAACCGGTTCGCGCGACTTTACTCATCCGGAGTATTCAGGATATTTACGGTACTCCGTTTGCAGTCCTACAATTTTCTCTTCGCAGAAGATGTTTAGGATTGCATAGCGATCGATGATATATAAGGTTGTTGAGTACATATTTTATCGATTGCTGCGAGACTTGCGCGATGGGTTTTCATAGGATTTACGTGGATCTATGGATCTTGTCCCATCGATCATGCATATTGGAATTCTTCTAATAGGACGAACACGAAAGAAATTATCGCCAGCAAAAATTGCTCCAGCAACTGATTAGATATGAACCCTGATCAAGATTTTTTCACGCGCTTTCTTTTTGAAAATAAAAACAATTAAAAATAAATTAAAAATCTCTTTAAGTAAACTAAAAACATACATTATAATAATTACTAAAAAAGAATTAATTAATTCAATTAAAAGAAAAACGGGATAAAAGTACAATAATCAGTTTATTGTATCTTTGGTAAATCTAAAATAGCATTTACACTTGTTTTCATAATAATTACGATGTTTTTTTTTCAGAATTAAAAATCTCGCCGACACGATGTACATTTATTGATTGAAGAAACGTAGGTTCTTGTCGTTAAGGCTCTGAAGCCGGTATTGAAGCCGGTTGGCCACCTCTCACCAGGCTCTCGTTTGTGAATCGCGCTGCGAGTTCCGCAGTAAAAAAAGAACAACGGTACGCCATATTTTACTACGATCGACGAAGGAGACGATACACAACGAGCAAATGTCCGTAGGAGGTAAAAAAACAGACCGCGGATAATGTTCGACGGGGTGGGGAAAGACTTTGCTCTCCAGGTAGGAATATATAAATCGCAGGTAGGGCTGAAATTCAAGTTAGTACGGATCCGATCTGAGACTATCGGTGATCTGCAGACAAGCGATGATGCGGGTGAGTCTATCGGTGTGATTCACTCTGAGGAAGATTGTTTTGCCGTTCTTCATTCATCTACATAATGTTTATCTTTAGTGATTTTACATTTGAATGACAGATATCGGAATATTTCTCATCTATTTTTCTTCAGTGATAGTGTGATTTTTAAATATTTATCTTTTTCGATTTTTATTTAAGAGATTTTATTTTTTCAAAAAAGGATTATTAATTATTATTAGCAAGTTATTATCACAAAAATTGATCTACGCGAGAAGAGATTAATCCCTCGAGCTTATTTAGATTTCGCAGAAAGCGGTATATTGATAGAACATTGTTATCATGTGCATCGTGGTGTTTTCGCTGAAAGTAATTTCATTTTATTTGCATTTCTATCACATTCGCATGCAACTCGCGTGAAACTTTGAAACGGGCATTTCGTTGCAAACAACATCATCTCTTTCTGAAAAGCCGAATATGCGCCGCGCATACTCTTTGTTTATAGGAAATAGTAAAGTGATAAACAAGTACATATATTTTGATATCAATCAATTAAGTAAACTATAATAAACGCTCTGCTTTCTTTCTAATTTAATATTTTTTAAAATCTGTTTCAATTTAAATATAAAAGAAATATAAAATATGAATGCAATTTACTCATTTCAACCTTATTCTTTTTACAGGATTTAGCGTTCGTAGTTTTCCTCGCTATGGTGATTGGAACGGCGATATCGAAACCGTTATGGTCGACTATAATCAATAATAATGATGTATATTCCCCACCGGAAATTAACGCACAGTATCTCGCTGCGTACCAAGATACGCGTTCTCCCTACTATGTTTACAATGTACTGCATGCGTATATGTGAAATATTTATATAACGAATGACGTCGTTTATGCTATGTGTTTCATTTCATTTCTTTTAAGATCTATACAAACGGAGGTATACCAAATACTATTCATGCCAGCAGTAAACCAGGAGTTTCTTACGTTCCTGCTTACAATTTCTATTACGGAACACCGATTTACGATCTTCGGATTCCACTAAATCCGGTAATTGTAGTTTCAGAAAAATCGAAATACAGTTACGTAGGAATGTAATTTAGCAATTTGCACTATTTCAGATTTATCCCGTGCTAACACCATCGCATCCAGGAGTGCTTCCTCCAGCATTTCCACCAACGTCTACGCAGCAACCTTCCAATGATGATGATTACGACGGCATCGAGAAATTAGATACACAAGTCGATCCAGCCACAGAAACAAAGAAACCGGAAAACGACCAGGATGATTCCATAACTGTGGAAGCGATATGAGATTATTTTGCTCGTCACGTACATAGCATATACGTGGAAGGAATAAAGGTTTAATTATTGAACGATACGTATTCTCATGTTTACTTCCGTATTTTGTATTATATATATATACAGGGTGACCCATTTTAACTTAGGCAGCCAAATAACTCGAAAAATAAGCACACTACGAAAAAATGGTTAGAATCAAAATTTCGTCATTTCGAGGGGGACGTACAATGACGTTAAAATCAGCCCCCCCACCCCTCCCCCTGGGCGGTGAGGGGGGGCAAGTTTGAAATCTTAAATGGGAACCCCTATTTTTCATTGCATATTCTTGTAGCTTATCTCGAGAGCTTTCCAAAACACTATAATTAAGTACCTTTTTATTAAGTACTTTTTGAGTTATAAGGCTTGAAATAATTTCTTAATTTTACATAAACCATAAAATATCTAGTAAACCATTCATTTTTCGATTATCTTACCTTCATACTTTTATGTACAAAATAATGAGAGGAATCAATTGGTGTAAAGAAAACACAGTTGTTTCTAAGAAAAAATATGTAATTTGCAATTAACAATTCCATATTTTTTCTTAAAAACAACTGTATGTTTTCTTTACACCAATTGATTCCTCTCATTATTTTGTACATAAAAGTATGAAGGTAAGATAATCGAAAAATGAATGGTTTACTAGATATTTTATGGTTTATGTAAAATTAAGAAATTATTTCAAGCCTTATAACTCAAAAAATACTTAATAAAAAGGTACTTAATTATAGTGTTTTGGAAAGCTCTCGAGATAAGCTACAAGAATATGCAATGAAAAATAGGGGTTCTCATTTAAGATTTCAAACTTGCCCCCCCTCACCGCCCAGGGGAGGGGTGGGGAGGCTGATTTTAACGTCATTGTACGTCCCCCTCGAAATGACGAAATTTTGATTCTAACCATTTTTTCGTAGTGTGCTTATTTTTCGAGTTATTTGGCTGCCTAAGTTAAAATGGGTCACCCTGTATATATATATCGAGGGGTTGGTCACTGAGGTAATTTCTGTACAAGGGCTAGATAATTCAGAAACAATCTAAAGGAAATTTTGGGTAATCTAAGGTAATTTTTGGTAACTCTAAATAATCTTTAGCATTCTCAGATAATCTTGAATAATCTAATAGGAAATCTAAGTAATCTAAGTAAGGATAATATCAAATAATCTGTAGATAATTCTAGGTATTCTTAAGGTAGTCTCAAATAATCTGAAAGAATCTAAGATAATCTTTTTGAAGTTAGTGAATGTCATTGACGAACTTGTATCTTTTTACAATAATCTACATTTACAGTCGTTTTCTGGAATCGATGCTTCGTAAAAACGTACTTTTTTGCAGTCTACGAATTGTCTCGTGTATTCGAGCGTTTAAAAATTGCGAAATGCATTCTTATCCACAACTTTTAGTAAGCCATCTTCATTTAACGGTAAAACAAAAGCTATATTACAATTTTCATGTATTGAATATTCTACCGGTAATTCCAGTCGCATTTTCACTAAGCCAAACTACTTTAGGCAAATTTCTTTGCGTTAAGAAGTCGCTTAATTCCTTAAAACAAAATTCACTTTCCCGAAGTAAACAATAGTTTGAATTTATTATCCTGCTGATAGTGGATACACATGAAATAATGCTATTCAAATTGACATGTAAAGTCGTTTTGTAAGTCAAGCGTCTATTTATTATTCAAAACAAAATTCAAAAAAGCTAAAAATAACTAAAAATACAAATATATAAAACTCGTTTCTTGACGAAGTCTCACACAGACACATCAATTTGTCTCTTGAGTTCAAATCTAGTTAAATAACGTTTTTTGTTAATGTGACTTGTGCAGTTTACAAGATTATCGTCTATGCCTGTCTCCTGATTATTATTACATCGTATATACTTGATAAGGACCACAATTATATGATCGAAACGTCGTATTAGTAAACAAATTTTCTGGCTAGTTTAGTCGATTACACTTTTTTCAATGATCCTTTGATTATTTGACTAGCGACATTAAGATATTTTATAACTTTTAAATATATAAAAATTGCGAAATGCATCCTTACCAATGAAAAGATACGTGCAAAATCTCTTAAAAGATTCTTCATTTGAGATAATATTAGGTAATCTTAATCTGAGATAATCCGAAGTAATTTAAAAGTAATCCGTATCAAGGGTAATTTTTGTACACTATAATCACTAGTGACCAACCCCTCGATATATTTATATATATATATATATATATATGTCAAATTATATCATATTGCATGACAAATTCCGAGATATTAAAAAATATTTTTTCAACATTTTAGAATTCGAACATATATGTATATAAATATATAACATTTTGTATTATATATAATTTTGATCAAAATAAAGAATATAAAGTTATAAATTTTATATGAATAGGGCGATAATAAAGAAAGGTTTTATTTTATTTTCGTTGCTGCCATCTTTACGTGTTTTAAATCGTTATTTGAAAAGTAATTAATGACATTTTTATGAATTTTTGTCAAACACGATTTTCATTGCTATCAACTTTTTATCGCACATAATGTTATTTGTAAAGAGCTATTTATGAGAAAATGGAAAAGCTATTTATGAGAAAATAAAAGAGTTATTTATGGAATCAAGAAAATCCAATTACGATTCGATATCATAACCGACCTGAAAAAACAGGGGATGGTAAACGAGATATTAAATGTTGACGTTGAATAGACGATAAATGGATTTATCTTTCTCGCAAAGGAACGTCGAGGTCCCTTACCCCGACAATCTGCGATAGAACGGAATCAAAGACGACGAGACGTTTTCAGATGCATCAGTGCATCGATTTTCCCGGAGCCGGCATTGCATTGACATCGATGAGCGAAGATGATCGTTTGTCGTGGAACACTATGGATAATCGCGGTACTCATTCTTCTCAGTACATGTCTATTGACGTCCACAAAGCCACAAAGTAGACTCACAACAAAAGCTCTGCATCAACAACAGCGGTCCAGGACCAAAGCAGGACTCGTGAAGGCGATATATAAGAATCACGAGGATGAGTTCACTCGCAGCAGAACGAGAAGGAACCATGTCGGTGATTATACGCTAAGAAACACGAGCGATTATTATGCGGAGCGTAGAGCCATCATGGAAAGATACTACGCCCGACAACGTGAGATAAACGCGCAATATGCTAATCGAACGAGCAGCATCTTGGGATCGAGACGTAACAACGTTGCATCGCAGCATCGGCCGATGACGAGGAACGCTACTCTGCTTAATCTCGGATTGGAATATCCCAACAAAAACTCGAAAGATAGAGCGACTCTTCGTTATCCTTATATAAGAATCGATCCTTTGTACGGCAACGAGTCGTGGGACAACGGGATATCGATCGAGTCGGACAATCGAGGAGATATCGCGCCGGAGACCAACTTCGGCTTCAAATCTGACGCAAATTTATCGCAAACGAGAAACACCAGCAACCTCGAGAGAAACGCATTGGATTATATCACACCCACACCGTGCACGAACGTGTCGTTATCTGGTACATATGCGCCAAAAGTGCATACTAAATACGAGCAGAATTACACCCACGAGACAGAGCAGAAGTTTAATCGCACGAATAATAATAACGTAAGTTAAACATCAATCATTTTTTTCAACTGTGCAGAATTTTTGTAAATTCTTAATGGCCTCGATTTTAATATTTTTACTGATTTTTAATATATATAATAATTTTTTATATATCATATTTTTTAGAATTCCATTGAAAGCGACTATCAAAATTGGGGAACGTGCGAAGGGAAGATCGTGTATCAGCATAACTTACTTCTAGGATTGAAGGGTCCCTCGAATCTCGACACGCTGTTCGAAGTAATCATTCAAGGGCCTATTTGTATCACTTGCGTGGAGGTGTTGCGATATAACGAAACTAGGGCGACGGTCACGTTGGATTCCGGCGGACGTGGTCACGAATACGTGAAAATTAGGCTAAAGGGTTACGAGAATGAAGGATTTTCCTATATAATAAAAGTTTGGGGTGTCAAGAAAATTGGTCAGAATTGCGACAACTAATTAGGATACGAAAATGTGATAATGAAATAGCTCATCTCTCGCGAAATAACATTATCACACATCGATTATATACGTGCGAGAAAAATCTTTAATTTAATATAAAAAATTATATATTTTTTTTATAAATATATTATGTTTTATATATAATATCAATAAGCTTTAATCTTATATTCTTATATGATAATAAGCGAATCTCGAAGCGCAAATAAAAAATGAAGCTAATATGTACGTAAAATACATCACAAAATATTCAAAATTTTCCTCTATCTTTCTCATTCTACATCTCTCCGTAAAATATACTTGTGTAAATTACAAAAATAATTTAAGTATTCTATTATTAATTCAACATTAAAATAGACGATATAACATTAACACAGACAAAATTTTTCAACTCTGTCGGACAACATGCATTATGCAAAAATATTGGAGATTACTTCAAGATTAATTGCAGTCAAAGTTCAATATAACGTGACTAATGTACATACTAAATATCAATTGATTGCACAACTACTTCACGTGACATCGCTTGATTGATTGTTCTTCAATACGTAACGACAAAGACGTCTTTAACTTGGAAAAAGAAGATTTAAAAAAAGGAAGAAAAACGATGGTCGCCTAAATATTGACATAGCTAATGGCGTTACATATAAAATTTCAAAGCTTCTGCTTCCGCATCTTATCACACTGAGAAAAAATCTGGTTGATTAGAAATCTGGTAGATTCAACCAGCATGTCTGTTGGAAAATGAACGAATTCCTCTAGAAAACCAGATGAGTATGATAATTTCTTCCTGTTAAATTGACCAAATTTTCTTGATAATAATACTAAACTCACAACAAAAATGGCATCACTGTGTCCATGTTTTATAGAACCAACTAGAAAATACTAACCAAATCCTTGTAGTAAAATCTATTAAACAAATCTAATTGTAAGAAATCGAGTCTTATGATAACTAGAAATTCTGCTTGGTTTAACCAAAATGCCTTCCTTCCAGCCAGATTCAGTTGGGAATACCTTCAACTTTATGGTTCAAGATCTCTTCGGCACGGATGTCGGAAGAGGCGGAGGCGGGACGTTCGGTATTTTCTCTTTATCGTTCCTCGCCTGATCTCTCTTCTCGTCGTGGAAGCTCGGTAACAGATGGTCGGAGTCGACATTTCTTGGCGTAGTCGCCGGGATCGGTTGCAGGGAACCGTAAGGCTGGTAATCAATGTAATAAGTACCGGGCACGAGGTGCGGATTAAAGCCGTTGTACGTATAAATGTATGGCTCGTAATAAAGGGACTGATAGTTCGGGTAGAAGCTCAACGGCACTTGCTCGTTCTTCTTCGTGGAGTTCTTCGAGGGTACTTCGCTGCTCCTCGAATCGTCGTTCTCCGTCTCGCGATCCTGATTGCGATCCTTTCCGACGCCGAAACTGGTCGACTCGGCCAGACGCGACGTCGAGGACGAGGCCTGATCGTTCCCGGCGACCTTATCGTCGGTGGCACCGAGCAACGGATAACGCACCACTTCCGGTGCGACGAATTGAGGCGCTATTTGGGTATAATAGAACGGCGGCACGTAACCGACGGCAGTTCGATGGATGATCGGTTGTATCACCGGAAACGCCCGCGACGGCGACAAATTCTGATTGCTCGTGATGACGGCGTTGTACACCTTTGGGACCCTGAGGAGACCCGGGGCGGCACCCGCGAGGCTCATGAGCGCGTATACGATCAGCAGTTTCATCTAAAAGAAGCATCCCTGTTAGTTTTGACAAAATTATCTTAATATCACAACAACAAAAAAATAAAAATCTATGATGAGAATTTTATGATAAAAATAAATTATCTTAATATCGCTAGTCAATTAATCAAAGGATCGTTGGAAATAATAATCGATCAAACTAGCCAGAAATTTTATGTTTATTGTTTACGACGTATCGACTATGGTTGTGGTCCTTTTCAAGTAAATAGGATCAAATGGCAGATGTAAATCATAATGTTGTAAAATGCACAAGTCACGTTTGCACGATCATTATATCTTAATAAATTTAAAATCGAGAGGTAAAAGCAATGTGTCGATGTGAGACTTCGTCAACGAACGATTTTATGATAAAATTAATGCAAAAGAATTGCTGCAGAAATCGATGTCTTATCGTATATTTTTCTAATAAAAATAATTTAATGGAAGCGTGCAAATTGAAGAGAATACCAGGAGGAATACGAGCATTTCTATAGGGAAATGACTAACACTATTATCGGTTTCCGTAAAGGTAGCGTCGCCGCAAGCATCTTGAATGAAGCGGCGCATATAAACGAGTCGAAACACACGTGCATAGAATATTATCCCGGTCGTGTTCATAGGGCGTGTACTCGGGTTATTGCGTCCATAGCGAATTCCTATCGTGCTTTAAGTTCAAGTTCCCAGAGTACACGGCTATAGTAATGCGCTGTAAGGCCACGATGCGGTATGCCAAATGATATTGAAACTAGAAGAGATGTTTCGAATGTTCTGGGTCTGCTACATATTGTATTCGTAATCGATACAAATACCAGGATGCGAATAATTTTCAGTGGAAGATGTAAAAGATTATATGATCCTCTACAAAGAATTTCTCCTTGTCCTTCTTTTCCATTCTTTGCATCATGATGAAATGTGTTGCGAGGCGAACAGATTTACATTCAAGCCATATATCGAATTAGAAATATATACTTGTTCTAAAAAAATAATAAAATTCCTTTTGCGCAATAAATGAAAGATAAATGTCAAATGAGAAGAGTTGAAAAAAGCAATTGGCGACTTCGTTTATCGATTTCGAATGAGCAAAATCATGCGATAACCACGTGGTATTGCAGCAAATGAATCATCAGCATTTCGCATGTATCGCTTCCTACCTCTGTTAGAAGTCCACGTTTGCGGTTCACCTTCATCGAAATTACGAGGCACACGAACTACTTAAGCGGAGTGCTCGCTCGTACTTACTTTATATCGCTTTATCAGCTTCTCTTCTATGCGTTTCCTCGTACACTTCTACAGCGGGAATCTCCGAGAAGCTGACACCACAAGTAACAAGAGTACTGCATGAGTCCGTAGTATATATGGCCCATGGGGTTCCTGGATTCAAGTCCCCCACTACGGGCGATTCTCGGCGAAAGTACTCTTCGATCGGCACTATAATCCAACTTCGGACCAGCCTATATCACCGTAGAACTGTAGAAGGACAACGGTTTGCAACGCGTCTCCTTCGACGGTGCATCGAGTGCATCGAACCATCGCGAGTGATCACGATCTCTTTGGAAGGATAAGTGCGTCCAGGAAAGTCGCGTGTCATCTTCGAAATTATATAGACACGCGCGGATGATTCGATACCTAAAGAGTGGATTTAGTACTCTTATATAATATTGTCAATTAGCCGTGTAATTATAGCGTCTTATTATCTAACACTTTTGATTTCGAATGCATCGCAATACGCTAAAAATTACAGGAAGAGTAGAATCCAATTTTTTTATATCATTACGTATCATACGAATAAAATTTTCAAAATTGTAATCTAATAGACATCACGATTATAATAATATTATTACACATATGGATAAGATATATTTATGTAATGTCAAATATATAGTTTATCAATCGATCACTATCAATTAAATGTACGCATGTGCAAGCAAGAAAAATAAGAGTATTATATAGATTATATCAATTTCTGATACGCGGATCCGACTTAATTATTCTATCGACAAAGTATTCACTTGGAGAATCAGATGACAGATATTAATCACCCAATCAAATAGCATAAAATTTATCAATCGATCACTATCAATTAAATGTACGCATATATAAGCAAAAAAATCAGAATTATATAGACTATATCAATTTCTGACTCGCGGATCCGACTTATTATCCTATCGACAAAGCGTTCAATTGGAGAACAAGGTGACACATATTAATCACTCGCCTTTCCAGCTGACATTCTCGTATTCTACCACTTATAAATTCATCAATAATCGATAATAAAATGCATTGATTCCGTCAGGAAAGCAGGGTGGTTCGCCTTGATATTTCTTATTTTGCCTTCCAACTACGAATACTTAATTGCTTGATTTTGATACAAGATACGAAAATGTACGCGTATAGTGTAAGATATATAAATTGACATTTAAAGATATAAAAAATTATTACTTTCTCTCTCTCTCTTCCCCGGCATAGCATTTAAATGCTAATTTATTGCATTGCAGCTTCATACAAAATTTTATGCTCGCAAACGAAATTGAAATTTTTGCTTAAAACACTTTTGATGAAATACTACTTATGTGTATGTGTACGTGTAAAATTCCGCAATTGTGATTTCTCTCGTTTGTATATAATGAATATATTCCGTATTTACCGTATTATTGTATAAGTATGCGAAAGGCGAACGACAAAACGCCGACGATTGCGAAAGCATTTTTGCGTAAATCGCGTACAATAAAAAAATTCAGAATTCCACGCGCGCAGATTCGGCAGGTAGGGAAAAAAAAGTCTCTTATTCGAATTGATATCATATTATAGTTAGATAAATCGATACATCTGAGCATCAGCATATACACGTGGAAATAATAGATTCACTAGTCCAGCGCATAAAAATGATTATTCGCAGCTCAACAAATGCATTACAATAATGATCTGTGTCTATATATTAACATATCAACATATTAACATATTGCAATAATGGCTGATGAATGAATGACACTTGATTTGTATCAGCGATACCGCAACATGCGTCGTAAAAATTTTTAATCATAATAATTAGCACTTATACATTTTTTTTGATGCTTAAAAATGAACGACTTAAATCTAAACCACTCGAAATTACTTAATTCAATTTGATTTTTCTCAACCATATTATTGTATGTGATATATAAAAAATAGAGTGTATTATAAATGTGAAGCTGCGATGATACGATGCGACATCGATTGATCTTGGTCAGATCGACTCGATTGGTATGTAACAGATTCTCCGCAGCAGCAGAATCGGGAAATTGGGGAGGAAGACGATCATCAGCAGCACCAAGGGCGACAGTAGCAGTAGAATGTTGGCGTACACCACCAACCACCAAATCGACAATGTTCCCAGAATCGGCTCTAGCATTATGATCCTCCGCCGGACAAGAGATCAAACGTATGAGAACACGAGTAGGGAGCGAGACACTCTCGCGAGTGTTTCGGGATATCTGATTTTAGGAAGGTGAAACACTTCCGGATCATGATCGGTAGGTCGTTCCGTGTGATGCGCGGCCTGAAAATATACAGAAACAATTTCTTTTAATAATCCTTTCGATGATGGACCCTGTAAAAAAGGGGAGAACTCGAACAGACTTAAGGAAAACGTAACGTCGCTCTTTGAAACTTCATCTTTCGTTGCTATAATCATATATATGAAATCCAACATAAATGTATAAATAACTCGATGCGTGATGCGTTACATAATTCGTTTGCCGAATGTTTACATCTTCACATCATTAAGCGACAATTAAAACGCGTCTGTGCAAATTTGTAATGCAAATTTTGCTCGGCAAACATTGCTGCATAAATTGGTAACATTACAAGATGTCTAATTAAACAGTAACAGAAAATGACACGCCAACACGATTACGTCAATCCTGAGGATGCACTACTTCGACTGTTAATTATGCAACAAAATTGTAATAATTATATAACAGCAATGTGCTAAAGACACTTAATAAAATGTTTAAAAATGTTGAAATTCTGAAATTGCATCACCAATATCTTTTTCAAAAATGTAATATATAATCATCTATTGATATATTCGACTGGTCTTTAATTTTTTTCATTTCAAATCAAAAAGCAACGAATAGGTAAGTCAACAATATTAATGCGCCTCGAAGAGCTATCGTACAATGTTCTTAATTAATTCTAAATAATTAATTCATGAGAAAGATTTGCTCTTTCCTCGCGAGTTTGCGCGACCTCCATATTCCTTTCTTTTCCTCTCTTATTCTGTCGAAACTACACGATATTGTCCTTGTATCGAAAATAGTAGTAGATTCTAACGTTGTGCAAACTTGCGTAACAACGTGATATCGAAGAAGGCAAAATTACGTTAAAAGAAAAAGAAAGAAAGAGAGAGAGAGAGAGAGAGAGAGAAAGTGGAACGAGGAGAATGGAAAACACGCTGGATGTAAAAAATGATTCCAATCTCTATGATGTACGCGTGCAATATTACAAGAATGGTCGCTCGCATGGCGCTTGACTCGACGTTATTGCATCGAGAAAAGTGAAATTTTCACGATTGCATAAGAGCCGTGTAATACTAGTATACTACGCAGCGTCCTCATATAACGCAATCTAAATGGGTAACGTAATGTCAATGATCAAGCGTAACGAGATAAGTACCCTGCACCTTACGCAGACTAATTAATCATGAATTTACGTAAACCCGCTAGTTCTTTAGAAAAACTGGAGCATTTATCAAGTATTATTTCATCTATCTGATAATTTGCATTTTTCCGACGAGATTAGATAAAGACATATTTGTCTCTGTATTTTACATAGTCATTGTATTATTTATTATTGTATTGTCTATCATAAAATTGTATTAAACATATTATTAATGGTACATAATATTAATTGTATTAAACAAAATGAAAAAAAAATATAATATATCCCCATGTAAAATTTGCTGCGAAGAAACGTGTTTATAAATATTACGTCATAGATATGGAGTAACATTCTTACTGCCATTAAGCGGTTACGTCAAATCGTCTTTTACTTGCCTCGAGCCTGTTATAAGATTATATGCGTACCTGACGGAAATTGGAAATGGAAATGATATAATTTCGCGCGGAACAATCGCACAGACATAACAGACCTATATTTATTCGTGACAATCGATGCAGATAATATTTGTAAATCGAAAACACACATGCAAATGAAGACAGATATACTTAGAAAGAATCTGGACATGCTTGGCAACATTGTCAAATTCAATTTTTCACTCAGGAAACCCCGCAGAATCAGAATTAAAGGCCTAATTGAGGCAAAGAAAGAAATTGCAATTAACTTTAGGGGGATCAACCAGCGTCGGGATGCAACGTTAAATGTGTCAGCAAGTGCGACAAGTGTGATTTCGCACACCCTCATACCTTCCGCTGTCACGACGTCTTCGCGACACTCGTAGCAGGCTGCATCGCGTCATCAGGACCTGTCGAGATGAACCGCTTTATCTTCTCCTGTCGCGACGCATCTTCGCTGACGCGAAAACGAGTTGGACATGGACACTCCGGAGCCGCGTATCGTCGATAATTCCTTGGCATACGCACGCACGCACTCCGTCTTTTTTTTTTTTTTTAAATTTTACCTCGCGAATCACAGCTGACTTGGCCCGTCCGCGCGCGACGCGAGCAGACGCGCGCTCGCTTTACGTGGACTGAGAGCGTTAAAGTTCGCGGCCGGTCTCTCCGGGCGGACTTTCCCTTTCCTTCGGTTCCTTGAAGACCGTCGGCGGCGTATAATACCGGGACGGTCGTCGCCTTAAGTCACCCGGTTACTTACACACGGACACGCGTCAACCCGATGGCATTGACGGGTTTCCGTGCGCCCTTTCCTTTGGCTCTCTTGCTCAACGAAAACGTGAACAAAGAGCCCGGCCAGCTGGCAAGGAATGCGGCATTTAGAACGGCGTGGATTGACACGCGCTCGTGAACAAAGAAACATGTGTTTGATACCAGGTAACGAGCAGAAAATTTCACTCACTTTTTTATTTTTTTCTCTCGTTTAAAAATACGATTAAATTATTTCTAATAACAGCAGAGGGAGAGAAAAAATATAAAGGAGTAATTGCAATCAAGATTCGGATTTGTGTCTAGGATCAAATTTTTGATTCTTCAAAAAGAGAGAAATAAAATGTTTATTTTTATATTTATAAAATATTTATAAATATAAAATATTACAAAATATATATGGGAAAGGGAAAAAAGAAAATTATATTGTATATCCAGATGAAGATTAGGTAATGTAGCATTTATTAGAAAATCGTTTGATGTAAAGGAGAATGTATGCAGATGATACGCACATCGGGCTCTCATTTCTAAAAATTACTTATCTAAAGATGTCTTCCAAGAATTACATTTATCCGCCAAGTTTATAAGAGAATATTCTAGATCGGAGGAATGTAAAAAAACTGGAAATTGCTCAATCCATTTATGGCATAATTGTTTTTAATCTTACGACACACTTTGATTCGCATCTTTATGCACACGCGAGCATCACATTCGAAGATTAATAAGCGTAATCATCGCTTGATGGAAATACCAACAGGTAATGATTGGCGCAGGGAAAATGCCGAGAAAAGATATGCCAGAAGAAACCAATAACATGTGTGTTTTATCCGACAATACCTGATATTTATAAGTAAAAGACATGAATAGATACGCGATGAAAAGCACGTGCGCGATTTATGCACTTCGGGATACGCAATAAATGCATCAGATTTAAATGGTCCGCTTCTCTAACAAGCAAGATTCATTGTTCTTGTACAAAGATGACCTTCGGACTTTACTTATTTGTTGAAGAAACGCATAATAATTGAAAGTGCATGGCTTTGGCAATGATACATGTCAGATTCGCGACTATGTTTAATGTACAGATGGCAGATGAAAGTCTTAGAAAAACATCCACGAGTATTTTCGGCGATTTTATTGTCTTAGGAACGACACTGCGTCTCTCTTCTCTCTCACTCTGTCTTCTCGACATATTTATTTCACTTTACAGGCTCGGTTCTTTGTTTAATTTATCGTAATTTAATTTATTTACTCTCTCTCTTTACAGAGGGAGAGAAAAAGAATACATATATACTCTTTTTTCTTCTAAAAAGAGTAAATAAATTACGATAAATTAAATAGATTAAAGAATTTATTCTAAAAAGATATAACTGACTAGATGAAAATATACAACACAACAGAGTCTGTAAAATAGAATAAATATGTTGAGAACAATATATCAAGTTAATTAATGTAAGTTTATTTTGTCTCATACAATATATACACGAGAAACAACATCAAAATAAAGTATACAGTATAAAATAAATTTTATAAAAATCTTTTCTTTTTCTTTTTTTCTCTTCCTATCAAAAGAAATTTAAATCCACGATACTTTCATAAAACAATAATTAATCAATCGATATGCATAAATCAATCGATAAATTAATTTGAATTTATTTTCAAAATTATCCATCTGATTACATTTCACATCAGTCTTGATGATGTTTGCTAGGATGCTCTCTCACGATTCATTGATCCGTTCATTCATTAATCATGATAAGCTTACTTCGTGGTACGAGAGCAGTGCAAAGTAAACTGTAGGTCTGCAGAATCCATGTTATCGATGCAATTCAGTTTCTTATTAATCGTACACTGTCCTCTGTACGAAAATGTGCAAGTTACAAAGTAAAGAAGCATCGGTACAATCACAATGCAACGTTATTGACACTTGCACCAATCGTCGCGATGACTAAATGCATCATTCAAACATCGGGCAATGAGTCATATGATAAGGCTGACATTACTTATACTTGTCTATTCTAATACAACTCGGATTAAATTTTTAGTCAAATATTTTTTTTATATCCATCTGCCGCTCGCTTTTTCTCCCTTACGTTCTTTATCAGCTGATCAGCTGTTTATAATAAGAAACGATTTTACCGACGTGCTGATAAAATAATTACTGTATAATGTGGCATCCTACATATGTTATATGCAACTCGATTTTTTAGAAATGCAAATTGCATATTAAAAATATTTAAAAAAAGTTACGTCACGATTTATTAAGATATTATTTAATCATCTATATCATCCGTGATATATTGCACTTAGTATCTCTGAAATTTCCTGATTACTTGTGTTGTTTGCAAAACAAAAAGAGAAGACACGCAATATGTCAATTAATATAAACTATCATTTAGTTATAACAACTAGGGTGAAGTTCAATTTTTTTCTACGAATTTTTTTCTATCTTATAGATCAATAATCTAGAAAAAACAAACCAATGATTAATCAGCAACATTCAACATTCGAGTTAGCTAACCTAAACTTGCAAGGAAATCTTAAATATGTTTGGATAATTTTATAATAATGTTTTTAGAACGTACAACATGGAAGTTTGATCTCTGGTACTATTGGAAAAAACAGAAGCTGACAGGAATATAAAAATAACATAGACATTTTTAACGACTAATTCCAGGTCTTCCTGATCGTAATTTGATCCATAAAAAAATGCAAGTTAAAAATCTTATTTTACCCAAGTTTTTAGGCTTTGAAAAGCGAACTTTAAAAATCTTGAGAAGGATTTGTCGTTTAGTTTCTTCTTTCGAAAAAGATGATGTGCTACGTGACATTTTGTTTATTACTTTCGCTACTTTTTTACTCTTGTCTCGTATAAAACCGCTCGTTAAATCTGCCACTTATTGCATTTGACGATGCGTGTGCAGTTTACTTTTTAAGCTTTCTTGAGTTATTGACATGAGTGATGAGAAGGAACCACCAATTTAAAAGAGAAAACTATCTGCGTATTACTATTTGATTCCAACATTGTATTCGTGCTTTACACGTGTCTAGCCGAACACAATCCCGAAAGAATTTCAAGGAAATATTTTCTATTATTGCCGAAAGGCTTTAAGGTAATTGTAAAAAAATATTGCTATCGCGATATTCGAATATTTGCAAGTTTTTTCAATTTCTTTTATTTATATCGAAACATTAATTAAATTCGCATTCCTTTAATAAATAAAATATTTATATAAGTGTCTAGAAATGTGATAGAATAAGATACAAAAAACAAAATATATGTAACGTATAAGATCATAAAATGCGATGTCATTTAAGACACTTTCTCCGTGTATTTGTGTAAATAAGTTAATCAGATACGTAGATACTCTATAGTTATTACATAGATATACTATATAGCCGGCGATATCAGATAATTGACTAGTTTGAATATGTGAATTATTCACGATTATTTCTTGAATACTTGGCTATCCGACATCTCGAAGATTAGAGACCTAGAATACCTAAAATACTGGGGGAAACAATCATAAATTAATCTCATAAATGTAATTGAATGTTTAATTCATACGTCATTTAAAAGCAAAGTTTTATCAAAAAACGCGTAATTTCTTGAAGGCTATTTAATTAGTTTTGATTCAGTTGAAAATAAATTTATGCTTTGCAAATATTATATATCGTTGTTTATCTTGAAGCTAAAATTATTAATTTCGATTATTTTTTTGAATGATTAGATAATATAATTTTAATCATTATTAATTGATGAAATCTTATTTTTATAAAATTGATAATTTTCCTATAAAAAAAAATAAATTATGAAAATGCATTTGATTTGAAAGGAAGGGAAAATGAAGGTATAGTAATGTGCGACTTGTTTCAACGTATGATCGTTTTGGGGCCCTGAAAAGGGCCAGTTTCGTAGCGGAAGCAGAAAGCAGTATCAGAAAATTATTTCTTCGTCGCTTTAGCACTCTTGGTAGCCGCCGCCTTGGTGGTTTTCGGCTTAGGCGTCTTTGTTTTGGCAGCCGGGGCTTTGGTAGCCTTCTTGGTCTTGGACAGATTCTTAGTCTGAGCGGCGGACTTTTGTTTCGCCGCGGCTTCGACCTTCTTCGCCGCCGCTGTTTTGGCGGTCTTCTTCGGCGTCGCCGGCTTCTTCTCGGCCGCCTTCTTGGCCTCGGTCGCTTTTTTCGTCGGGGGCGCCTTCTTCGCGACCTTCTTCTCGGGAGTTTTCTTGGCGGTCGTGCTACGTTCCTTGACGACGCGCTTCACCACCTTACTCTTCGGACTGGGCTTGGCGGTCGCAAGCTTGAACGAGCCCGATGCGCCCTTCCCCTTGGTCTGCACCACCGCGCCGGATGTGACAGCCGCCTTCAGGTATCTCTTGATGAAGGGAGCGAACTTCTCGCCGTCGACCTTGTAAGTCGAGACGATGTACTTCTTGATGGCCAACACGGACGAGCCCTTGCGATCTTTCAGCTCCTTGATGGCGGCCGTAACCATCTCCGCGGTCGGCGGATGCGTCGACTTGGGACGCTGAGTCTTCGCCTTGGATTTGGCGGCTTTCTTAGCTGCTGGGGCCGTGGCTGTATTTTCCACGGCCGCGGTATTACCGGATGCGTTCTTATCCTCCATGGCGATAGATATGCGAGATATATTGTGCAACGTTCGCAGACGAAGAGTACAAATATAAACTTTCGTTCTAGACGCTCACAGATGACGCTATTCACGATCTCCCGTTCGTCGCGCTACTTGTACTGTGAGCGCGGACCATGGAGAGAGTCCCTCCCAATGTTGAGAGTAACATGCCGCCGGGAATGAAAGAGCGGCCGGTAATTGTTGCTTGTTTAAACAATATTTTGCACAATGAAGGTCGTTCGGTCGACGTACGGAATCGTAGAAGCGAGTAGCTAGTTTCGTTTCGTACGCATTTCAACGGGCTTCCGCGCGATGCATATCGATTTTTCCGCGGTTCCGTGCGACCCGACCGGCTGATCCATTCGGGGGAGTCGATTCAACTCGCCAAATAAGTTAATAAACAATGCAATTATCAATGCACGGCGCGTTTATGCGGTTCACGAAACGTCGTGATAGCTGTGCTAACCGATCGCGAGCGTCTACTTCGGACGAGGTACCAGATTCACGCTGAATATTCCAACTTTCGTGGGTGGCAGAATACAAGCGTTAACGCAACACAATGTGAATACCGATTACAAAGTACATTTGCAGACAATTTTATAGAATAGTGTAAAATGTCATTATCGATTGGGAGGAGGGCGGTTATCGTTACGTTGTAGTATTATATGCGTAATCGTGAAATTTCCTCGAAAAAACTAGGTATCCGCGAGACGATCTCTTGTAAGCCGTCGATTGCATCCGTGCAGTTGAACGTTGTTGTAACAAACTATCCGAGACGAGATAACGAAATAATTGTAGACAGTCGTGTTAATGAAAAACAACCCTCGATGAAGCACGAACGATCATAATTTAGCCTCTCTTCAAATTCCGAAATCTGGATTGAAATTAACGACATATTCACTTCTGATTCGCGATCTGCGTCATCAGGAGCACGTGAAATTCGAACCGCGATTGAAAAATTCTCGCTTTCATGAACGACGGATTTTTTTACCTCAAACTACCGACCTCGATCATTTGTAATTAGATTCTTGTTCATAAAATCCGTTGGCGAAACTGAAAATAAAAAATATTATCTCTCATCTGGATTCGAAACAACGTTTTAAAGTCTTATCTATAGGTCGTTAGTCGTATGTTTCTTTGCCTGTCATTACTTAATTTAACATTTGCAAGACAGTGTTTTACTTAACTTTTTACTTAATTTAACATTTGCAAGACAGTGCTTCCTCTATTTGAAAGCGTACTCTTTCATTGTTTCTACAATGAAAATTTAATTAATCTCTCTCGATACGCACAAATAATGCATGTCGCTTGAAAGCTGTCTCTGCTTTAAAGTCAACGAAAGGCTCGTAGTGGTTCGCACTTACCTAAGGTGTGCTTTATATTTATTTATGAATAATTTAAACCTTAAAACTTGAAAAATCCGTTCTAAAAGAAAACACTCCAGTTAATTCCGCCTTATCTTTACTACGCTATCTTTGTCCTAATATTCTTTGTCTATCTGGAATAATACGTCCTCTTTATTTAACAGATAATATAATTTTGGGAATAACGAGGTTTCTGCGCCACTTTCCAATTTTATCTATTTCTCTTTGCTCTTAATGTTTCAATTAATATCGAAACGTAAAAAAATTACATATATGTAATTTTTTTATCATATATATCATTATTATAATATATTTAATTTATCTACATTATTTGGAAAATAAAACTTCGTAAAAGTTCAATAACTGCCATGTGACATTTCTAAAACTTTATGAGTTAATATTTGGTACATACATATTTAAAAAAGAACTGTTGATGCAGACAAAATATAGATGACACAAAAATATGATAAATAAATACTTGATCGAGAACAAAAATTACAGCTTCGAAAATAAAATAATATTAAAAGTTATAATTCATTGATTTTCTTTTTGTAGGTTAGCTTGTACGGCTAAAATAGTTCTATGAATTCTTGAAAAATAATTCATATATAATGACCATTAATGTTAGTTTCTTAGAATATACTATGCAATTACAAAGAGAGACGATTTTTAATAGGAGATATTTATAGGAGCTATTTATAGTCTTGAAAAGTATCTAAAAATATACTTTAATAGTACATCACTTATATATCCTAAGTACGCAATAACATATTGGTCGATATTTTCTTTCGACTATAGAGGCATTATAGTGAGATGTCATATGGAATATTATTTCTTTCCAATTTCCATATAAACCGAATTTCGTGAAAAAGAAATAAAAGTGAGCAATAGCTTTTAAGAAATATGCATGACATTTCGCAATCATAAGGAAGGTTCTATATTTAAATGTATAGGAATTTTAATGAGCGAATAAATAAAACTTGAGTATGCATTGAAAAATAACTTATGCATATTCTTTTAATAAAACGCATATTATTTTTATAAAATTATTAATAATAAATATATGTTTTGCGTTTAGAATATATGATGTGTATAGAATAAAATATTCGTTGCATAACTTCTACGATAGAGTCAATTTAAATAAAAAATATTCTACAAAATAAAAATATTCAGAGTTACTAGAAAACGTGATTTCAAATGCGTACTGTCATTCCTCATTCGACTCCTCATTTGATATTAATACATACGATATTTATTTTTAATATTTATATATTTTTAATATTTTTGATATTTATATATTTTTAATATTTTTGATATTTATATATTTTAATATTAAAACTTTATTTATGTTTATTATGTTTTCATGTATCAAGAATTGCAGTTATATTTCATTTCGAGAAGACTAGTTTAACCAGTATTACATGAAATCATATTTGGCATAAATTGAATTAAATTACAATATTTTTACATATCGGATGAGGACATCATTTGAGAACTTATTAACTGTACCTTCAGTCATATTAAATACATGATCGCATTTATCGTTCAAGCTTCCTGGAACTTGAATGCGTATTGTATTCGAACAATGCAATGTTTAAATGAAATTTCGATTTTAATTGAAATCAATTATCTCTCGCATCGAGATCATTAGTTGTTAGGACTTTATTAAGTATATTAAGATTGCAAGCAAATATATACATTGCATAAATTAAATGTATTATCCTTTTTCCGCATGTGTCATACTTTTGAAGCGGACTTTTTAATCTACATTTATATCAATTTACAATTTTGACATATGAGATGGAAAAGCAAGGTATTTTCTATATCGTACGCTACACGCTACGTAAAGGATCCTCTTCGAAGCATATGATAGAGCAGCCTTAGTACTGATTGAGCTCGCAGAAAACGCCGCGTTCGTTTCTCCCCACCACTGGAGCTGCGACCAATCACCGTCGAGTTGTCCGTCCGCTGGGTCTATAAAAGCAGACGGAAAGCCGTTCGCCTCCACTTTTCTACTGACCATCGTTTCGATAGCTGGTACCTTCTGACTTGCGTAATGGCTCGTACGAAGCAGACTGCTCGCAAATCTACCGGAGGCAAAGCCCCGCGAAAGCAATTGGCGACTAAAGCGGCGCGTAAGAGTGCGCCTGCCACTGGTGGTGTAAAGAAGCCTCATCGCTACAGGCCTGGTACTGTAGCCCTTCGTGAGATTCGTCGCTACCAGAAGAGCACTGAGCTGCTCATCCGTAAATTGCCGTTCCAGCGTCTTGTTCGTGAGATTGCACAGGACTTCAAGACGGATCTCCGTTTCCAGAGCTCCGCTGTTATGGCTTTGCAGGAGGCGAGCGAGGCTTACCTCGTCGGTCTATTCGAAGACACTAACCTGTGCGCTATTCACGCCAAGCGAGTCACTATTATGCCTAAAGACATCCAGCTGGCGCGTCGCATTCGTGGAGAGCGAGCCTAAGAATTTTCTACGACACCGGCCCTTTTCAGGGCCACCAAATGAATTATTCGAAGGATTATATCTCAGTTTCGCTTAAACATTCCTCCTGTTTCAGGAATATTTACTTCGCTGTATTTTATTAACTTGAATTTTTTATGTTTAGAACTTTTTAAAATAAACTTCTGAAACCTTTATGAAATATTAAATTCATACAAAATTCAATAAAATTGAAACTGCGAGAGGATTTCATGGGAGATTTTAAATTAAAAGTACATTGATATATTTTTAATCTTTTTTTCCATTCGCTTTTAAAAAATATTCGATTCAAGTCTAAAATTGATTTTAATTCAGAAAAATATTTTTACGTCAATATATATGTAGAACTTTATTTCTGGGCTTGTTTTTTTAAGTAACTCAATACAATTTTATTTAAAACAAATTTTTTTACGTTATAATGATTACAAATGATTGTGTGATTGTACATGAATATAAATGATTGACATTTTTAAATATGACAATTTTTGTTCTTTAATGTCAATATATACTCTGAAATGTGTAATTTATATATAACACGACATTTTACAAGTTATATGATATTGATTATAAAAATCCTGGTTTTAATAACATTGATTGAAATTATATTTTTATTACGTATTAAAAATTTTCATATTTAATTCTAATTTTGCATCTTGATAGATATAAGATAACTACATATCGCATCGTTAATTGACCAGCTGATTGTTTTATCTGTAGTCATATTCGCTCCTAACCTTTACAATCTATAGTATTTTTTATAGAAATTCTGAATCATTTAATTTTTCTATTCGAAATATTTCAACATATTTTAGCATTCGTTGCATGAACATACATGAATATACTATTTAGATATAGTTTTGTTTCAAATGTATTGCAATATTTATCGATTGGATTAGTTACAATTCAAATTTTTTATGAAATTTTTTTAATGAAATTTTTATGAATTAGCATGCTTAATAAAAGTAGCAATATTAAAAATAGCTATTTTTAAGAGAAAAATAAGTTTTGTGAATTTAAAAATTAATGTGTAAATATAAAAAGGTATATTTATCTTTAATTAAGCACAAAAAGCTAAGAATTTTTTTATTCTATATTGAAATCATTCAAATGCATCTTGTATTTTACGCTTCATTGGAAATGCAATATCCTGCAATAAATTGCAAATTCGAATATATTGGATATGCATATAAAATAACATTGCAATTCTATCAAACCTTATTACTCAATATATGTATACATAAATGATTGTTTCTTTTAATATGAATGTCACAGGTGTAATAATTTTAGTCATAAATCATAAGATTTTGCATTAATAGGAAAAATGTAGCGAACAGGAATTAAACCGAACGTTCAAGTCATTTGTGGCCCTGAAAAGGGCCGATTGGTATTTGTAGAAATCCACAATTTCTTTAACCGCCGAAACCGTACAGAGTTCTGCCTTGGCGTTTCAGGGCGTATACGACATCCATGGCAGTTACTGTCTTCCTCTTGGCGTGTTCAGTATAGGTGACAGCATCGCGGATGACGTTTTCGAGGAACACCTTCAACACACCGCGAGTTTCTTCGTAAATCAAGCCGGAAATACGCTTTACACCGCCACGTCGCGCCAGACGACGAATGGCCGGCTTGGTGATACCCTGGATGTTATCACGAAGAACCTTCCTATGTCGCTTCGCTCCTCCTTTTCCCAATCCCTTTCCTCCCTTTCCGCGACCAGTCATCTTGAACTACTAGTAAGTACGATCAGCGTCTACACACGAGAAAACAGATCGAATGACGGTGAAAGCATCGTGGCGCGCCCTTTTATAGCGGACGAATCCAGCCTCTCCCCACCACGTCGACACCGACCAATCAGAGCGTTCCTCTTGTTTCTTGGTCTAACGTACATTACTAGGCGATAAAGAATTATTTTTTTATATACAATATTGAGTCAGCCAGGAAGTTTTCTTTTTAATTCAACTGAATGGAATAGAATGATAGATGTATATTTAAAAATTTAAAAAGAAAATGAGATAATGCAAGTTCAGTTAAAAAGAATAAATCTAAGATGAAACTTGCGATACACATAAAGATGTAGTTTACATCTTTATACTTATTAATTGAAGAATTATTAAAGCTACTTATTTTGAGGAGAAAAAGTAAAAATAAAAAAACAACATCCACTAATTGTAAGCATGAAGTGCATATTTATATTTAAAGTAAAAGCAGAACATTCATTAATTGTAAACATAAAACGCATACTTATTTCATTTTGATAAGCTTTGCAAATATAAAGAAAAAAATGAAGTGCGGAAAACAAAAATTGCTAATGTTTAATCTAGCACGTATCATACGATGCGTATCCATGACATGTTTTATGTATGTCGTGATTTATATGTTTATTCATAAGTCTGATTTTCCCTAGAGCTCCTTAAAACTATGCTGGCGTGATAAATTATACAAACAGGAATGTTGGCGTAAATTTTATTATATTAACTAACATTGCATTAATCGATGTGGAGCACGGATACTAGACTTTCTCTTGTAGAATCTCCAAGAAACTTAATAGCTATTGTTTGGCATCTATCATATTTAATGAGATAAAATTTCACTGATTTTATAATACATCAATAAGTGCAATTGAAATGATATTCTCTGTAACTTTACTCGATGAGGAAAAGAATTTTATAGCGACACAACGCGCATCATTCAGCGACACGAGTGTCGACCAATGACGCTGTAGCATGGTAGGAGCCACTGCCGCTCGCACGTGATTGGTGCGCTCGCCCTACCGCTTGCTACTATATAAACTCGCGTGGAAGCTACTCGCCAAATCATTCTGTCTCTGAGCTCGCTTTGATACAGACCTACGAGATCGATCATGCCACCGAAAGCTAGTGGTAAGGCGGTGAAGAAGGCCGGAAAGGCGCAGAAGAATATCAGCAAAACTGATAAGAAGAAGAAAAGGAAGAGGAAGGAGAGCTATGCTATCTACATCTACAAGGTGTTAAAGCAGGTTCATCCCGATACTGGAATCTCTAGCAAGGCTATGAGCATCATGAACAGTTTCGTTAATGACGTTTTCGAACGCATTGCGGCCGAAGCGTCGCGATTGGCTCATTACAACAAGCGATCCACGATCACATCTCGCGAGATCCAAACTGCTGTAAGACTTCTGTTGCCCGGCGAGTTGGCCAAGCACGCCGTCAGTGAAGGAACAAAGGCGGTCACCAAGTACACTAGTTCGAAGTGAACAAATTACGGAAACGGCCCTTTTCAGGGCCACCAATTATATTTAACGTTGACAGTTCTTGTATCGTGATTTTTTCAATTTGCTAGAATGTTAAGATTAGTCTAATTTAATAATTATATTTAATAATTATATGTGTTACTAATGTATAGGTAAAATTACAAATGCTCCTAATATTTCGATAGATTTTTGAGACAATCTTTATTTACTGTTTAAATAATAAAGTTCTGGTCTGCAAATTTTAAGTATCAGTTATAAAGTAGGAATTTGTATTTTTTAAGCGATTATCCAAGTAAAATATCCAAGTATAAATAGATGAATGCTAAATAATTAGAAAATTTTAAGTATACTTAGACATGCATCTCTTTGTACGTAATTTTTAAAAAATTAAAAAATATATTTAATATAAATTATTATTAAATATAAATTTAATATCCTGAAGATGAAGTAAAGATGATTTATATTTTTTAAGCGATTATTACAGAAAAATATCCAAGTATGAATAGATGAGTGCTAAATAATTAGAAAATTTTAAATATACTTACACATGCATCTTTTTGTACGTAATTTTAAAAAATTAAAAATATGAATTATTAAAAAATTATAAATATGAATTATTAAAAAATTATTAAATATAAATTTAATATCCTGAAAATGCAAAGCAAAGAGAACGATAATGATAAATGATTTGAGATACACATACATGTTTATAAGTAAGAGGAGAAGTTCGATTTTTCATCCCGAAATTTATTTATAATTTTCAATAAGTTGATGAAAATTCTATCAATGTTTCTATGTTTCTATTCTTCAAATATATTCATTCATAAGAGGTCTTTCTCCGATTCATAAACGAATATATATCTTCGATAGAAATCGATCGATATTATTAGGAGTAAATAGCGGGACTGACGGTGATGTGTGCCATGCGTATAGTTTTCAAAGAAACCGTGAAACTTTCTTATATACAAACTATATGATGTATAAATACTGTAAATATAATTCGAACTTTAATTGATGAAATCGCGATAATACGTGTATATAAAATATTATCAGTGTGTAGTAAAGTACATGCTTCAGAGGTTATATTTTTGTGTTTAGCACTTGTGCTTTTTATGGGTGTGCAAGGATATTTTTCTCGTCACAATACAATTCAATCAACTTCCTTATTTTTCCTGATGTTCCGTCGCATGTAAGAAATCAAAATCTTGATTTTACTATTTAACGGTGTCTGTACAATAGTAATATCTGAAAACAGAAGGTTCGTAGGTTATTCTTAACCTAAAAATGTCCGACGACGAGGATTTGGTTTACGTGAAGAAGCAGAAGACCGTTCATTATGGCTCGCTGGAAGAGGCGGAACGCGCCCGGCTCGCAGCTTTGCAAGTTGCTGTCGAAGCTGCGGACGAAGAGAAGGATGCCACAAACGCGAATGATATCACCAATGCTTCCAACTTGGTCGGCAATGTGCACATCTCAAACGAGTATATGGAACTCGAGGATGAAATGTCCAAAGATCGCCAGGCGTTACTGGAAGAATTCGAACGTAGGAAAAAGGCCAGGCAGATTAACGTTTCCACAGACGATTCCGAGGTAAAGAAACACTTGAGACAATTGGGTGAACCAATTTGTCTGTTTGGCGAAGGTCCCGCGGATAGAAGAACAAGATTGAGAGAATTATTAGCGAGTGTAGGAGAAGATGCTATAAAGAAGAAGCACGAGGAAGAAGAGAAACCGCTTCATACGGTTGAAAAGGATACAGAAACAACTTGGTATCACGAGGGTCCAGAATCTTTGCGAATTGCACGATCATGGATAGCATGTGAGGCTTGGATTTAATTCTCTCTAAAAAAAAAATTAAAATATGTAAATTTATATTACTCATAGATACTGCAGATATTATACAAATTTGTATATTTACAGCATATTCATTACCCAGAGCAAAGGTGCGATTGAACGAGGCGAGACAAGATCTAGAATTACCAACTGCGACTCGAACAGCGAAAAGACAAGAACTTTTGAAGAAGCTGCAAGCATTAACTATTTATTGCTCTCAAATTGGAGATACGAGGCCCATCTCCTTTTGTCAGTTTAGCCCTAATTCAAAGATTCTTGCTACGGCATCATGGTCAGGCTTGTGCAAATTATGGTCTGTACCTGACTGTACTTTGTTGCGCACTTTAAAAGGACATACTTGTAATGTTGGCTGTATTGTTTTTCATCCAAAAGCTACGATAACCGAAGATGTGATAGGTGATAATGCAGGACAGACTTGTGTGCTGGCATCTTGTGCATCAGATGGTCTGTATATTGTTATAAATTATGTAAGATTTTGAGATAAAAAAGATTCATAAATTTCAAGATTCGTTTTATTCATATAAATATTATAATTAGGCACTGTGAAATTGTGGAGTGGTGGCACTGGCGAAGAACCATTGGCAGAAGTAGAAGGACACGAGCCTCATAGAGTTTCCAGGATAGCGTTTCATCCGTCCGGACGATTTCTTGGTACGTGTTGCTACGACGCATCTTGGCGATTGTGGGATTTAGAGCAACAAGCAGAAGTACTTCATCAAGAAGGTCACTCTAGAGCTGTACATTGTATTAGGTATATCTTGTCTTATATATGATTGGTTTTATTGATTTTTACTCTATGTCAATCGCGATTTTTAATATATATTTTTATTCTTACTCAGTTTTCAGTGTGATGGAAGTGTTTGCGCTACAGGTAGTCTCGATTCTTTCGGTAGAGTATGGGATTTGCGTACCGGTAGATGTATAATGTTTATGGAAGGTCATCTAACATCCATCTTTGGCGTCGATTTCTCGTCAAATGGTTTTCATATAGCGACAGCAAGCGAGGATAATACTTGCAAGATATGGGACTTGCGAAAGAGGACCTGCATATATACGATACCGGCGCATACCAACTTGTTATCCGACGTAAAATACCAGAGAATAGAAGGACAATATTTAGTTACCGCGTCTTACGACAACACAGCCAAAATCTGGTCCAATAAGACATGGCAACCGCTCAAGGTGCTACCAGGTCACGATGGAAAAGTCATGTCTGTCGATGTGTCTCCTGATCACAAATTTATCGCGACTAGTTCGTATGATAGAACTTTTAAATTATGGGCTCCAGAATAAACCAACTAAGAGAATATTTTTTCTACTATGTCAAATATATTATAAAAATTATTCTTTAGTGTCTCTTATTTATATAATATAACAAAGTATGTATATACTTACGTAAAACACAATGAAGTATGTATATACTTACGTAAAACACAATGAAATCACATTTCATTGATAATTTAATTATAGCAATTCTATTTACTATGCATTATTCGTTTTCATACAATTTACGTAATCATACAATTTTGTATACAATAGGTTTAATAAAAATTAATTTCTCCGAAATATGTTGATTATATTGGAGAAACATACTTTTCATTTTTAAATTTGTAATATATTTAAAGTTACAGTCGGAAATGTTATTAACGCTCGTATTGCGCTTTTCAAAAATATGTCTTCCGTGAAATAGGTCTTATAATCGCGTATAAACTTTTGACGTTATTTATAACTGGGGCAGCTGCCCGTTCAATAGGCGCACCGTCGATGTTTATACCGTCCTCGACAGAGTCACGAACATGTTAACTACAGAATCCGAACTCTTATGCTGAGGTTTGTCGAGTACATTTCAAGATGGAAACTGAAAGGGAAGACCTCGCGCGCTCTTATGTTATTAACAAACTTTCAATGTAATTCTGAAACAGCATCCTTTAGAACTTTCGTTGTAGATGTTATACTGTTGTACCGACAGAATTTCTCTTTGAAATTGTAATTTACTTTTCTTCATTTTTAAATATTGCATTCAAGTGTCTTTTGATATTAGAACACAAAATATATTTACTTATGAAAATAAAGTAATAATTTTTAATGTTTAACTTATTAATATCAGGAGAACGGAGGGAGAAAATTATATTTATAATCTTGGAAGATTAATATAATTATATTTCTATCCTAAATGAGAGATATTATAATTACATATTTCTATTCTTTTCAATGAGACCGAGATAATAAAAATTTCAATTTTTAGTCGATACATATGTATATGTATCATATATATAAATAATAATTAGATAGAAAAATATCATTATTTATTTGATTTAGTTACAATTGATCATGCGATTTATCGTTTTGATTTATATTTTTCAACATTTGATGTGTATCACATTTTTTCCCATAAGACTCGTGTGGTCATGTGTCTCTTGTTATAACTAGATTAAATTCTAACAAAACCGAGAAATTATGCAAGTTTTTACTTGCGGTAAAAATTTTACATATAAGCACATTTTAGAAAATAAATTAATTTTTTTTTATGTTACCATTATAATGTCTGATATTATTGGTAAGATATTTTTTGTTATTATTTTGCTTTAACAAATATATACTTGATAACTTAATCTGCATGTGCTTCCGGTGAAACAATAATTGCTTAAATCTTAGATTAGAAAGTTTAAATATTTGTTACTCTTTAACAATTTTTAAGCGACACAAACTTAAAAAAATCTGATTTATTTCGACGTTCTTTATACTAAACTTGTACGATGTCTCATTTCATAATTCGATATGACTACTGTGAGAGACCAAAGAATTTTAAAAAAGTTTTTTTTTTGTATTATCTAGCAATCTCGAAACAAAGCAATCGAGTCACGATTCGGAAAGAGGTAAGGGTTGATGAAGCCAACTTCCACTGCCTCCTTCAGCAAAATCGGCGACCGTTTGTCCATCCCCTTTCAAAATCCATTTGGTTGTTAATAAACCATCCACCCCAACCGGACCGCGTGCGTGGATACGTGCCGTCGAAATACCGACCTTTAAAGAAATATGATAAGATAAAAAATTATGTCATTAATAATTTGCAACTCGTATACGAGTATACGAGTACACGAGCGGAAGATGTGTATTACATTTTTTCATTATCATATCAAAAGCTATAAATCACGCGATGAAGGCAATTACAATTTAATTACTTTTTATTTATTAATATAATAAAATTGTTTTTTTAATTAAAAATTTAATTAAATTTCCGTAGTTAGAAAGTATCTCACCTCCGCTCCAAGACCGAATCTGTAACCGTCCGCAAACCTGGTGCTGGCATTATGGAAAACACACGCACTATCCACTTCCCTCTGGAAATGCTTAGCTGTGTTAGTGTCCTCGGTAACAATGACATCGGTATGACTGCTGCCATATTTATGAATGTGGTTGATAGCGTCATCGACGTCGGAGACTACCTCTATGGTGCATTCCAGTGCGCCATACTCGGTTCGCATGCTTTTGGCAGCAGGTGGACCGAAAGTCAATATCTCTCTTATCTTTGGACCGGAATTGATTTTCACCTGAAAGATGTAAAGCGATCGAGTTTTCATCGTCATTACGAGAAAAGAGTATCGATTGAAAGATTTCATTTTGTAAAAACATTGGATTAAAATTGATATAAATTGGTAGAATGCATTAATACGTTTCACTGAAATCCCTGTAACGCGTGTAAAAATTTTTTTCCATTTGTATTTTACAAGAGAGATGTAAAAAGATTTAATCTTTCCTGTTTCATATTGAAAAAACTAATATATATATATATATATATATATATATATATATATATATATATATATACAGGGTGGGGAAAAAGTATGGAAGCAAACAATTATTTCCGAAACTATTCATTTTTCGACAAAATGTCTTAGACATAATTTTTATGGTATGAAAAGATGTATTATGTGGCATAGACGGCATGACCTTGAAATGACCCTTACGAGCTGTATACAAATAACGTAAAAAATTTCAAATGGACCTCGTCAGTTTTTGTTACAGATTCTTGTAGCTGATGTCGAAACGTTTACAAAACACTGCATATGAGCCCCATTCCCTTAAAAACACTCCCAGTTACGAAACAATTGTGATAATTCGTATCGACGAAATTGAAAATAGACAGATAGAAATAGAAATAGACTACTTTTTTAAGGATAAAATAAATGATAATAATAAATAAGGTAGCGATGATCAAGAAATTAAAAAAATTCTATGAATACTCATAGACAGTGTATCATATGACAACAGGTACAATTACATGTTATTAGTGGACGCAACTGAACGTCATGATGCGAAATCAGTAAGCAATGTCAATGTGCATACAAATTGTTTGTATCACAATTGTTTCGTAACTGGGAGTGTTTTTAAGGGGAGTGTTTAATGGGGCTCATATGCAGTGTTTTGTAAACGTTTCGACATCAGCTACAAGAATCTGTAACAAAAACTGACGAGTTTTGTAAACGTTTTGTAAACGTTTCGACATCAGCTACAAGAATCTGTAACAAAAACTGACGAGTTCCATTTGAAATTTTTTACGTTATTTGTATGCAGCTCGTAAGGATCATTTCAAGATCATGCCGTCTATGCCACATAATACATCTTTTCATACCATAAAAATTATGTCTAAGATTATGTCCATTTTGTCGAAAAATGAATAGTTTCGGAAATAATTGTTTGCTTCCATACTTTTTCCCCACCCTATATATATATATATATATATATATATATATATATATATATATATATATATATGTTATATTCGACGTAACTGTCGACTTTTTACGACATCCCAACGAAAGTCTCGCGACAAAAGTTTTGCTTACGAACGCGAAGTTGCAGCAGCGTGACACGAAACAGGAAGGAAATAAAAAACATTACACTCAGTTCTTAATCTCCTTTAAATTACAGAGTTACTGTCGGCAAATCCTTTTGTTCTGATCAAGAAGATTCTTTTTAAAGTAGCTAAAAGCTAAGAGCTCTGGAAATTAAATGTACCGAAATAAATAACGCTGTATTTACCATTCTTTTTTCTTACGCTACACGATATAAAACACTCACTTCTTCATTGTGCAGCATGCTGCATACGTCGTTAAAGAAGTTGCCTCTCATGAGACCCTCGTGTATCAGCAAAGTCTCCATCGCATTGCACGCAGCCGGATAATCGCACTTGGAATCCCTGATGATCCTCAAGGCCTTCGTCAGATCCGCGTCCTTGTCAATATAAACATGACAGATGCCCTCGGCGTGTCCCAGCACAGGTATGTGCTTGGATTGCTCCTGGATCGTGCGGACGAGATCCGAGCTGCCGCGAGGTATAATGAGATCAATGTGTTTCTCCATTGAGAGCAGATCGCTCACGTCCTCCCTCGTAGGCACCAGCGAAATAGCATTGGAGGCTTCGAATTTTGCGAGCGCCTCCTTCACGAGCTGCATCAGGTACCTGTTGCTGTTAGCGGCCTCCTTGCCGCCTTTCAGAAGAAGTCCATTGGCGCTGGACATAGCCAAAGCAGCCACTTGGGGCAGGCTGTCTGGTCTGGACTCGAAGATCACCAGCAGCACACCGATGGGCACCGTTATCTGCTGCAATTCCAGACCCTCGGCAAGTTTCGTCCTACGCACAATGCGACCCACGTTGTTCAACGAATCTTCCGCGATCTTGTGCAGACCAGAGCTCAGAGACTTCAGCTTCGCCGGCGTCAGGGACAGGCGCGAGAGCAGAGCCTTGGCCAGGTTTTTCTTGCTCGCGGCTTCCAGATCCATCGCATTCGCCGCAAGAATATCGGACTGTCTCGACTCCAACAAATCCGCCAGAATTCTTATACATTCGGCACGTTCCTCGGGGCGTAACGCCTGCAACACTCTACTGCCGACGCGAGCTGCAATTTTATTCGTGAGTTTATGAATGCAATTTTCCAGTCGCTATCAACGATGCAGAATAAATGGTACCTTAATAGGTTGGTCTTTTTTAACTCTTTTTAACTCTTTTAACCCGCGTTTAAATATTTATCATTTCAAATATTTATTTGCTTATTTTATTATTACGATTTTAGTTTACATAAAATCTCAAATATCGCGTATGTCATAATAATATTTTATATTTTGAATAAACATATAACGAATAAATGAAACTTTTCAACGCCGAAAGAGGATTAGCAATATGCAAAGCGTGCATTCGGCGTAATGGTTACATTTATTCCAGAATTATATGTACGCTCAATGCAGTCAACATTGCATTTCAATAGCTCACCGCGCATTTATGAAAATAAATCATTATGGAAATAAAAGCACATTCAAAAAACTTAAATTAATAAAATATGATGAACATAAATTATGCAACGCGAAGAGAAAGAGAAGAGAGAGAGAAGAAGAGAAGAAACGATAAATTAAATCAGGCAACTGAAATTTATGTAAAATTATGCAACGCCGAAAAAGTTACAAAAGTTGTCTGTCCATGTGTATTATACATGTTACAAGATCTTCTCCAACAATCAAATGAAATCTTAAGATTTGGAAATTGAAGTTACCATATTCGGCGATCACCTCGACGGGAGTAGACGAGCCGGCGGCTTGCGTGAAAAACGTTCCAATTTTTCTACCGGATATGATGCTCTTAATGGCTCTTTCCTGGGTGCCCTTGCAGATGACCACCGCGACGCCGCGATCCATCGCCCAGAGAGCGGCGTTGACCTTGGAGCTCATGCCGCCGGTGCCTACCTTCGACTTCTCCCCGAACTTGATGGTGTTTCTATGATCGGAGCTGAAGGTGTGCAGCATTTTTGCGCCATCCTGCCAAGGTGGCAGATTGTAAATCCCATCGACGTCGGTCATGAGAACCAGGAGGTCCGCCTGAATCTCGGCCGCCAGCATCGCGGCCAGGGAATCGTTGTCCTTGATGGATATGCCTCGTCTGCCGCTACCACCTGCTACCTCGTCGTCCGGAATATCCGGCGGCGGCGACACCGCGTCGTTCGTGTTGATGATGGGCACGATGTTCAGGCTGATGAGTTCGCTCAATGTGCTGAAGAGGTTCTTACGCGTTTCCTCGTTGTAAAAGTCAGGTTTCGTTACCAATACTTGGGCGATCTTGACTCCGTATTGCGCAAACATCGCGTCGTAAAGAGACATGAGACCCGATTGACCCACCGCAGCGGCCGCTCTGGGTTCCAGCATGGTTCCTTAAACATACAGTATCAAAGTACGCAAGTTTTATACTTCACTTCGAGAGAGAATGTCGAGAAAAGCAGAGAACTCGCGACTCGAGAGTCGTTTTTGAAATACGTTTAAAGATGCTTCTGGGAGATGCTACGTCGAGAGAGTAGCAAACGGCAGATAATTGAATAAGGTAAATTGGAGAGAATTGTTTGCTGACGCGCGCATTGATCGGAAGATCTATACTCGACATAATTTCTCGGACAAATAGGATCCCGCAGGAATTCGTCGCCGGATAGCTGTTGGTTCAATCCATATAGATAGACCGAACATTGTCGACTACTATCGGAACATCGACACTTTCCGCTTGGGTACTTTCACAGAGTTAAAAATTTACGAACAATTGTATTATAGGATCAATACTCTTGTTTACTTATTCAAAAAAAAGAATGTCTACCATGTGTTTGACATTATTGTTGATACTTTTTACTTGCACTCAAGACTACATATGTTTCACACATATGTGCTATTTTCCTTTAATAATTATAATTAATCCTTTAATAATTGAATGAATATTAAAATGTATAGTCTAATAATGATTTGTTATTTTTTTTTCTATGAAAGTATTAATACTGATTAACGAATCATTTATAAGGAATAACAATGATTACAATAAAAAAATTTTTATCGCATAATGTAAAGAGAAAATTGCGTTGAAACTTAGAAAATTGTTGTCTCCACAAAGTCGATTTATATTAAATATTGTCATAAAAAAGAAAAATATTTGTTTCAACATATAAATAATTTATTCTTTGTATAGCATCTTTCTTGTTTATAACAATTATATATATTTTATTACGTCTTTTATTCCCTCTCCTTTCATATTTCTTATTAATATCTCTTGTCTCTCTAAATAAACAAATAAAAATCATTTTCGATGCTAGCACGCAAGCATTAAAGCATCATGTACACGATATCAAATTTTTTAATATATATTACGATCATTACATTAATGTTCTACGAGAAAATTATTTTTAAAGTAACAGCATTACATGTCATAAAAAATAAAAAATGATCATTTCAAGCGAGCTGATAGTATTATGTAGTTAAAGTTACATACTTTTTTGTACTTTATGTTATCGTTTTAAAGCTATAGCGAAAATTACATCGATAATTACTGTATTTTAAACATTCACGCCACATAATTTCCTTATACACGATCCGCGTGCAACATGTGTGCGATCCTAATTAGAATTATGAGAATGCTATTCAGAACTGTTATTCGACCGGAAATCTCTCAAAGAGGATTAACGCAATTCACTACAAGATTACCATATTCCGGTTTCAATTATGTTAAGCGTGGTTCAACTGCACTCGTATTTACATGTAAAGTTCTCTTAGTTCCCATCCGCAAATGAAGATACTAATTAAAGCGTCTATACACGTTGCATTCTTGATAGTTTGATATAAACAGATAAGAAGAGTCAAATTGGCGTAAGAATATACAGCGCCAATTATCCCGCTCAATACTGACGTATCTTGCAGGAAGAGTAAAGCAGCTAAGGAGGGTTCATTACTTACGAAATAGGTCAAGTTGAATTTAGGGACTTGTGATCAATATAGCCTTTGAGCGCGGGAAATTGTAGCGTCTAGATAGATTGCGTTCTCATGCGATTATGATTCAGAATCATATCAAACTGTCGATGAAATTGAGAACAAGACAAAAGAGAAATTAATGTCTCGAGCCAACCTTATCCAAGAAAGATATATATAGAATCTTCCACATAATTATTGTTCTTATTATAAAAAAATATACTTTATATTAATAAAAATATATTAATGTTTTAATAATATGTTATTAGACTATTTAAAATTAGAAAAAAATTAAAAGGAAAAAATATATAAATATAATTTATATAATTATTATATAATTATTTAATTTATATAATTATTATATTATTATTATATAATTATTATATATTTTTCCTTTTAATTTTTTTCTAATTTTAAATAGTCTAATAATATATTATTAATATATTAATATAGTTTTATTAATATAAAGTTTATTTTTTTATAATAAGAATTATTATTATATTATATTATTATTATATTAATTATTATATAATTATTATATAATTATTATATATATATTTATTTATTAATATGTTTTAATTATTATATAATTATTTTATATATATATATATATATGTATATATATATATATATATATATATATATATATATATATATTTATTTATTAATATGTTTATATGCAATTATATCTTATCAGTTATATTTTATCAGTTTCCACGGGCGAAAGATAAAGATATAGATGAATGTAAACAAAATCTCGAGAGTGAGAGAAACAGAGAGATATAGTACCTGCGTGTTCCCGTGTGTGATCCGCAGGACTCAAGGTCTCTCTCATTGACATAGACATTAAAAGCTCCTGAGTAAGCTTCTGTTTGCCAAAGGCAACCGCACCGCTAGTCACCATGATACATTCACGTCCGTCAATCTGACACTCGGCTACCTGCTCCACGATGGATGCGAGACGTCCGAGAGCCAGACCGTGTTCGTCCTCTCTCGTTATAACAGCGCTACCGAGCTTGATGACCAATCGACGAGCATATTGTAATTCGGTGCGCTCCGTAAAAGTCTGTTGTCTGCGTGGCCTCTCCGAAGTTTGCAGCTCTCTTCGCGCGTACCTTTGCGATGCACCTTTAGCCATCTTGAAAAGTTGTTTACAAGTTAGATAAGTAAAATAGTTACAGAAGTAAAATCGCAAAAAAATGAGAAAAATGGCTGCAAGAGAATAAAGCGAAGCTTTGAACGAATTATCTCTCACCTTTCACAGCAAATCTGGCATATTAAAATATATCTGACAAATATTTATTAAATGAACGTATTATGTTATCATTTAATATTCATGCAAAGGGTCTGGCAATACTGAAGCAGAGTTTCTGAATCTTTGCAAGAAGTTATGAAGTTATAACGGTGTAGGGAGACGCTAGTAGAATTTAATATCTGTTGGAGCAAGAAGGAGGGAGGCGAAACTGTCTGATCTCTCTCATATTTCTAGAAGAGTGGATTGTATTTATTTTAATATATATATATTTTATATATACATATATAAAAATTTTTAAGAGAAAATTCTAAGTCGCCCCGCAAGAGTATATTTAAAACTATTGTATTGTTTCTTTGTGAACTAACTGATCTTTCTTCTCCAACAGTTTTATATTAATATAGATAAATGACGTAGTATTTTATTTTCTTTATAACTGCTATTTAAGCATAAAATTATCGTCGTGTCTTATCTTTGTACTTAACGATGTTACGAATTCATCGTCTGTTTCGAATAAAGATGCAACAGAGATGCAATAAATACAATGTAAAATAAATTTAACGCTAAATAAATTAGACACTTTATCTATACCCTTTACAATATTACGAACATAAATTAATTAATTCAAGAAGTAATTGGATGTTGAAGTTTATCGGAAAGTTGTGTCTCTATAAGAAATAGATGATATATTTGATAGATTTATTGGATATCATCGAAAAGCTTTCAAAGTAGGATTTAATTAAGATATACCGATAAATATTTTTTCGTATATATATATCTCTCTTGATTGTGCAACAAAAAATAATTTTATATTAATAAGCCATTTTAAAAAATTTATATATGCGAATGATAATTTTCGTATCAGTTATATCTATCGATCATGATCTGTTTACATCGCCGTCCATATCATTTATTTTATAATTGATAACACAAAATAACTTGATAAGTATATGTGGATAAAAGGAAGATGATATCCGAGATCGCTCGTGTATTTTTCGTGTCCAGACAGAACGTCATCTCTCGCAACAGATACAATTTTGGATTATTCGAGACACGAGCTTCGATTTTCGCAATCGTTTAGCAAAGATGTTCCCCGTTGCGCGATTACTGATTGCGCGTTGTAAATCATATCATAACCCTCTTATCTTTGCACCGAGAAAGAGAGAAGGAAATGTGTTCTCTTTTTATGTGTTCTATTTGTCAGTTCCCGATTGTACAGAGCTCGAAAGAGTGCAATTTTCCACGTGTGCATTTGCCGATACGCAATTCCATTTACGGAAATTGGCGAGCACACAAACAAACTTTTACAGAAGTTTTCACATAGTTTTATAATCGTATCACACTACGGCCAGAAAAATATTATATCATAACAACCATAAACAAAAAATTGCCATAATGTCCATAATAAGTCGAGGGAGATAGTACTACGCATGTTATTATTAAGCCAGGCAATAATCAAATATGAGTAAATTTTTTAAATAATAAAGATTAAATCAATTTGATAATTATCATCTTTATTATTAAAAAATTTATTTATATTTAATTGTAAAACAATCTTATATTTTTAGTCGAAAAAAGAAATATTATGCCTCTAATTCGTTATTATTATTATTATCGATTTTCAACAAATTATTTAGATCTTTTCCAAACAAAGAAATTTGTTGTAATCAATATCTCGTATTCAGTTTTGCATGAAGCAATTATTATTATGTGTGATAAACTAATTATGATGGGGATGTGATACGACTAATGAATACTTTCAACAAGCATACTTTATCAAACAAATTTTTATTTCGTATTTCCTTCTTTCTTTGTCTACATCCTTCTATCTTTTACATTCAATCTATGTAATTTTTCTCTGGTAATATGTATATTTTGTAATAGTAAATATCATCTGCAAAATTTGAATAATTTCGATAGCTGTATATCAATATTTAGTTACTCAATTCTTATAGTTATCGCCGCGATATATCGCATGTTGCATTATCAGCGGCCTCGGATATACCTGCTATGATATCTGTGCAGGTACGATGTATGTTTTATAAATAATTTGTACATAAATCATACATATATTCTATGAATCATTTATCTTTCGAGGAAGCTTGGAGCTTTGCATATGCATTTGCCGATAGCGGATGCGCGAACTATTAGATACTGCAAAGTTTCATCAACAGATAATTGTCTGATATTTGCATCGTTAATAGCAATCGAAATATGCATCAATTATTCGTATTTTTCTTAACATTATCTTGAAATTATGTCGTATACTTTATCGATTCGCAAAAATGACGGATAATCGACAAATTTTAATAATCAGTCTGCAAAGAAATTTATCAACTAATGTCTTCATATACAGAGTGTCAGAACAATCTCTTCCTAAAAAAGCTCTTGTAGCTTATCTCGAGAACTTTTCAAAACATTATAATAAAGTATTTTTTCATTAATTGCAAATTACACATTTTTTCTTCGAAACAATTATGTGTTTTCTTTACACCAATTGATCCCTCTCATTATTTTGTACATAAAAGATAAGATAATCGAAAAATGAATATTTTACTAGATATTTTATGGCTTATGTAAAAATTAAGAAATTATTTCAAGCCTCATAAAAGCCTCGAAAAGTACTGGATAAAAAAATACTTTATTTTAGTGTTTTGAAAAGCTCTCGAGGTAAGCTGCAAGAGCTTTTTTTTGGAAATAAATTACTCTGACACCCTGTATATTAAAATGACGTTTCACAATTTCACAATTTCCTGAATTGACGACCGGTCGCGTATTTTCCTACAATGTTATCTCGATGTATCTTTCGACGACAAATAAACATGACAATACAGAGTCACACATATGATACTCTCTACGTACTGTTAGCTGCGGTAAATGCAGTCTCGCGAATGATGAAGACAATCTCCGTGGTAAATGCCCGTGTCGGGCGGATCTCGCTAATAGCAGGATCGAATACATGGTACGGTCCCTAGTTATCTTCTACAAGGAACACGATTAATCGGTCGTCTGCCAGCTGCCGGAGGATCCTTGTCGGTTGCTATTCGATATCACATTTGCTCGATCCTCATCAAATATTTTTTGCAATTCTCGATTATCTCGAAAAACGTCGGTTATCACACACGGGGAAAAATACTTATAGGTCACCATCAATCGGGAGGAAAATGTTGATTGCAACGTCGAGTAGTGTGATTGAATGGCAAGGAGTTCTTCTTCTGGTTGAGCCGAAATAGGAAAAAAGACCGAAAAAGAAATAAATCACGAGACGAGAGATGTGGGCGAAATTGATCTTGTACTTTGTTACCGTAACGATGGTCAATGACACACTACTGCTGTTTTCAACGTAAAATCACTTCGGAAGACATCGTTATCGTGGGTAGATTAGAGACTCCGAGTAAACGGAGTGATGAAGCGGAGCAAGCCGGAGAAGACCAGAGGGAGGAATCTCTTCCGTCGAGATCAAGGCTTGACGCAGTCAAGTGACGTCACACGTACGTCCGATCTTATGCTCTATCATATTCCAAACATTTCCCGGCTGCGATCTTCAAGGCAAAGTTCGCGCAAGTTTATACGCACGAAAATTTCGAGTCATGCAGTTTGATGCTTTAACGAACTTTGACTTCAAAAATTGCAAATCGAAACAAACAACATAGTTGATAACAAATCCATTCTTTCTCGACGTTGCCTCGAGACATAAACAAGTCGATTTGTATCCGATAACCGATCAATCGTAGCACGACAAGCCGATATTTACATATGTGTAGTGTACAATAAAAATATGCTACATATTCTATATGAAGTATTAAATGATAAATTAATGGAGTAGTCATAATCATCACAGGAATCCCAAGCGATTTATATCGAGATACAGGAAAATTTATCGCACTTGAAATACATATATCATAAGACAGGTTCGTTCTTCCATCGTCTTTTTCAACACTCTTATCAGAATTCATAAACAACCGCGTGTTATTACATCATGCATAACGTGATAAAATATATATATATATATATATATATATATATATATATGTATTGCTTGTATATTATTTGTGTACATATTTGTGTATATCAGTACAATATTTGCGATAATTTATTCAAAGCTCGTTTACTTTTCATACTCTCGAGGTCGACGAAACGCAGGTGAAACTTACGCTTCTCATAAAATGATTACTTTGACGGTAGTATGTGCAGACAATTTCCGTTCATTTATGATCCTCGTAAAACATTATATGGAAAAAGGATTTTCCTCTTGGGAAAATCATTAGGCAGCAGGAAAAAATAGAAGATGAAAAACTTATGTAGATAAGAATACATTCTCCCTTCGATAGTTTAAAGCTTATCTTTGGCATGTAAACCAATAATGCGGTGAAATCTATAATAAACGCAAGTAATATCGTGTAAATTGTATCGTGTAAACTATAGTAAAATTTAAATTTTAATAATTTAATTAAAATTTATAGATTTGTATAATTTACAAGATTTAATAGATATAGATACAAAATTTAATAAATTTTTATATAATGTATAAAAAATAATAACGCAAAATTATGAAATGAAAACAAAAATTATATATATTTTTTGGATAATAATCTTTCATACATATTTTTTCTTTTAATCTTGATTGTTCAAGATGTAGATAACATTGCAATAATCTTATAAAGTGTTTCGATAATATCTAACAAGGCATCATTTAATTAGAGAATTAGTGTTTATAAAACAGATAGGGGAGCGCGAATGGACATAATGGAGATTCGCTTTGTGGAGAAATAAAAATGTTTTATCAGAGAAAAAAATCGAAAAAACTGGCTGACAACCAAATAATCAAGAGAAAGCTGTTCCCTTTTTCTACGCTTAATTTATAAATAATCCGCTTTAGGAGCCCCCTTTGTCACAAGCGGCTTACATACGCTGAATGAAAGCTCATAGATAAAATATACAATAGGAATACTTCAATAACACTGGTCGAGCCCGATAAAATCCCTTCAACCGTGTTCTTCTGTAAACATAATATAATTCTCGAATAAATTCCCACGCAAATCTCCGTTAGCTCATACTTATTTATTAACAGACCCGTGCTAATGGCCAATGAACAAACTTGCATTTTATAAGGTAATATAATATATTGTGTTTGACCTAACAACTTTCATCTTGCTAATCTTGCTAATATATAGACGTGAAAAAATATCAAAGAGATGCTCTTAATCAGATTTAATCTCCATCCAGTGAAAAGAATGATTTTAAGTTAAAGAGCCTCGATGTTTTTGTCGGTCATGCAAGAGAGGAAATTTCCGGTATAATATAAAAATATGCATGCACATATTTCTTATTCAAACAAGAAGTATGCTACATGTATGTAATGCAAGTTGTGCATTATGTACGTATGTATCATGGTTCTCAAATTTACGCTAGATTATAAATCATGCGACATGATAATATATTTCGCATGCTAATATACGGTTGTGTATAGAACATCCTTCTCATTACATATCAAATGTATTGTTTGCGGAACTATCTATTCGTTATTGTCGGCGATCTGTCTCATTTGATATTGCGGCATTTGAATGCTTCGATAGTTTACTTGGTCCGTATCGATTTGTCTATATTACACGACGTTGTATAATGAAGATTGTCAGCTTCACACGTGCCATATACATTGGCCAAAGATATATGGGGGGTACAAAGGTACGAAAACGTAAGATAATTTCATATTGGACTTGAAATATGAATCTCGTACGATTTTGCGATAGTGTATCAAAAAATAATGTTTACTTTTATAAACGCTTCTCTCCGTATTGAAAAAAATTCCTTATGAAGATACAAATTTGCTGAGATAAATAGTCTGTATTTTTATTTGATCTAGCGATATGAATCGTTCTTAAGTAGAAATGCAGTAATCAGAGAGTTCTTGACGGCGCAAATAATCTTTATTATAGCGCAATTAAAAATATTACCGTAGGGCAAATGATACTGATACTACAATATAGGCTAATTTGAAGCAGATTTTACTCGGACGCGGTGTAATTTAAATACTAGCTGCGCAGGAATATTTAATCTCAATGTTGACTATTAAAAAGTCCCTCGCGAAAGAGAGAGAAGAACGTCTAATTAAAGTTTCATTTATGATAAATCTACTTTAAAGTGGCCAGGAGCTTCGTATAAATTAATTTTAATTCTAGTAGGACCTATACATCATTTACATATTCCGCAATAAAGATAATGCATCTTTATTTAAGTTCCCGCTGCGTCTGCCGCCGAGTAATTAAAGCTTAGATATGAAAGCTCGGCGAGCGGTTTCAACATGAAGAACGGCGTCGTGTTTTCGTATAACGTTACCGAATGGTATCGACGTCTCGCGACCGCCGTTTAAACCGCGGCGCAACACATCGACGAACAAAAAGCGAGGCGCCGAGGAGAGAAAAAGCGATCGGACGACCAGGCGTGAGGTTAACGACATCCGACAAGAAGTTTCTGCACCAGCGGAATGATATCGCGCGGGGTGGAAGAGAGAGAGAGAGAGAGAGAGAGAAGGAGAGCGGGGGAGAGACTCGAGAGAGAGAGAGAGAGAGAGAAAGAGACAGGTGTCAAGCAGCGGGAGGTATTTTACAAAACGCCACCCCTTTCTTTCATCCCACCCTTACGCGAGCGCAGCATCCTCTTCGACGTGTGCTGGTCTCTTTAACTATCTCGTTTTTACCCTTTCCGCCGGATCTCCCTCCCTCTCGGCCCCGCAGAGCAAGAGAGAGCTTCTCGAAGCCTTCGACGAGGAGGCTTGCGCAGAGCGGCGAAGCGCTCAAACGAGGAGCAGGCATCGGGCGGCGGGTGGCGGCGCCGTCAGTCGTCGTTGTCGCGGGAAAGCGTGGGAGAGCATCGGCAGAAGGGAGCAGGACCAAGGGAGGCTGCGGATAGCGGACGAGAGAAAGAAGGCGCGACGCCGCGCGGCGCGGGTGACGAGAGGGCGGCGGAGGGACCGAGAGAGCGAGAGAGAGAGAGAGGGGAAGATAGAGATAGAGAACGCGCGTCTCTTTTCGACGTCGACGCAACCGGGTTGGCGCAGAATAGCTGCTCAGTGCTCGTCGAACGGCGCCGCGCTGCGACGGGATCATGCCGCCGCGCCCTGCGCCACCGATCGACCGATCTCAGGTACGCGAGAGAGAAAGAAAATTATCTTTCCTGAGCGAGCGGAGGCGTCAGCCTCCGTGGAAGAAGCCGCGGCTTCTCGCGGCGATTCGCCCTCGCGCGGAGAGAACCCGAGCGTGGGAATCTCGCGCGCGGAATCGGGACGTAATTGCATCCGGGGGTGCATTGTATGTTGCTTCGGCGAGGAGAGTTTGCGCTCGATTCTCCCGAGAAGGCCCCCGATCCTCCTCGGTCGCGTCAACTTGATCGCGTTGTCGTCGCGAAGGGAGAATCGCGTACGGTGACCGTAATAAACGAGAGCAACGCGAGCATCTTCTTCCATGATGCGCGCTCCGCGAAAGTTTCGGGGTGTCTCACGCGGCCGCCGTTCCTCGGCGGAATTCTTGCCGGGATCTTCGATATTCTTCGTCATCGATCGACAAACTGTTTGCGCCGCGAAATAGAACGCGTATCGCATTCCCAGATGCGTATTCCCGCGAGCTCCGCCGTCAACTTCCGCCCGCGATCTCTTCGAGAGCTCGTGGCACGAAAAGCTCTCCGGGGTAGGTAACGAGGGAAAATGGGTCCTCGTTCCTTCGTAATTTTCCCTATTATTTCCCCGGGGGATGCTGCGATCTCGTCGTCGATCCGCATTCGCGACTTTATAAATTAATATATCTTACTTCGCTCGAGAAAGAAAGAGAGAAAGAGATTTGATTTGACGTTTGGCATTGCCCTCTGGAAAACATGATCAAGAATCGGTCACATTGGTCACATTGAACTGCATCGAGTTTAATTTTCTTTAATATCCTCGTAATAATGGAATCATAAAATTTGCACCGATCTTGACCTTTCTCGCAATTCGATAAGTACTCTAGAAAGTATTCCTTTTAGATTTCTTATAGTCATCTTTTCCTTGGCACAATCGAATGTACGATGGCTATTTGCCGGCGGAAGACTTCTGACTCCTTCTCGGATCGACGAATGAATAAAATTGCGAATCCGTTTCTATCGCTATTGTCGAAACGGTTGTATCATTTTGGCAAATGTAAGCGGAGTGCGCGTGTTTCAAGCATATGCTCGGGGGGATGCGAAAATTACGCGTCTCGTGAGAGCTTTTACGCGACGGTTATCGCGCTAAAATGTTCGTTGGTAGGAAAGTGGTTAAAGCGTATCTTTGGTCAGGCAGCGGACCCTAATATCTTTTATTAGTTGCACGATACCGCTAAAATATTTATTAATATTTTCATGCGTTTTCAAACAAAATGTGCTATATCAAATCACGAGTAGCTTTTGACGCAAAAAATGGTACCTTATTTATCCCAAAGAAGCAAAAAATTGTGAATTTATTTCTTGCGAAAGCGCGAAATAAATGCACAAATATACTTTTTTTGAATAACGCTGGTGTTAATTTATTCATAGGCGTTAATAAGGATAATCAGATGTTAATTTATTCATATTATTTTAAATATATTTTGTAATAAAAGTAGAATTTCTCTTTAACATTTAGACACTTATATAATAACTTTTTTTCTTGTTGTTATACGTTATGTTTAAATGTCACATATTTTAATCCCACAAGCGGATAATAATTGGAAAACATTTTGAATGAAAAAAAAAATTATAATTTAAATATCAGAAAATATTTCAAATATATAGTGAAATTTATAGTGAATTTATATTTATAATCTAAATACAGGATAATAAATTTGCAGGATTTAATTTCTGACATTTTTCTGCGTTTACTTTATTTGTAATACTCATATTTATGTTAATATCCTATCTATATAATAATATTTCGTATGCGCGATTCATATTTTCCTTCCAAATTATTAATTACAACAGCTAACTACGAAAGACAATTCGGGCTTTAAATTAGTTTCGACTTCATTGCATTTGTTTGCGAGAAACAATTCTTTCTTCATCTTGTTTATCACGGGAAATTTTCCCTACTTCGTTTGCAATTCTTTTTGCCATAAACTATGATATTTTTTCTCAGCGCGAGCAACGTTATTTACGATTGTTTACAAATACCTGCGGAGGCGGTATACATGTGTACACGCGAATCCGCGCGCGCGTGTGTTCAATTAAATATCTCTCGTATAGAATTTGTTGACGCGCGGATCAAGATATCCGGACCTATATGGTGTAATTCAATTGCAGCGGTTTTTAGGTCCATTACAATGACGGAGCGCGCTCCATGGCGACGGAGATGCTCGACGTGCGCTGGCACGTCAGTGAATTTTCGCCGCACAGGAAAGAGGCATAGGTTATTGATTATCGTGAATGGCTTTATAAATAACTGATCGTGTAGGAGCACCCGTCGGAGACGCGTAAATATCGCTCGGCGAGTCGTTCTTTAAAATCGCTCCGATATCGGGATCATTTTCGATTCGAGTATCGCGTCGATGATTGCATCGCGATTACCGAGGGATCTCGGTTATGGTTCTTTGAGATTTCTCCGAGACCGATCTCTTCCAAAAGAAAAATTACTGACAAGTCTTATCAACGGAAAATAGATCTCTGCAAATCCCGCTCGAGGTAGATAAATCGGATTGCGAGGATACTTTGTTTCTGTTTATCTATAATCTATAATCTAGTATAAAAAAAATAATCAAGAATTGCATTTGAAATATCTGTATATCCATCGGCTATAAATAACCTCGGTGATGGAAAATTTTGGCTAAAATATCAGATTTTTTGTCGAAACGAATTTTATTATATTAATATTAATATATTAATATATAATATATTAATATATTAATATTAATATATTAATATATTTTATTATATTTTATTATATTAACGAATAACTGCATAATTTAATCTGAATGTTCGTCATTTTTTTTTATCCGGGAAAATTGTATTCCATGAAAGTTTATTAAATTTTCCATTTATTCGTTAATTCGCGTGTCAGAAAAGGAATTTAATACTTCCGTAAAAGAAAAGTTACAGAAAGAAAGCATTAAGGAATCATAAGATTACACTTTCCTTATCTAAATAAAATGAATAAATACTGGTTTTTTAAAGAAATTTTTGCGAGCAATTTTTTGAATATTTTTTTCGGTGCTTTGATATCTACGCTTGTGAGAAGCTGGAATATCGCGATCGATTAAAAGATGTTTTTTCAAATTACTGAGAGTACCGATGCGCAATATATAGGACAGCAGTGTATATAATAGATTGACCGGAAGCAAGTTGTCCACCCATCGTATAGCCACAGCACAGTATCTCTTCTGCACGGAATAATCCTCTAGTGCATGTACCGGTCAGTGCCGTTGATAAATGAAAATTACCGTATGTGATACGATGATGGATGAACTACTAATGCATGATTTTTTTTCTCTCGATGTTAAGAGCTTTATCTATTTTATGCTACATTCTCCTATTATTGCTAGTAGTATCAATACATTTTGTTATTCTCATTAATAACGATCGATACTTTATTCAAGAGATTTTTAGAAAACTCATACGTAAGAGATAAAATTCATGCACAATGCATGAAGGAGATAAATAAACGTGCAGCAATATTCAATAGTACGTAACTTGGAGTGGTGGAAAAAATAAAAATATAAAATATTCTAAAATCTTATATAACTCTTTGACTCTTGACTTTAAATTGCATTCGTATCGTTTATACTTTTATTGTCCATCGTAATATAAAAATGTCAAGAGCTGAGTACAATAAAGGAAAAACTTGTGATTTTTTTCTTTATATCCAGATTTATATATATATATTGAAATGTAGAATGAGTTTAATTTAAATATCATTATATTAAAAATATATAGAATATCGAATAGAATTATATCATTTTAAATTGAGACGTCTCATGTATTCCATTTCGCGTTCTCGAAATGACATTACATATTTTCGTTGTAAATACAATCACTCGATAAATGTCAGCGCATCATTTTTTTCAATTCTACGATATTAATGAAGAAACATTATAATAATATTTGATTGAAACGTGTCGGTTGTAAAGAAATTGGAATGTAGCTCAATCAATTTATGAAAAGTTATAAAATCGAATAATTATAAAATCAATTGCACAGTCCAACTTTTCGTTCTTTGACTTAAAGAATAAATTCGTAATAACTTTCGTTAAAAAAATTCTGACACGGAGAAGAGAATAAATTTTTCGTGTCAATATTTTTATCGTGAAATCATCGTTGAAGCATAAATTCTTGAACTAAAACGAATCAGAGATATTGGAGATTTGGAGTATAAAGTGCATAGCTAGAAATTTTAACCAGGTATAGGTTTACTCGATCGACTACATTTTCAATCATCGTATATCAAATAACAAACTTAAATTTACGCATACAAACATTACGATTCATTCTTAATAGTCAAGATTTAAATTTTCAATAAATTGAAGTTTGCGTAATATTCAGTTTTCAACGTAGAAACATAGTAACATAAATATATCGCCATCATTTATCGGTAAAAGACATTCAAAGACACTTAATATAACGACAGTCCTTTGAAATAAAAACTTTCATCGTATCGAATATCCGTCACCTGATTCTTTATATAGGCTACATGTCAATCGAACTTTTACCCTGTCCATTGTGATAATGGACCTCGAATTGGTCTTTGACAGGACACTTTGCGATGTTTCTACCTTAATATCAACGATTGGCGAGAGATCCTAATTGTTCGCTTAATTTGTCCACGTATTTCCGTCCCATCTTTGTCTTTCAGTAATATTAATGGAAAAATATTTCATCAAAAAAATACAGCTCACGTTTCGTTCTCGAGTGTAATTAATGATACAGAAAAAGATGAAGGAAGAAAATGTATGGATCAATAAAGAGAAAGAAAGAAATAAAAGAAAGAGGAGAAAGAGGTAATATAGAAGTTTTCGCCAAATAACATTTATAAATGTATATCAGAGGAAGTTGTACGTGATTTACTGGAAAATTTATAAACTCGATGGAAACTATTTAGTTTGTGTTCTAACAACTGTCATGTATTTTCGCGAAAACATTACTCTCGATGGCTGGTGTTGCAGCTCTTCTGTTTCGTAATTTTGTTGAAATTGGTGCCCCAGCTTTAGTGCGCAATCTAATTAATGTAAGTAAAGTCTGTCATGGCCATACACTATACGCATACACATACACACACACGCACATGCACACAATTGAAGATAGAATACCAATTATTTAATTAATACATCTTTCTATAATCTTTATAGTCTTATTAATATCATTTATATATTAATAATATCTACATATATGCCTTCTAATTCCCCATATATTAATATTTTTATATATACACATAAATTTTATATATTTTTTATCTAAATATGATATGATATATAAATGTATTATTAATTAAAATATAATATTTTATATATATATAAAATTTATTATTAATTAAAATATAATATTTTATATATATATAAAATATTATATTTTAATTAATAATACATTTTAGTAATAATATATAATATATGTTAATAAATATTATAATATATATATAAATATATTTTATATATACATATTTTACACACACATATATATATAATTAATATATAGGAATTAGTATATGGAGAATTAGAAGGAATAATCCCAATGATTATATTAATTATTGCATTTCCATAATTAATACCGCATATATATATATATATATATATATATATATATATATATATTGCAAATGTATACAATAGTGACCGTTTGTTACACACCCCCTTGTGGTATTGAAACATATTAAACAACCAGAAAGTAAATCTATAAAGCTTGAGCCGCATAGGCAAAGTTAACATGCAATTAACAGAAAGTTATACAAACCCAAAATGCGGAGAGGCATTTATAATTTATACGTTATATAAATTTTCGCGATAACATTAAACGCTGTGTTCACAACAACTGTATCTTTATAGGTATCATTATTATGTTAAAGGGGGTTGATAGCAGTTGTAGATACGAAGAGATAAAGATAAAAAACGCGGAAGAAATTCACGCAATGCGTCCATTTGCGGTTTATCTTTTATTGCTGTAAGCATAATAAAATTGAGAAAGAGAGAGAGAGAGAGAGAGGAGAGGGAGAGGGGGGGGGAGAGAGAGAGAGAGAGAGAGAGAGAGAGAGAGAACTTTATAACTAATTGTAAGAGATATATCGAAAAGAGAATTTCTTTTACTCTTTTTGCTCGATTATTCTCATTTTGTAAGGCCATTAATTTTTTATGGTACATATTTCTCAAGTTTTCAAGATGAAAAATTTAAAAACAGATCCCGTTCACTTGAAACATTTGAAAGTAACATAGTCAATAAAAAAAATTGCACATTGTGATAAAAAAGAAAGACCGTACTTGAGTTATATTATAAAACTTTCGTATGATGTATTATAATTTTTTCTTTTTGCTTTTTCCATATGAAAATTTAACTTACTTTATGTTCTACTCTTTCCTTTTTTATGTGTATAATATTTTTCACCCTAAATTCAATTGGGTTAAAGATTATATTTAAAATATAGTAAGAGAGGAAGAGAAAACGGCCTAATTCAGCCAAGATATTTGTATACAATTTTAGATTATTTTTAGATCGAAGAGTATTAAATTTCGAAGATCGATATAATTTCAAATACGACAAAAGTTAAAATTTATCGATGAATTATTAAAATAAAGCTTTCGCGTTTTTAATAAAAGAAGAATTAAAAGTAACTTATAGATATTTGTCTAGGAATGTATTTTGTGGTAAAACTTGGTATAACTAAAGGAGAATATTCGACAAAAATATGCAAATTAATATCGTGCTTAACTGAACCCAGTTTTAATATTGTGCGAGTATTTGGCTGAGAAAGTTGAACAAGATGAAATTTTTACTGGTGCATTTCAGTTGAAAAACAGTGTATGAGTGTGTGTGTATGTGCGTGTGTGTGTATAACATAAAAAACAGCATATCCTTGTATTTCTTATAAATACTTAATTTGGCTTAGATATCCGGAACTTAAATTTATGAAAGCTACGAGGCTTTCAAGCAGTCGTTCTTATATCGTTACAATCTTTATACCGAAAAGATGGCGGAATAAGCTTCCTTAGAGTGAACAGCAATTTCCCTACGAGAGGGATCCATCAGTAAAATCCGGCAAGAAAAATACATGTGATAGAGCACGGTTATATGTGAACGCGACTTGAGAGATAATATCCCGTTCCATTCTTTTTCGTGTTCGGGTAAAACTCGTTTCATGAAATGTGAAATACATCCGAAAACGTATGCATACAATGGCTGTACGGTGAACTCCTTAAGAATGTATTACCCTTCATTTATATAGTCGAATATTTTTCAGATCATTGGATTTAAATTGTTGTCGTAAAATTAAATTATTTCTAAATGATACTATAATTAATATTGCAAGATTATATAATGAGAAATAACAAGGTGTCGATTTTATTCAAAATTAAAGCTATCTATTGCAGGTTGTGCATGTCAGATAATGAAGTGATTAAAGCGTAACAGTTATCAGATTACAACTACTCTATGAAACTAGCATGCTGCGTGAAGTGAAACGATTAGAATACCTGGGTTAAAGCCGGAATAGCCGAGAATTGGCTATTTAGAGATGATAGAGAAGTACTTAGTTTGTTTCATAGATAACTTAGTATTAATACGTACTTAATACTTTTTATGGCACAATTCACTTATTTTTTTCATTTAACGGTAAAGTTATAGACATCGCGTTTTACATGGATAGTCCGAGAGAATTATTGTCGGATACCGTAAATTTCAGTCAGGTCAATTGCTAGTCTACGGATCTCTTGTGTACATTTACGAGCAAATTCGAGAAATGAATCCCGTAGGAATCGATATGCCAGTTCGGTGAGTAGTAAATGTGAGAAGCTGCCGGAATAATAAATAGAATACGAATTTACGATGGAAATAATGCAGATACATATATATTTTTCAAGAAACACCTTTCGTGCCCTCGTATACTTTTGCAATACGTTATGTTCTTTTTTGCTATTTATTTTTCTTTCTTATGTTTGTTTAATGTTTCTTCATTAAGATTCTCTTATATTCTATTTCATCGTTTTTGTTTCTTTTCCATAAGTTTTTCTATTCCTCTCTTTTCTTCTGCGTCCAGCTATTTTTTTAAAATAAAGGTTGTAATTTTTATGGAGAATAGGCTGTGTCGTGAATTAAATTTAAATCTCAAGGCGTATTCTAGAATTTATTTATATTTTTAGGCGATGTATTTCATCTCTCTCAGCTATACGTCACTGCGTACTTTTTTCAAGAATATTCGACATCTGTTATAAGTGCGTTTCCACTTTGTCAAGTCTTAAGATCAAAATTTCATTTGCAACAGAAACTTGGTGGTGACAGTGTCATCCCGGGTCGATTTAAATCTCTATTTTCTCGATTCTTATGCGCGTAGACGTTTGTCCTCTTTTCGGAAAATCGAAAATTTTCCAAAATGGAAGTTTGCTGTAGATGAAATACAGAGAACGTGCCATAACGTCGATTTAACTTCTTAACTGTTTAAGGCGCCTATTGTCGCGTAGAAAAGACTTCCTTGTATACAAAGATGATATATCTCTGTTTTCTGCAAATCGCAATAACTTTCCTTTTCGGATCGCGAGAAATAATTACATTCATATTATTATTTTAATAAAAAATAAAAAATGTATATTACGCGAAGTGTATATTTATCTTTTTTTACATTATACTTTATTCACGATTATAATACTATGAATATTAATAAGACTCATTTGATACGCTGGCTTGATATTAAATTGTAACATGAATCTTCCTTATTATTTCTGAAAACAAAACTCTTATTTATTATCTAAATATTAATCTTAATATTTTTTTATATTGCATTATGTATAAACGCTAATTAAATAAATGAATAAATAATAATAGTTGATATTTTACTTAGAAAAAAAATACGCTGGCGAGCATTACGCATACAATGAATGCGTTATGATTCGAAATTAAAAAACTCAAATATATTTTTGCAGTATTTTACACATTGTTCTCTAAAATCATTTTTTCTGTTTAATTTATGACACTCAAATTTTCGAAAAACTTCCTTCTTTCCGTCACAACAGCGATCATATACAAGGTTGCGGACGGTTTTATTACTTGCGAGATTCGTACGAAACTTTTATCATTTCGCGTTACCGTAAAATTCGCAAAACGGCATCCTTGCAAAATAACCCTCCATGAACGCGATCGATCTGTACTATTTGTCGTGCCTGTTTTCGTAGTTGTTATAAGTTTGTAACGCATCTCTCATATTTACAAATGCGAATCTACGTATATACAGACAGATCTTCTCGCGCACATTCTTCTGAAACTGGGTTAACTCTTGAATTAAATTTTCCCTCACTGAGGTAAAACCCACTTCGGGGAGGAAAAAAAGATGGAAGCAAACTTTTCGATGCGGTGCATTTGCCGTGTATTTACGCGTTCCATTTTATTGCAACTGCTCAATGCGAGTATTACTCTACGAATTCTATTTGTTGCATGCACATACACCGGCGATAATGTGAAAATCAGTAACGCTTGACACAATGGTACAGAAAAGATGGCATAAATTAAGATTAACGTTTATAATTGGAAATTTAATTTCTCTGATATTATCGGAGGAAGAAGATTTCGTCTCTATCGAGAATCAATTTTTTTAAATTATATTATTAAAATTATATTAAAATTATATATTAAAAATATATTTTGTATCTCGCGTGACAAATTTTAAGTTTCGTGTGCTTTTCATTGCAGGTGATGTAATCGTGGAAGCCGATGATCGACTTGACCTGCGATCCTTGTTGAAATCAGCCGATCGATCGTCGTAAGCGAGGCAGGGGATCAAAATGTGACGTCCGATGTATCTCTGACGGTTTCGCATGAACGACCGGACGCGTATAGCGCTGAACTCGATAGTAAGTGCCTTGCCATTGTTGCGAAGAGGTTGCACAACAGATTGCATAACAATCGAAAAATCATTCGATCGAAAAAACAACGATAGACAATTCGCAGGCAAAAAATTAAGGCCGCGACTTCGCTGTAGAAATTCAATTATTTTAGAGCACTTTGCCGGAACTTTTCCCCGATTTCTGGCTTACTTCCAAAGCCAATTGCCTTAATTCTATTTGCAACGAATACAATTGGAGGTGATTTTGTTGTATCGCGTTTAACCGTCTCATAGCGTGATCTCGTATGACTAAAAACGACTAGGCCAATCTTCTATTCGTTATTTCAAAGTCGTTTGCTTTTCCTTTTTTATTTGAATTCGTCAGATATTCGTATATTTGAAATATGATATATATATATATATATAAATTTTTTTATATATATAATTTGTTATGTTATATACATATATATATATATATATATATATATAAAATTTATTATATATATAATTTGTTATGTTATATATGTTATATTGTTATATTTTAATTATTCGGAAAATGAATTTGCTTCTTATTTCATAATTCAACAAAAATTCCTAATATTCTTTAGATTGTTCCTATAATTCGAGACGCATATTGATTGAGAAGGAAATAATTTTATGATTACGCAAGCGATTTAAAAGCCAGTTGACCCGATTCGTGATTAATGTCAGGATAGGTTCCGAATATTCGACAAGTGCCCTTTCGCGTTCATGCCAATTGCGCCTCATCGATTGCTATCGAGAGACAGAGGCATGGCATTCCGCTGTTAATGCTCTGCACTCGAAACATTACGAGTTAGAATTCGATCAACTAATGAAGTGAATGGTACATGTTAATACGCGTATAATTCTAATGGTATTATCTTCTTGTTATTGTGTTATACGTTATACTCGTAAAATTAATGTTTATTATCGCATGCACACCATTGCCTTTCCCAGTGAAAAGATATTACTATTTGCTCGAAATAATCCATTTTATGCAAGTAATATTATTTTGTTTGCTTCAAGTTAATATTACGAGCAGGAAACTGCGAGTTTCGCGTTTCATGTTTAACGAAATGTATTGTGCATCCATTTCTTGAAACGAAACCTTATATATATATATATATATATATATATATATATATATATATATATCATATAGATATTAGGAATAAAATGATACAGATTGTTTAAACCTCATAAATTATTATGGTGCAATTTTGCAGACTTAATGGGATCGAACTATTGAATAATACTGTAATATAACAAAAAGCAAAACGGCATTTAAATCGAGCTTTAGAATTGAAATCGATCGGAACTTTCAGTTCTAATCAAAACCTGAAAGCAACTACGAGCTGCAATTGACGTAATTTAATTGCGATATTCTAGTTGTAAGCTTAAGCAAACTAAAATTCTACCGTGAAGTTACACTAGATAACATGAGCGAATTAGATGGATCTCTTGAAAATTAAATGTTTTTTCTTTTCAAGATACTTCTTTTGTGATGAATTATTAATATTATTAAATATATTATAAAGTACAAGTGTGTGAAATAATTTGACGTGTGAAAAAATGGAGAAAATTCTGAAGATATTGAGGAAATTGGAACGTTCTACTTAAAAAAATCGCGCGTTTAAAAGAATTACTTGAATAAAATTTTCCATCATGCGAAAATGCAACTCCGACGAAACAGTGCGCATAATTGATTTTAAAACACGATACAAGTGTGTAATGTGTCGCTTGAGAATGCGAGATTGTCGCAAACCAATCCTGATTTGTGTGCAAAAGCGCACAAGAAAGTCGCCAGCGTCACGTAACGCTACATCGTATCCAGGCTGCGGCACGTAAAACAGAATTTATCGATTATGCGAAATTTATCTTACATGACGTGATACTGACGAAAAGTATGCAACCCCGTTTATAATCCACGCCTCACGGAATTTTAAGGACAGCAATTTATGCTCGGCGCGATAGACACACGACGACGGATAAATTCGGGTTTAAAACACACCCGAGAAATTCTCACGAAACATATTCGCGTACGATGTTTTCGGCAAAATTTCGAGGTTGCCACAATTTTCTAAATGGTGATCCTGTTCGAGTAATCCGGTTGAACGTAAAACCCGTTGGCGACAGAGTTATAATCGAATTGTTTAGGACCGCGTGTTCACTCGTGGACGATGTTGCGGTGACGAGGTGCGAGTTTTACTTTCTTCTTCTTTTTTTTTTCAACAGAAACTTGTAACGTGTCTAGTCGAGCGAAATTCCCCGATGAATTGGACGAGCGGAATTGTAATTCGTCATCGTGGTTCAACTATGCGACTCAAAATTCGCGACAGAGTACATAATTTATACGTATTGTTCTTCAACTTTCCGCCCATCCTAGTCGCGTCCTAGTCGCGTGATTAATGATTTTTGCGCATTAATTATCATGAAAAGTTTCAATGTTACACGCGCGGTGATTTTCTTGAAAGCTTATAAACGCGTTGCATGCGAGGAGGATGTGTGTGTGTTCATGTATGAAGATTTGCGTGCGAGACGACTGAAACGCGTGATGTGCAAACGGTACACGTCGTTGTATGTGTTAACCGCAATTCACCACGTTATTAATAACCTCCGCGCTTGTGAATTTAACTAATCAATCGTGTATGCACCTTCGCGGGTAAGTGGGGCGCGATATCGTCGATTTTTAGAATCAATCTCGATCCCTCCTCTTTACGCCAACCTTCCGTTCTGGAATGGAGAACTAGAATGGGTTTCTACGGTCGCTACCTATGGATGATCCTCCTTAAGTAATTCGAGACACGGCGAATTCAGCGCAGTCGAGTCGAATAAGCTTAACAAAGTCGATCTCAAACGATATTACGTATTATGGAAGTTCCGTGATTGCTTTAATCAAATACCCGCGGCTCGATACGGCAGCTTTAGACCGGGATATTTCATCAGCCGATCCCTGAAAAGGGATTTGAGCGGTAATTTGGCTTTTTAGCGTGATTTTTCCAGCGATTAACATCTCGTATCTTTTTTTTATTTTGCGATTCACTGATTCGAGCTAGCTACTTGCACGCCCTTTTGAAGAGTACTTTCCGGTACTTGGCGATGCTTTTAGCCCTCTTTGGCATTAAGTAAATCAATATTTGCCTTGTAGGCGAACATGTGTAATAATTCCAAGTTCGACGATTCTTTCATGTTTCAAATTAGTCGGAAAAGCCGAGAAAGAGAGAAAAAGTAACAAGCAGAGAGGGAGAAAAAGAGACAAAACTGCCACGAGCACGAGGATGATGAAGTACCCAAAGTACGGTTTTGACGTGTAGCAAACAAAACAGAGCGTGGGTGCGATGTTTTCCCGAATCTTCAAGTGGTAATTGCGCGGAAGTGAAAGAGGACGCGCGAAAAATATGCTCCACGCGATTCGCTTCATGTAATCTTCGTAATTTCCCTTCGAGAAAAAAAAGGAATGAAAATTTGATCATAAAGATTTGCGAGGGTGGGCGCCGTTTTTCGACTGGAATATATATTCAACAGATTGGAAAATCACATGAAATCTTGCTTTACCGCCTCGGGGAGCGTTCGTCCCGTTGATCATTTCTCTTCCCGAGAATCAATACGTATTAAATCCTATATTTTTTTTTTATCGGCGATGTTTCCAGCGCGTCAAGAAGAGCGTGACAAAGTCAGAGTGCACGCCGAGTACACGAAAATGGAAACAATTTCCGCGCTTTGGGACCTTTCTTGTAAACTCTCGTGCAGAAAATAATATCTCTTGCGTGTAGCCAAATGTATATATGTCGCAATTTGTGGCTCGATAATTTATAATGTCGGAAAAAAGCGTCGCTGCCACACTTGACGTTGCGATTTATTACCGACATTAATAATTTTACTCGTTGTTTTCGAATCAGCTGTAAAATATCTGATTTTTATTGAATACACATGTGAATAATAATAATCTTACTTTAATCTTCATTTAACCCTTTAATTTGGGAGTCAATGTTCAATTAGGTGATTGTTAGCAAAATTTATAATTTTAGATAAATTAAATGGAAGATCTACAAAAATTATTGTAACGTTAGTAAAGTTTTAATTCTTTATTTTAAAAATATTTAAGGATGTTTTGCATGTACAATCCCAGCAAAAAGTAGTTGAAAATCAATATTGACGAATATTCACTTTGGTGTATTTTGAATATGAGAAATTGTGTGGAATATTACAATTTGATTTTAGCTACAGTGCAGAGATGTATTTTTTAATATTTATTGCGTTTTTGCTGAAATATTCCGAATTTTGTTAATCGAAATGATTACCTTTTGGCAGAGAATTTCGCCTTGTGACAGATACATGACTAACTTCATTCAATTATATTTAATATATTTTTAACCAGTTAGTACTTGTATAATATTATTTGACCGAATATTTCCTTTGTATCTAAACTTTTGCAAATTTTAAACAAATTCTGAATATTATTTCCATGTATTTTTGTTATTTGAATACGTTTTCCACCAGAACACATTAATTCGGTGCAAATTAAAATCCTTACAACTTGCGAACGCTTTAGTGAATCGATTTAAAAATTGTACTGAAGATTCTAAACATATGTAAGGACATTCTGTACAATTTTCATTAAATTCTCAATATTTTGAAAATAGGTACAAAACATCCTTAAAACGAATTATAAAACAAACAATATAAAGAGACCGAGATGCACAAGTTTAAAGTGTTAAATATTCCTTAAATTGAATAAAAGCTTGTGGAATTTTTTATTTTTACTTTAATCATCTCTGATTACATTTTTGAAATCTCATCTGATCGCATTTTGACTGACACAATAGCGAACGATTTGGCAACTCGAGGAATTGCGATCTTTTCGAAACTTTTGAATCACTTTCGCACATACATACGTACGTGTCTCTTTTTAGTGATTTGACATTTCTGGTTAAATCCAACTCCTCGATCAACGTTATCAATTGACGGAGAAAACTTTGGCTGACATAAACGAATTGGATTGGCGAATACATTTCCCCAATCGTAGAAATTTCGCGGAAGGAACATAAAGTTCGTATTAATTTTCATTCGAGACGACATTTCGCTGCTTGTTCGCGATTGTATTACCCGAAAAGTAAAATCGCAATTTTATTCAGATTTATATTTCGCATATCGAATGTTATTTCAATTTCATACAAATTGGATAAACGATTGGTTTTGTGTATTCCATTTCAAAACCAAATTAATTTCTGCATATTTAAACTCATTCTATTGCAACTATTTCATATTAGAGTTAGCGAGTGTGCTTTAACACTGATATCGTTCAATGAATAAAAAGAAAAAAGCGAGAGAGAGAGAGAGAGAGAGAGAGAGAGAGAGAGGGGAGGGGGGATTGATTTATCAGGAACAATGACATCATAATGAACAATTTACCTTCCAGAGAACATCCTGGACGATATGAACTCGAGCGGAGAGTCCGGCGGAACGATGTCCGAAGATTACGAGGTGGGAGGCTGCAGCATCCCGGAAGAGGAGACAGGCTCGAATCTACCGACGTGGGAGGCCGTGGTGGCCACGCTGACCTTGAGCTTCCTCGTCGTGGCGACGGTATTCGGCAACATGCTGGTAATCCTGAGCGTGTTCACGTACAGGCCGCTACGGATCGTCCAGAATTTCTTCATCGTCTCGCTGGCAGTGGCCGATCTCGCGGTGGCGATCCTCGTGATGCCGTTTAACGTAGCCTACCTGCTGCTGGGCAAGTGGATCTTCGGCATTCACCTGTGCAAACTGTGGCTAACGTGCGACGTCCTCTGTTGCACCGCCAGCATCCTCAATCTCTGCGCGATCGCCATGGACCGTTACTGGGCGATCACCGATCCGATCAATTACGCTCAGAAGCGTACCCTCAAGCGAGTCCTCGGGACGATCGCCGGCGTGTGGATCCTCTCGGGCGCCATCAGTTCGCCGCCGTTAGCCGGCTGGAACGACTGGCCGGAGGAGCTGGAACCGGGCACGCCCTGCCAACTCACCAGACGCCAGGGCTACGTCGTATACTCCTCCCTGGGCTCGTTCTTCATACCGTTGCTGCTGATGAGCCTTGTCTATCTAGAGATCTTCCTGGCGACGCGCAGGAGACTGCGGGAACGGGCCCGACAGAGCAGATTGGGTCCGGTTCAGTCCACCAGACACCGCGAGACCGACGACGCCGAGGAATCGGTCAGCTCGGAGACGAATCACAACGAGCGCTCGACACCCCGTCTGCAGGCGAAGCCGTCGCTGATCGACGACGAGCCTACCGAGGTCACGATAGGCGGCAGCGGGACGACTGCGTCCACCAGACGTGGTGCTGGAGCCGGCGGTGCCGTCGCCACCTCGACCGTCTATCAGTTCATCGAGGAACGGCAGCGGATCTCGCTGTCCAAGGAGAGGCGAGCGGCGAGGACCCTGGGCGTCATTATGGGCGTCTTTGTCGTCTGCTGGCTGCCATTCTTCCTCATGTACGTCATCGTGCCATTCTGTCCGGCTTGCTGCCCATCGGAGCGGATGGTATACTTCATCACGTGGCTCGGTTATGTCAATAGCGCTCTCAATCCCCTCATATATACGATCTTCAATCTCGATTATAGAAGAGCGTTCAGGCGATTGTTGCGAATCCGCTGAGGCTCTTAGGATCGGGCGACGCGGAGGATCCTCGCGACTGGCCGATCCCTCGAATTCCTCGCTCGAGCGATGGCAAGCGAAGCGGAATCTCGCGGTCGGTTCGTAGTAGCCGTTCTACTTAAATCCCGCGGGATTTCCGTCCGCTCACCAAGTCGGGAGTCATTAAATAAGTTCTTCGTCCAGGGAGAAGCGCGTCGCTCGCGCGTAACCGTATGTCGCAATTAACGGGAATTTTGACGCCTCGCTTACCTCGATCGCTTGTTCGCCTGCACAACTCGTTATATTACGCGGTGAAAACTTTAAGCGCAGTCAGCACAAAGACGACGAGCATTACCAAGTGAGAGAACTCGGAGCAAGTAAGTTACCAGAGCGTAAATTGGTAGAATTATTATCGTTTCGCGACAAGTTGCGAACCGATCTTATAAAATTCGAATCGCCGGCAATTTATTTTTAACTACGTATTTAATGAAGACATCGATCTTGACGCGAGTAGTAATATTCGCGCGAGCAATGCGAAGAAGACGATAATTTAATTTTTTTAACGAAAAAACTTTCTTTCATAACGTATTGACGCACTGCTAATTTGGAACGTTGGAAAAGAGAGAAATTTGTGTACAAGTTTCATTAATTCTCGTTCTGTCATAATAATGAATGACAGGGAAAAATTAAAAACTTCCGTTCGCGCGAAAATTATTAAAATTGATAAGATTAATCGTTCAACTCTAATACCGATATATCATTGACCTACATAAAAATTTTACAAGAATTTTTAAATTTAAATCGCGCGACATTCAAAGTAAATTTGTTTTTTGGAAGAAAAAGTCATATTAATCTGCTTCCTTCAACTGGCATAACGAATTGCCGTGAAAATTCTATGGAGAACTAGAGAAAAATGATGTTCGCTTATCGCAAGTTTCGCGAAAATTTATGAAGGATTTGAAGAGGACGTTCAAAAAGGAAATGGTAGTCTCATCTGAGAGATGCAGGCAGCGCATTGCAATCAAGATTGGCAGCTGGGCCAGCGCTAATTCGCCCCCGAAGAGTTCCCGAGGGCAAAAGTTGCGAAGGGGAACTTTTCGCGGGACTAATAAAGGAGATTATGCTTCCTACGTGTTGGCCAGCGATCATGCTCCCTTAATATTATCAGGAGAAGCTTCATCAGCTTCGTATGAATCTCATCCGCGGTTTTAGAGATTAATTAATCCGTAGCCGCTAGAAAATGATTAATGATATTGAATTTAGCACCCTCGAGAGAACGTATAAGAATACGATCTATCACGGTCAACAATGCTCACTACCGGATTATAGACCGGAATTGAGGTCACAGTCGGGGGTGGGGGGTGGGGGAGACTCGTGTTCCCGCCGATTTCACGAGAAGCCACCCTCTTCTTTCTTTCCTCGCGCGACAACCGGCATTCATCGAGTTGCAGTTTCCGACCCCGGATGAGAAAGAAAAGAATCTCTGTCAGGTAACTGTCTGTCGATTCAGCGAATGCGCGTCAGGCAGAGAAAAATCAGGACGTGCTTTTCTTACCAACGACAAGAAAGAGGGAGAAATAATCGTGCGTACATTTTAAGTAGACTCGATCGGTGGACGTACCCTCTCCACCGATCGTTAACAAGTATTACGGTTGTGAATAATTAATTAACTCAGCCATAAATCTCTCTCTATCTCAATCGCGGAACATGTAGCGTAAGAAAACAAACGTAAGATACGTAAGATCGTTCGTTTATTCGGCGCAACGTCAACAACACCGATTCATAAATTTCCGTGATTCGCACCGCGCTCAATCACGACCGCGAATTATAGTCATTAAAATCACACCTTAAATCACCTCTCGCGACGTATTCGTTGATGCGCTCTTACATCACGTGTCTCTACACGGTTTACTGGAAAATCACCTATCAATTTTAAGGAGACAGCTGATTTAATTTATTTATAATCTTCTTGGCAAGGTTTTCTCGATTCAATCATCATTTCGTGTCTAATGATTTAACGATCCTGCACAGAAAAAACATAAGTGTCAAATCAAAATTTATATATTTAAACTAACGTACATTGCTTCGTATATACGCAACAATTTATATTTTATTTATAACCTTCTTTGAAGAATTTAATAATTTTAAATTTCAACAATATTATAGTCTTGATTTAATATTGTAATTGCCACCTCAAGAATATATAATTATTTAATTCTACTTTAAGAAAATTATAATCTTTGATTTAAAAATGTTATTTTCTATCTAACATTGTTTCTTTTCCATTCAAGAAAATTAAATTTTAAATTAGAAAAATATATTTTTCTCGATTGAACTACATAACATGGCTTCATTCGAGTAAACAATTATTCAAACAATTATATTTTTCTTTAATTAACGCAATATAATCTCATTTCAAGATTTCCATGTTAAAATTAAATATATTTTCAAAACAACAGTGTTCTTTTTTCTGTGTGATAGTTGTATAGCGTAATTTACAATTTTTCATCTTTTTTATCGACGAGAATGGTGTATTATTACATTCCCCAAGTTGGTACTTTTATTAATATTTTATGAAATATTGAAACAAACTACATATTCATTTGGGAATCCTCCGGTGAAAACAAAATTGGAAGTGATTCTCGATTGTCTTTGTCGAAACATTTCACTATTAAGAGCCTTTGAGAGTAAAACTCCCGAGGGAACCATCCACTCTTGCGACTTCGTCGCTTGTCAATAAAATATGTATCGGTGATTTCGAGATATCCTGTATAGAATCACGTATACGGGCGCACATGTACGCATACATATACATGTACACTTACACATACGTAACATACGCGAAGTATTTATATGACCAGAATACAATTTAAAGTATCTTTAACGATAAAAACACGAGGGAACAGGCGGCGAAAAATCCGCCATCTCCTCGAGTGCCACGCCAAACGATGGATTAAACAGTGAATTGGTAGGGTGGAAAAAAAATTAGATCGGACGTATTACATGACTCGATAATTGTTCGATCTCGTCACCAAGGCACTCTATAATAAGGTTGTGATAAGGTTGTGAGAACACGTTCGTAGCCGTGCTACGAACGACATAAGATTTTTAATTACTAGGATAGGGAACATTTCTTTACTCGAGTTATACTCTCCAATGCAATGTTGTTTCCTACCCAAGAAAGAGAGAGAAAGAGAGAAGAATGCAAGAAGAAAAGGGAGAGATGAAAGAGGAGAGAATCAATATCATGATGCTCGATCAATTTTAGATGAGTATTAAAGGTTTTTTTCTTCGTTTTCTTGCGTCTTGTAAAACGCTACGGATAGTTTTGTGTTTGCACGGTTGAAATGCTGGATTACATTTCCTACAAAGCTGCATGAATCTCATTTACGTAAAACGTAACATAATTTTCCTTCTGAAAAGATGTTGGTGCTCGTTTCGTACTAATTTTATTTATAAATAGAATTAATAATTTTATTTATAAATGGAATTTATAGCTTTATATCTTTTGATGTGAAATCTAGCAAATACATAAACATAAAATAAATTACAGAATCTATATCATGGTAGAAACGATTGTTTTGTATGTTATACATTGATATAATTATTTCCCGATACCTTTTTCTATAAAGTATAAAGCGGAGTTTATATTGAGCTTGTGAAAATTGTTTTATATTATTTTTACAAAAATATTAATAAGTGCCAAAGTATCCGCATTTCGCTTCAGTAAAAAGAAATGTAGAGTTTATCATGATTTTCTCTTTCTCTTTACATCATTTCCAATCTTCTTATTTCTCCTCCTCAAAAGATGGTATTGAACTCTTCGGCTGCCTTGGGTAGAAATTTCATATGGGTATATATATAGTTTATGATATTATATATTGTATATTATATCGCATATATTACACTATGATATACGTATCAGCAGTTCGATTCTCAGTGAGCGTTTCGCGAATCAGCACGCGGCTCGTTTTAATCTTCTTCCTTGATTCTGTTTGGAATCTCGAGTGCAATTTTTCTATTTTTTTTTTAATGAAGAGTATATGTATTTAAATAAAATAACTTAATAATCAGATAACATTTGAATGCCGCGAAAAGATCCGTGACACCTGAGAATCCCACATTATGATCGGGCCTGGTCGCCCGATATAAAGATTACAATTCTAGATACGTATGATAAATAAAAAAAGATATATATATATATATATATATATATATATATACAACACATCTAGTTGATAAACTGATACTCTGTTGGTTGTGATTTACAAGTATAGCAATACAGATATTCTCGTTTCTGCGCGTGTCAAGGAATTGCTGGCGGAGATTTCCTTCCCTAGTTCAGAGCTATTTTCCTCACGATTCCAACTTCTTCCGTGTTTGCAAATCCAGAAATAGTTTTATTTAAAAAAAAATTTACAAAACATAACTTTCGATAAATAAAAATGATATGCTATAGTAGTTTTATTTATTGCGAGTATCACTTGTAGGGATTTTGTCGTATATTAATAATTTTCAATATTATTGATATCCTACGTATATATCAATATTATTGATATCTTACGTATATATATATAATATTTGTCATAGTTTTTTGTTTTTTTATAAAAGAAACAAAAAATCTTCCACATTGTGTATTTTACGAAAATACAGGTGTGTTTTATGATATACGGCATTGCAAAGAGAGAAATTATATTTTATTACAGGGCGCGAGACAGGAAATGCGTTCGGGGGAGGAAGGGCGTGTATGAGAGAAATATTTTTGAATTCAAATGGAAACAGGAAATGAACACCGGTTACAATATCTAGAATTACATGGACAACGATAGGAACAAATAATGTTTAGTTCGATACAGCGTGCTTAATGTTTCACAAAGCGCGTCCGCTGTTTCGATATTGGAGCGTAATTTAATGAAAATCGATGTCAATAAAGTCGCCATACCACTTTGATTAAACATTATTATTCTCATAAGCGCCAAATTCGATTATATATACAGGGTGGTTCTTAATAAGTGCAACAAATTTTAAGAGATGATTTTTTGTCAAAAATTAAGGGGAGTTTTTATATAAATATATTAAAAGGTATATTAAGGTATAGTAAGGTTATATTAAAAGGTTCTAATAAAAAATTAAATAGGGATTGCCAGTTTCATCCCCTAATAACAATACGAGAGGCTGAAAAAAATATTAATAAATAACCTCTTTACTAGTAGAAAATATTCACCTAATTTCATTTCTTTAACTTGTTCCAAATTTAAGAAAAAAATAGAAACCTATTGTTATCCTCATTTTTGGAAGAGTGCAATTCTACAGGGAGTTATGTAGGAGTATATGTTTATATGAAAAACCCCCCTTAATTTTGAGAAAGAATCATTTAAAATTTTTTTCACTTATTAAAAAACATCCTGTATATATCTATTAGACGTACACGCATCTGCGAAATCTGCGTACAAAGATTTTCAGGAATAATTCCTGTGGAAAGAAGACTGTTGTATAAATAACGAAAATATTATTCATATGATGAAGAATTTTAGTAAGTGAAGCGAATTTGTTAAATTTGTACCTTGCGTTTCAAAAAGCAAGTATTCTAAAATATTGTTTATGGCGCGTAAGTTCTATCAATATTTCAAAATAACAAGCTTTAAAACTTTTACGAGGCATGTTTGTATAAAGCTCTCTTTTTATCATATATCGTTTTACTCTTTAGAATTATACATACATTTCACAGATATTTATTGTTTCTACAAATATAAGATGATGTAACGTTTGCGAATATTTGTTTGATTCAAAAGCAAACACGGATGATACAGCCAATAGAGAATTTACGTTGCGTATTTTCGCGTTAGGGGAAAAGATCTCGCAAGGAGAATTATGAGGAAAAAAATCTGGCAAGGAGCTCCGCCCGCATTCGGAGGCGCAGATTGAACGAGCGTTCATGTGAGTCTGTCGCTTGAATGTGTGAATGCAAAATCAATTAATGAACAAGACAGACAAGATTGATGTACGTTGTGTATACACAGTGAGTGATCAGTGTGCGAGTGTAGCGAGTGTGTCGAACCGATGGTCGATTATCGCGATGAGCGATATAACGAGAAAAGAAAAAGATTTATTTCGAATCGGCGACGATTATGATTGCGGACGCGCGAAATATTGAAATATCTCTGCACAAGTGTCGAATAAATCGTTTAGGAAACACTGTATTGTACGTAACTCGTGCTGAATATACACTTTGGTCGATTTTATGGCGGCGCGATTTTCGCGATAAAATTACCTTCCGGCCACAATTTAGAAGAATTGATATCGACGTACGCGCGTATAAGCCGATACCTTTTTTTTTTCAATTTTCATCATGCATTCTTTGCATACCATGAAAAATTAATTCTCTCGCATAGCTGTGCGGCGTACGATAGACTTTGTCGTTAATTTTAACGAGATATTATGTGTGAGATATGAATGTACGAATACTAATGAAATATTGAAATAAATGATGTTGTATGGTGTTATGGATTTTACGTAATGTTTACTGTGAATTCCTTCAGAATTTTGTTTGTATGATCAAATAGTAAAAAAAAAGAAAAAAAAAATGCATATGTATATAATTGCACATATATGCAACTAGCAAAACTTATTATTGATTTAAAAATTCTTCGTTATTTATTTTGCGAGTAGCCGTACTTTTATTTATTACGTGCACCGCGTTACAAACATGGTAGATTATACAGAAATAATTCTTTCCTCGAAATATTTTGCGTTGTGCATAATGCAAATCTGGATGCTGGCGATTCGATGACATGTATTTACTTCTGTTTCTTTTTAAATGCTCCTACAACGGACTACAAAATACGAAGTACATTTTGCGTGACGTATTGCACGCGACGTTGAAAACGCCAGCAAATCGTCCGCGCTATGTCTCGCAATTGCATTGTGTTACGAGAACCAAGTGTTTTGCGCATTGTTCGTGTTACATGGCAATTCTCTCTACGTGGTGTAACCCATATTGAAATAACAGCAGCGACAGAATGTACTAGACCGCTTTTCGTAAAGCGCTCTGCCGGATTTGAAAAATTTAATTTACATATA